TATAGTCATCGCCCTGTATATTCATGGTAACTATCTGAAAATCCGTCACAAGAAATACTAAGATGGGAAAAAAAAGTTTTTCTAAGAACGACTTAGGTATTTTTTTATTCGATGCCATCTGTTTAGAGCCCTGAAATTCCGCCAAAATATAGTCATCGCCCTGTATATTCATGGTAACTATCTGAAAATCCGTCACAAAAAATACTAAGATGAAAAAAAAATTCTTGCTTATAACGATTTGGGTATTTTTTTATTAGATGCCATCTGTTTAGTGACCTAAAATTTTGCCAAAATATAGTCATCGCCCTGTATATTCATGGTAACTATCTGAAAATCCGTCACAAAAAATACTTAGATAAAAAAAAAAGAGTTTTGCTCATAACGATTTAGGTTTTTTTTATTTATTAGATGCCATCTGTTTAGAGACCTGAAATTCCGCCAAAATATAGTCATCGCCCTGTATATTCATGGTAACTATCTGAAAATCCGCCACAAAAAATACTAAGATGAAAAAAAAATTCTTGCTTATAACGATTTGGGTATTTTTTTATTAGATGCCATCTGTTTAGTGACCTAAAATTTTGCCAAAATATAGTCATCGCCCTGTATATTCATGGTAGTTATCTGAAAATCCGTCACAAAAAATACTTAGATAAAAAAAAAAGAGTTTTGCTCATAACGATTTAGGTTTTTTTTATTTATTAGATGCCATCTGTTTAGAGACCTGAAATTCCGCCAAAATATAGTCATTGCCCTGTATATTCATGGTAACTATCTGAAAATCCATCACAAAAAATACTTAGATGGAAAAAAAAATTTTGCTCATAACGATTTAGGTATTTTTTTATTATATGCCGTCTGTTTAGTGACATAAAATTCTGCCAAAATATAGTCATCGCCCTGTATTTTCATGGTAACTATCTGAAAATCCGTCACAAAAAATACTTAGATGAAAAAAAAAAAATTTTTGCTTATAACGATTTAGGTATTTTTTCTTTATTAGATGCCATCTGTTTAGAGATCTGAAATTTTGCCAAAATATAGTCATCGCCCTGTATATTCATGGTAACTATCTGAAAATCCGTCACAAGAAATACTAAGATAGGGAAAAAAAGTTTTTTTAAAAACGACTTAGGTATTTTTTTGTTAGATGCCATCTGTTTAGAGCCCTGAAATTCCGCCAAAATATAGTAATCGCCCTGTATATTCATGGTAACTATCTGAAAATCCGTCACAAGAAATACTTAGATGAAAAAAAAAGTTATTCTTAAAACGACTTAGGTATTTTTTTATTAGATGCCATCTGTTTAGAGATCTGAAATTCTGCCAAAATATACTCATCGCCCTGTTTATTCATGGTAACTATCTGAAAATCCGTCACAAGAAATACTAAGATAGGGAAAAGAAGTTTTTTTAAAAACGACTTAGGTATTTTTTTGTTAGATGCCATCTGTTTAGAGACCTGAAATTCCGCCAAAATATAGTAATTGCCCTGTATATTCATGGTAACTATCTGAAAATCCGTCACAAGAAATACTTAGATGAAAAAAAAAGTTATTCTTAAAACGACTTAGGTATTTTTTTATTAGATGCCATCTGTTTAGAGATCTGAAATTCTGCCAAAATATAGTCATCGTCCTGTATATTCATGATAACTGTCTGAAAATCCGTCACAAGAAATACTAAGATGGGAAAAAAAGTTTTTCCAAAAACGACTTAGGTATTTTTTTATTAGATGCCATCTGTTTAGAGACCTGAAATTCCGCCAAAATATTGTCATCGCCCTGTATATTCATGGTAAGTATCTGAAAATCCGTCACCAAAAATACTCAGATGGAAAAAAAGTTTTGCTTATAACGATTTAGGTATTTTTTTATTAGATGCCATCTGTTTAGAGACCTGAAATTCTGCCAAAATAAAGTCATCGTCCTGTATATTCATGGTAACTATCTGAAAATCCATCACAAGAAATACTTAGATGAAAAAAAAAGTTTTTCTTAAAACGACTTAGGTATATTTTTATTAGATGCCATCTGTTTGGAGACCAGAAATTCTGCCAAAATATAGTCATCGCCCTGTATATTCACGGCGACTATCTGAAAACCCATCACAAGAAATACTTAGGTGGAGAAAAAAAAGTTTTTCCTGAAAATGTCTGGTATTTTTGGGCGCTAGCGCCAGTTGAGTTTGAAATTCTCTGGTGTGAACTGGGCGCTGTGGTGGGGGGTGGGCGCTGAGTATGAGCGCTAGCTCCCGACGCTAACTTCACATAAGTTCCTGAGCAAAATAAGCCAATTTGAATCAACTAAGAACTTACCCGTTACTAAAAAATAAAAATTGACAAGTACACTGCGAGAAAGTATTTTGAAAAATACATATTTGCACTGCCAATTCACTGACCATTCTGACCAAATTACATTCAGGAAGATAACAGCAAAATAATTTAAATATTCCAGTGCTGCTTCCAACACTAAAAATCAAAATATCTGGAAATCGGCTCACTTTAGCGGATTTTTACAGGGGTATCTTTTCATGCTTGTTCAGATCATCATTTTCTCAACGAATAAAGTGTGAAACTATACTGAGAAAAAAGTTACATGGCCATTCTAAACCATGATGTGGTCCATCTGTAAGGTCAATTATTGGTATAAGCACCTTCTAATAGTCACACAGTGGAAAGGTGTCCGTATTATGGTGTTTCCCATCCCAAAAACTACTGGATATTAATTCTTCAAGTAATATGTTAAAAAATGTTCATAAATTATGAGAAATTTGATTTTTATTCTTCAAATTTACCACCCTGTTGTATCTCGGCAATGGAGCGATTTCGATGTGCAGAGATTTTGTACAAACCTTTCAGAGACACCCTGTATTTTAGGTCAATTCCAAATCACAGAATTTGCAGTTTTCATTTTGCAATTTGAAGTGTTTTATAGATTCAAATTGAATGAATTCATTCTGTGGTTTTAATCTCAATTTGAATGTTTTCAATCCCAAGTGATGTTGAAATTTGAAATGGCCTAATCATAGATCACAATCACACTAAATCATTCTAAATGACCAGATATGCCCATTCTAGTGATCCTCATGGCACTGACAGGTTTAAAAACTTGAAACCACTTTAATGGAGTTTTTCCTGAGTTTTCCATAAATTAATCCACAAATGCTCTCAGGCAAATAATAAATTCAAATCAACTATCTGAATTAAATAAATTGGGTATTTATTTGATAATGGGTTGAATTATATACTCATTAGGTTTGAATAAAAAATACAAATGAATAAAAACAAACAATTTGGTCCTGGCTACAATAATAGGAATGAACAATACTATTGCAAATATGTTGATCATGCTTCTCTAAAAATTTTGTAATCATCATGTTGAAATGCATTTTAATATCAAATAATTCTGTGCACTAAATGTTGATTTGAAAGGAATAAAAATATAGTATATTATCAATTCCAACTTATTAGTAATATACATAGAATGTATGGTTAATATAAAAATTTCAAATGCATTGTTATTCACCCTTCCCCACTAGACTTTAAAGTCTTAATTACATGTTTTACCAGACATTTTTGAATGAGAGGTACCAAATCTGAACAGGCTTTTTGAAGTAATTCAACAGTTTGATTCAGTTTTTCTAAAGAAATCATCCCAGACTGGTAAAACTGTGATATCTGGTTGTGGTTATTCAAAATAGAAATAACCACAATACCATGATCACTATTCTTGGTGTCATCTAAGATAGGCCCAGAACAAAGTGATTGCTCCAAGACATTTGGGTCCAGAAGTATCATGTCTTTTTGAATTCCTAATGTTACAGATGTTATGATGTCATACATAGGAACACCAGCATGAGATAGTGCTATACCAGCTGCAGTTATTGCTGCACTAAGACAGGATCCATCATTATGGAGCACTAGAGCATAAATATCAACTTGAAAATTTGGAAACTCATGTCTACACACTGTTGATTCTAAAGCTTGCTTCATGATGGCACTGTATTGGTTTTCTTCATTATCTTTCTGGTGTAAACGACGTTTTTTGCAACTGAATGGAGCAAACTTGAATTCACAGTAGATTTCTCCTTTGAGAGAGTAGTCTTGTCTGTTTGGTATTTCATGTGGATCAAACACAGAGACAATTACTTTGGAATTATCAAGTTCTATATAAGCTGATCCTTTCGCCTGGCTCACAATGCCGGTCTTTAGGACTGAAACAGTACCTTGTCTTAATTTGGATCATTACCTCTAGTGGTGTACTTACAAACTTTTCTGTGATCCAAGAATCCTCTAGCATCACTTCGTTTTCCTTCTTTCTGTAGTTCTTTGAATATCTGATTCCATGATGGTGTACTTTGTTTCGCAAATAAACTGTAAGGCAACGTTTCATCGGGTCCATTTATCCTCTTATGATCCAACGGCATCTTAGGATTCCGAATGGATTATGGGGGTTATAATCTTCTATCACAGAATTTCTATCATCCTCATCATCATATTTTTTAACAATGATAAACAGTCAGTCATGTACCGACTGTGCTGAGGTCGGACCGTAGCCTTTAGACGTGACTCGTGACTTTGGTAGATGGTAAAGATGTGTCTAATGTCACAACTCTGCTAATGTCTATATGGTTGCGATATTATAGTGGTCTGGTACAGTCGGGAATCGTGCAACAATTTCGTTTCACTTGTCAGATGTTCGAAATGATTTTGACATTATTTTGACCTTATTTTGACAAAAATGTCAGTTGCAAGTCAGTCCGCCGTCCTGTCTCCGTCAGCCGTCTGTCTTTTTTTAGTATACGTCAACATCAAGATCTTTTATTTGTATTTTTCTTTAAAATCACAAAAATCATACACAATTCTGGAATTTCTGGTGAATGTTTCCAGTAATCAAGTTCGACGGTTCAACATTAACAATCAATGAAAAATGTTCGTTAATACCATAGTGAATAGGATGGATTTTGTAAATCGAATACATTGATGCACAGTCACAATAATGTTCACCAAGAGAAATCTAGTTGATATAAAGAAATCAACATCCAAGCTTCAAGACTCAAAAAAGGATGTAGCTACTAGGATTAAACATTTGAAAATCATTTTAGGTAGCATACATATATCTTTCTTAGGTTTCTCAATCACTAAAGTAATATATTTTCAGAAAATGTAGACATTGCTGAAGCTAAAGGATTTTTTGAAGCAAATTTCAGTCACATTTATAATGTACTGTATGACAGTTTTGTACAAACGGAAACAAATTTACGGCAGAGAGGTTGGTATACTGGAATAAAATTAGAAAAAGTATGATGACATAAAGGGCCTCTATTCTGGCTCCTGGCAAATTCTCTAAATCCTCCAGATCATAATAGCCAAATAGATGTAACAATAACAACCCTAACCACTATCATTATTTGTATAAATTAATGTGTCTACTTGTATGTTTATTCATTAGGTATAATATATTCACAAATATTTTAGTAGAGTGGCTTAAATTTCTTACTGAAATGTTCTTCAACATTTTTGATTCAAATGTTAGTTCTGTTCATACCAATCATGAATTCAATCATATTCAATTTTAACCCAACAGCTACAAAATTTTTCATTTAAAATTTACTGATTGACTCACTGGATGATGATTGAAAGAGTGAAAGACATGCTGGAACTCTTAGGTTCAACTTGGAACCTAATATAAAGTTATTTATCAGACCATCATTATTCCATTCAAAATTTTCAGTACATTTGTCACTTCTTTCACTCAAGAGGTTAAATTGATAATAATGATAAGTTCTTCTGAAACATTGGGCTGCAATTAAAAAAAAAGTGGTTTCTGGTAGATTATTACTTGACAGAAGGTATAGAATTAGTTTGGAATTGGTATTTTGATAAAGAGCTTTCAATCCTCTGATAGTTAAATAACTCAGATATATGCTGGCATAAAAGCTGTCTGGTTCACCTAGATAACAAGGCATGATAGGTCCATATTTCATATAAAAGTAGTCTTTTCACCATGCTCATTCATATTAATGGCATTTTGTCCAAAAACTAATGCATTAGAGAGACACAGATAATAGATTTTTAATAGTATTTATAACACATACTAAAGAAGCTTGCTAGCCTCTTACGAATTCCAATATGAGACTCAACACATAACTCTAGGCTCATTTTAGTCAAATTTATTACCATATTCTCATTTTTTTGTTTACCTCTATGATAGAAGAATCTGTGGCTTTGCTAGCTTTGGCCCAACTCAGCAAAGCTATTCTTGAATAACAATATATTTTGATGATTTGATATAGTGAAATTTTAGGGCTTATTTCAGGCTAATTTATTACCCTATTTCCATATTTCTGATTCATCTCCACTATTCTGTCAAATCGGCCTGTTTATTTTGTTTTTATTGGTTCACATTTGTTTTTTGTGTTATTTTCTATGTTGAATAAATAACTCTGTGGCTTTGCTAGCTACTGGTGAACTCAGCGGAGCCATTGTTGAAAAGAATATATTTTATACCAATTTAATGTATTGGGGTTCAAATTTTTTGCTCAACGTTTAAAAAATAATTACCAAAACTACACATTTCTATTGAAAGCATATTTTATGACAATTTCATGAGGAAAAGCAATAGTATTGATTGTAGGTTCAATTGGTACTCTAATTCAATGGTAGCAGAGAAACCATAGGTTATTGTACAAGGTATTCAAAAATCACACCAACAAAATAATTCTGCAGATAATTTATCTGGAATAAAGATCCCCATTTCTTATCTAATTCTGATTCAGTATGGCCTTTAAGGATGCTTTAGTAGGATTCATGGTGAAAAGAATGTAGTATATTCACTGTTGGTGTTGTGGTTTACGTATGGCTGAAATCAGATCACTCAAACTCCCCACAACTTAGAAAACTCAAAAATGTACTTCAACATGAGACTTATTTTTAGACCATTTCATTATTCAAATGGAAAAGACTCTGTGATAATGGATAATACATACGGTTATTCTTAGTTTATGAGTACCTACCTAACTGTTGATACTTTTTAAATAACTTAGGCTTTCTGAATAACACATTAACAATTCACTAATCTGAATTATACAGGGTGTTATTTAAGAATCTGGCAAAACTTCAAGGGGCGATAATAAATATAGTTCCTGAATGCTTCTTTTTCACGATACAGGGTGTTGAAGTTGGAAGTATTGATTGTTGTTTTTCATGATTTTTTTCACTCAAAACTCCGCACGCCATTATCTCGAAAACGAATAGAGATATTAAATTCCTGTAAAATGTCGTCAATGGATGGGGTCAAGTAGATTTTTTTCAAAGTTTAAAAAATTTAACGCCTACTAAGAGCCGAGCGTCGCGACGCGCACTGAACAGTACATGTTCTTTTATTTATTTATTTGACTCATTTCTGAGTTATACCGGTTTATAGTAAATGTTTCTTGATTGACAAAATATGCGATTACATATGATTCTTAAAAGAATGTCATTAATATCAGCTATATTGGCAACCATTGTTATTGCAATTGTTTCAAGTGCAAAACTAGACTATTGCATGCATAAATTAGAACCGCAGGTGATCCTGCTAGAAGAATAAATTTCTTTACTAAGATTTTCAAATTTTTTTATCAAATCTGATTCCATAATAATGAAATCGTGAACAGACACAACTATCGTTTTCGGTTCGAAAACCATCCTCGTTGGATTTCAAAAAGATGTTATCAGCGAATTTTTATGATTATGAGGCTACAGCATGATGGAGAGCCCGCTCATAATGCTGAAAGTGTTACGAGGTATTCAAACAGAGAATACCCCAAGGATGGTTTGGCATTAATGGACCAATAAAGCGGCCGGCAAGGTCTCCCCGGACGTTACACCACTACAGACCACCAGATTATTTTCTTTGGTGTCACCTAAAGAACGTTGTCCATGAAGAACCAATCGAAGATAATATGGCTAATCGTATTGACAACATTAGTGCAGTGTGTTGCCGCTATTACAAGTGACCCAAGCTCATCTGCTCAAAGTGTTATAGTTTTATTCGAGCAGATGAACATATAAAAAATAGAATTTTGTCGCTCGGCAACGAAGTGCAATGACCTTATCTCACGAAAATTGGGGCGCTTGCCGGTTTGCATACTCCTAGGTCACTCCCCAAGGGCGGCATACGAACCGGAAGTGGCAATTTTTCAGTGTTATAGTCGATGATCTAAGAATGTATGCCCTTTGGTGAAACATTGAAACAATGAATTGGGACCCACTAATCAATTTCCCGACATTTGCATACGATTCCGGAGAGGGGAGCTCCACTTATTCGAACATCATTTGACTCGATATCCTTCAAATAATCGATAATCGAAGAAATGTTCGAATTTTGACCATGGTTAGTGGACCACAAGGTATATATGAGATGATGGTTTGCATACAATTTGCACATTCCGTACAGGGTGGTTCACCATAAATATCTCCCATTGTAACTTAGTTGTTTCTGAACCGATTTCAAAATTTGATTTTTTTTACTGGAACACTATATTTTATTTCACTATCGAGTTGAGATCATCATGACGAATACAGCTCTACAGCATCTTGGGATATTACTTACACGCAGCACTCTTATAGCGATCATGCGCCAAAGTGTGCCAGAAATATGAATCCCGGGTTTGAAGAATTTTCTTCTTCTTTTGCTGGAACAATTTTCATATCTGAACAATGATTTGCTGCGTCAGCCGGGTAGAGTGTAGCACGTAATGATTTAGGCAGAGGTTGGTGACATCATAATCTCTGAGACTTCAACTGAGAAAGTATCAGGTATATCTTTCGATCATGCCAAAATTTTTCAATGATTATATCCATTAACAAATAATTAAATAACATGTACTGTTGACTGCGCGTAATTTCAAAGTCAATGCAATCGATTTATATTTTCGACACATCGCGATGCTCAGCTCTTAGTTGAATGAATTTTTTAAACATCGATTAAAATCTACATGACCCCATCCTTCGACTACTTCTACAGAAATTGAATATTTCTATCTGTTTTCGAGATTTTGGCATGCGGAGTTTTAAGTGAAAAACCCTGGATAAGCATTCGTGATCTCCAAATTTAGTCTGGTTGGTGGCTGAAAAAGTATCAAAATTTCAGAATAATACTCATTGAGTTTATTGGGTGATCCCAATGGGTGATTTAAGGACCACCTATATTCAAATATTTCCTCAGAAACTAAGGGATAGTATACAAAAATATAATAGGGGACAAGAAAGTTGTATTTTCAATTGTAATCTGATAAAAATAACGAACTTGGAATTGGAAAATTACTCTGACGTACGTACCTTATTTTCCATAAACATCGAAACAGCCTGCGACGCTCGGGGATAATTATTTCGAATCTAAATACACGAAAAGAAGCTTCTCGATACTTCTTGATACTATTAACAAATTCATTAAGTTTCATTATAATTGGAAATCTGAATTTTGAGTAATAATTGAAGAAACGATTTTTTATTGAAACGAAAACGAAGCATTTCTGGACCTATGTGTACATGAAATTTTAGAATCACCCCTTGAAGTTTGGCTAGAGACTTGAATAACACCCAGTATCCTCACATGCTTGCTTCTCAGTTCGTTTAATTCATTCAGAGAAAGCTTCACTTCATAAATTGTTCTTCCACTTACCTCATATAATAATAAATAAAAAAGAATAATACAATATTAAGGTGCATTGTCACATAACACTATCATTTTATCATTGTTCTCAGTTGATATCCCAAAACTATATCTTACTTCATGCTTGAAGATTCTGTAGATTGAACAGTTACATTCAGAGAAGTGCACAAAAACGGACAGGACTGTATTTTTTTAATTATTCGAGACCTAGCAAGTATACCAAATTGCTCATTAATTGATAAAACAATTTTTCTACTATCACTCCCAGTTTCACAGGAAACGACCCCAACTTCTAATTTTCAAATGGGATACCCTGTATTGTATTCCATAATCGGTTAGGGATTATCATGACGAATTCAACGATACCGGGTTTGATAGAGTTATTTCAAACAATTACAAAGATATTTGCGTTCGAAGTTTCCGTGCGACTTCGCAATATCAAAACTTCTTTCTCTGTCACACTCATTGAGCATATTGAAACTTAAAACGCGAATATTTGCGTAATCGTTTGAAATAACCCTATCAAACCCGGTATCGATGAATTCGTTATGACAATCCCTAACCGATTTTGGAATACAATACAGGGTGTCCCGATAGAACAAAAATTGTTTCGTCAATTAATGAGCAATTTGTTAAACTAGGTGCCCACCAATTTTCAAAACCCTATCTCGAATAATTCAAAAGTCACAGTCCTGGCCGTTTTTTGTGCACTTTTCTGTATAGTTAAATTATAATAACAATGATATCATTCCAGTCCACTCCATTAAGTTTCAAATTCTTAATTGTACATACAGGTCACAGGTAAAGAATCCACCTTATTTTTTTGATATGGCTCTAAGATGTAGGTACTCTACTCTGAAGTTTTACTCATGTGTAATATATTTCTGCTTATTCTACTGTCTCATGTTTTGTAAATATTTCCTGAATAATGTCTAATTATTTGCTTCTCTCTGTTTCTGTGGTGTCAGAGCTGTCCTTTCACTTGGGTAAGTTGAAAAAAAAACTGATAAAACACATACTCTTATTGCTGTTTATTCTTCAGTACACAAAGCACATAAAGAAGAATTGGAATGTACCCTCTGGATCCTCGAGCAAGTGCTGTGCTTACTTCCGGAATTGATCCACAGAAGATGGCAGCTTCATTCCCTCGGGAGGCTAATTTCCAAACTTTTACATCCAGGGAACGCGGTAAAACTGCGGCGTCAAGGCATCCGATACTTCTTGATGTGGTATCAGGCACTGAATGACAATGCCCCTGAATATGTGCACAATATGTTTGCTGCTCTAGTCCCAGCATTTTCTGGTCAAACAGCTACCCCACTGCAGAACAGTGCGAGTGTCTTTCACGACACGAGTGCGCAGAACCCTGTGACACCGACTGAACTCTTACCGATTTTGCCCGTATCTAGTGGCGAGAAGGTCCCAGATTATTCAAGTAAATTTTTTCTGGAAGCCCTACTGGAATATATGGTTCACACTGTGGTGAAACTTGAATGGCAAGACAAAAGTGCTTACCATCACAGATGTTTTGGTTTTCTGCTAGAAAAATTCAAAAGATACTATTTACCAAAACTTTGTCCACACTTCTGGAAAGAGACATCTTTATATAAACCAAATCTAGGTAAAGTAATGATGCGACAATTGAAACCCTAAAATGTTTGTCAAATTCAGCATTAACGTCTTCAAAATTGGTATAAACACAGTTGATTGAGTATTGGTCATGTGGTTATCAATGTTTTAAATTCACAGTATATTTCTTTAGAGTAAATAAAAAAAAAAGTTTTCCTCAAATACTAACAAAATGATAATGTTGAATAGCAATAACGGTTCTCAAACTAAACTAAAAACTTGCATGACAGTCATGCCATGACTTATGAGGTTAGGTAGAAATGATGATTATTTGCAGAAGAGGTTGAAAAATGCCTTGAGTGAGATAGGGCCTGTTTGAAAGTGGTTAGTTGATCGGACTGCTGTCTAGGATCAGTCCAAGAGAAATTCAAAAGTTGAGCTGTTGAGTTTCAAGCATATACATGTTTTTCCATCATTATAATCTGAACTAACTGAAATATATCACTAGAACTGAACCTGAGTCAGTTATTGTGTTCTTTCCAAAGAATCTGATTAGTTAGAATGCATGTTAACTGATTAAGTTCAGTCCAAGTGAAATATGTCAGTTAGTTCAGAAAGTCAGAAAAAAATCGATTTCAGCAGGTAGAGCAAGCACAAAGGAACAGGCTTATTATAACAATCAAAATAGTTCAGTGGCGCTGACTCAAGTTTGGACAAGAAAAGATTTATCGGACCTCTCTATATTTCAATACTGCCAAGTTGGTAGCATTGAAGAGAAATACGGAAGAGGAGAGAACTTTCCTCTTTCTCGTTCAAGGCAGAAAAGAGTTCAATTGAATTTCAGAAAGTGTCAATTCAATTTCAGAAAGCATCAATTGCATTTCAAAATAGTCAATTCAATTGCAGAAAGCGTTAATTGTATTTCAGAAAATATCACTCGAGATACAGTGGATGCTTTCTGAAATTCAATTGACTATTCTGAAATGAAATTGATACTTTCTGAAATTCAATTAATAATAATAATAAATCGTCTTCATCCATCACCTGCAGAAATAATCATCTGCAAAAAAAATAATCAAAAAATATATTTTACCAAACCTTATACCTATCTGCAATGGAGAATAGGCGGAGTAGTATCAGCAAAAAAGCTGTATTTCAATTCTATTCTAACATACAATTGACGCTATCTGAAATTGAATTGACTATTCTGAAATTCAATTGATGCCTTCTGAAATACAATTGACTATTCTGAAATACAATTAATACTTTCTGAAATATAAGTGACTATGACCTTCATTATAATTAACCTGAACTGTCTGTTCTGATGGGAGATGCGCAGGAATGGCACTCGAATCTAGTAGGTATTTATCAATACCGAAATGTCATAATGCTGTCATTGTCATGGCTACCAAAGTTTAATGAGACATGAAAAGAAGTGCACAGAACTATAATGATTAAAATATATTGCTAGAGGTGAATAAAATGTAACACCTTGGTAGTAAACAATATTATTACCACGGACCTTACTCGGCTGAAGCTTCGTCCTATAATCTTGGTCCCTGGGTAAGAATGATATTCTTTACTACCGTGGTGTATAAATAACTATTCTACCGTGATTGTCATTGATCATACTTTATAATTATAATAATCGCAGGATACGAATTCAATTATCATTTGTATCCATAGTCAGCCGATACCAGTCCCCTAGCCACAAACAATAAGTTAATATAACCTCAATGCCCACGATTGATGTTATTATTATGTTATTCACTGAAAAAATAATGATTATATATAATATAATAATAATTACAGTTCTGCAAAATATACTGTCGATGTTAGCAACATAAATATTTAATTGGTTCACCCCTACTCTGAAATCATTCTCAGGTATTTGTAATTGGCGGGTTTCATTAGTGGGAAGCGTGATCTGCTATACATGCCACCTACTTTATTCTTAACTGGAATATATTATCAAATGAGTTAATGAAATGTGGATTCCAGGCAACCCGCTATAAGGACAAATATCAGTTTTACCAGCAACCAGTACTAGACATATAGTGAATTTTATGAAGTGAAAGACTAATCCAGAGCAACATGTTATCTCAGTTATGACTGAACCATGAACAGTTTTTTCCAAATAAATGCGTCGAGCATAACCTCACTTTTTCGTAGCTTGATCTTGTAACATTTGGAAAACAATTTATTTGAGATAAATCTCATGTTCAGTTCCTTCATCCACATTATCATTGCCTGCTTTGTAATACTAGTTTAGTTCACCCAACAGTTTATCTGAACACTGTCAATAATAATAAATGGTATGTTTCAACACTTGTTGGATAACCTTATTATTATTTCTGAAATTGAGCTTGGAAGTACTTGAGAGCCATGAGTTTTACATTTACCTCTGCACCAAATCTCTCCGTTCAACAGAGCATCAATCAATTTTTCACGACAAAATAGGAGCTTCTGAAAAGAACACTCCTGGAGAATCCTGATATTTCATTATTATCATTTTTTGTACCACTTTTGCAATGCACACAAAACGATCAAGTAAAACACTGACAACAAACTAAATTTGACATACATTTTCGGGTGGTTCAATTCAACAGAAGCCTTCGTGAACATATTGTTATGACTCGATCTTTTTCACAGAATTGCCGGGTTTGAGAAGATCTGAGATCGAAAATGAATTCGTTTATTGCCGAGTAACCTTCATTATGTGGGTGATAAATTACATGCATCAGACGAAGAAGGGCCACGAAATCAGTGGTGGTGCAGGACCAGCTTCTATACCCAGCATCCAATCGCCTTCACAACATTCACACGATGATGATTCGCAGCATGACTCTTCTCATCCTAGCTTGGATTCCAGTAAGAGATATTTCAATAATTGCTCCAGAGTAAGGGAAGATTTTCTATGCTAATATTTCTTGGTGTTAATATCTTGTTCATTAGTTGTCATGCAATTCAATTGTCTAGTTATTATTTGATTGATACAACTAAAGTGCTCAAAGTACTACTACTGCTACTCGAATTAAAGTCGCGATAATGCGATAATTTTTTTGCAAATCGACCGATTTTTGGTCGGAATGCAGTGTTCAAAAGAAATGTTTCGAAGTTTTCCAGTTATGACATACTAAGTGGTCAGTTGTGAGTTTTGATTCAATTAGTAATCACTTTCCAGTAGCCCTCAATACTTCAAAATAATCCATATCATTTTCTCACAAAGCTCAAAAACGAATGGACCACACCGCACTGTACAAAACGAGAAACATTTCTCACAATTCTCCATTGTTGTTTACCTCTCGCAGCGTAGCTTAGTTGAAATCGCGAATTGAGAATTGTTGTTGAATCATATGAACATTTCATTCTTATTTCCAGCACTATCCATACAAACTAACAGAACTACCAGTGATGAGGAATTGGCCCCTCAGATAGTACGTGAAGTATTTTGCAGCAACAGAGACAACATAAACTTCATTCACGAATTGTATCGCCAAGCATTCCTCCTCAATTTCACACACGTAGTGGCCATAAGGAAAATCATCGGCCTGTACAAGGATCTGATACAGGGTAACAATAGCAAAAATCATATTATCATATCATTGTGAATAGTGAAAGTAGAATGCTAATGACATATTGGCCAAAAGTGTTGTATAGAAGGGAGTGAAAACGTCATTACCAACCATTATTAATAATTACTTCAATTAATTATATGCAAAAAATTAACTCAAAATTCACAAACCATGGTCAAACATATTCGCGTGTGGCTAAATTCACCAATTGACATATCTTCATCGAATGATGGATTGCTCAACAAATCAAATACTAGTATTATGCAAATCCTCCAATCCCAGTGACAAAACTCGCTACTATCTAGACAGACATATGCAATATCGAAAAATTTCGGGTGAATTGCTCACCTGAAAATGCTTCTGCTCAATGCGCAGAAACCCTCAAACTGACGTTCATGTTCGAAAACGTGAGTAAGAGTGAGTAAGGGATATATGACAGGTCCTAAAGGGTGCATGATTCAGTTTCCCACTTCAAACAAAACATCCACTTACAAACGGAGTACGGAACTTTCTGTCAAATGTCAGATGGTTTTATTTTGCCATAAGCTGTTTGTGAGCATGACGTGCACATCGCGATGCTCCACTGACATAAACTACTATCCAGTGACGGCTCGTCAGGGTCGGCTGGGACGTACCAGAAAATTCGAGGAAAAAAGCTTAACTGTTTTCGATATTCATTGTTTATTATGCTACTATTATGCCACTATTATTTGAATTTCATGCACTGAAACCTTACTCAGAGCCCATGAGTTCAATTTTTCCTGGGTATACATCCAGGCATACATCCATCTTCGGGGAAATTTTCTCCTTCATAAACATATGTTACCGAATTTTTTTTGGATTCAATACCATATAAACTCCACTTTGTAACATCATGTTTTCATTATTCATCTATTCCCTAATGCATGAAAACTATCATAACATCACATTGGGGTATTATTCAAATTCTATGTATTTGAATTGATAAAATTTACTCTATCGAATCACAGATATTCTCTCGTGATGGTGCTGTAGATACCTTAGAGCAATATCTCAAGACATGTCACAATCAACTTTTTTGTTACTTTTGGTCACAATCCAAACATAGGAGTCAAGTAATGTTAATGATAAAGATGGAAAGCCCTAATTTCAAGTGACAATAAAAAATGGAAAAACTCCACCGCCCCGTGTGAGAGTCGAACTCACAACCTCTGGGTCAAGATTGATCAACAGATGACTCGTTATCTCAAATGGCAGACCGCTGGGCATGTAACCCAGAGGTTGTGAGTTCGACTCTCACACGGGGCGGTGGAGTTCTTTCATTTTCCATTGTCACTGGAAATTAGGGCTTTCCATCTTTATCATTACAATCCAAACACCCTATGAAATGATGATTTCCATTTAGGTAATGTAGCAGAAATGCCTCCATACGCGCTGGAACTCCCTGACGATGCACCTAGAAATCTAGGGGAAGAGGTTACACCGGATACACGCTCTAGTAGGCTCAGAAATGACTCTTATTTGGGAGCCATACATAAGGAGAATTTGCTGGTTAGGGCTGGCATGCAGGTTTGGGCTCTTCCTGAATATTATTTTGGTTTGTTTGCTCGTGGTGGAACTTCTTCATTAGCCTTCCAAAATTTGTTGCATAATTTTTGATGTGAAGTTTGGAATTTTCATTACGAGCATAATGATCTTGACAATCAAGATTGATAGTTAGGATCCAGCCGCTACTTTTATTTGTATTCATTTATTTACGGGATACCTCCATTACTGAAAAAAATTACATTAATAATACATGAACATAAGTAAATAAACTAATGCCTAAGACTACTCAATTCTAATTTTATCTAACTAAACTGTACTTGCAGAAAAGAGAAATTTACAAATATACATATAGGTAATTACAGAATTATTTCCAACAAACGATGTGTGTACTGTGCACACCTACAATAATCATTTCAGAGTAGTTTTGAACAAATCCAGCGATTCACCGAAGATTTCTAGATTATAATCATTAATCCTTTTGAGACTTCGAGATATTGGACAGTGAGAGCCATAATTTGTAGCATGCAATTTAATTTGAAAGAGTTGCATATTGCGAAGTGTTCTCTGTGGGACATTAAAGTTGATCATTTGTAGTAAATCCGGACATATAGTGTACCCATTTATGAGTTTAAAAATGAAACACAGATCAGTATGTGTTCTGCGTCTCTAGAGAGTTGAAAGATTCATATTCGGTAGGGTGATGTTATAATCATTTCTCGGATATAAATTCATTCTGAATGCTTGAAACCGCAGAAACTTATTTTGGACTGATTCAATTTTAGCAATATGTATATTTTTCTGTGGTGACCAGACAGTGAATGCATATTCAACTAGTGATTGTACCAAACAACAGTAGATATAAGTCATGGAAACCATCCATTCTTCTCAAAGTGGTCCAGATTTTTTCAAAAAAAAAAACAAAATACACAAACTTCTCATATTTTTGTTACAAGGAGATTAGTTAATTAACCCATAGTTTCCTTTGCAATAATTTGTTATTTTGCCAATTTTGTGTACCTTATGATGATTTTGTCATGTCATTTAGTTTGTATAATTTGTCACTGTCATTCAGTCTTGTCATGCTGTCACTGTCATTTGCTTACTTCGGCGATTCTTGGATTTCTGTCTTTCAATAGCCATTCAAGATGAAACTCAGTTGAGTGAATTTAAATATCTAAAAATTTTTTTCGTGCCAATGTTGAACCTCATGATTATAAGGTTCTTTTGGCTGTTCAGCCGTTATAAAAATTTAATCACCCCCTTACCGGACTGATTATTTACGTTGAAATAACCGCTTGATTTTTATTTGTTGAATTTGTAATCACCACATGGCCTAGGTATGTTTTTTCCTCAGCAAACTTATTGTTCGTCTGTAATTTCATCGCTTACAGGTACTTTATTCAATTTGTGTCTGAAGATGGCTGTTTAGCCGAAACTAGTCGCACTAGTAATTGTGTAGTATAATTTGTGGTCGACCGACTTTGTGTATTTTGTTTTTTCTTTGAACAGTAGATATTTTTAACTTTTGTCGGTGAAAAGTCGCTACTATTATGAAGAGTGATACAAAGCATTTTTCTAGCTTAAAGGGCGATATTTGTTGTTGTTCTTTATTACCCCAAGAAACATATTTGTTTATGATAGGGATATATAAACATATTGTCAATATGTTCATTGAAGGGAAGGTGATTATCGAAAAGTTCTCCTTAGTCTCTAATAGATTTTAAAGTAGGTAAAATCACCCATATAGTAGCTCGATTCGCATTTAATATTACCTTTGTAAAAGCTAATGCTGCAGAATTTATCAAGATGTTGCTCTTGTTATGTGGGTGAGTCAAATAAAATACCTAGAGAAATTTTTGTTGCCTGTGATAACTTTCCCGCGTTATGACAAATTGGGAAACATTTGTGGATATGGAATTTGTCCCATCTAAGTAGTGGTTGGACTCTACATGACGGTTTTGCTATGTTATTGCTATTGAGTGGCTTTTCAGCAAAGCGAGTGAGGCTGATGAGAGGCCTATTTGGCTAAAACAATACTGTCTCGCTCTTGCTGACAATTGCTATTCATTCTAGATGTCCTAGTTATAGTTTCATAACAATTAACATTACTTGTTTTGAGAACGTTCCAGAATATATATCAGTTGTTCATGACCCATGCAGCAAATGTTTTCTTGTTGGAAGTAAATGCTCTTGTTCCCAAAACGCTTGAGGAACAAACTGATGCTTGTAAAAGGGTCTTAAACATTTACCGGTACATGGTAATGAATACCAGGATGGATAACAGCACATGGTAATACATTGATGCACATTTTTTTTCGTTCTATATCACATTTAAAAATATTGCAGGGAACAATTATTGCTAGTTTTACTGCAGATAACTTCTCTGGTACTTGGTGAAAACCCTCCCAAAAAGAAAGCATCAACTCTCGGTGGTAAACTAGCCCCTGCCATATTCCAAACTCTAATAGTCACCTGGATTAAAGCTAATTTGAATGTTCTGATATCCAGAGAACTATGGGATAGGTTCCTACATGTTTTAACATCATTAACTAGCTGGGAAGAATTAATCAAAGAATGGGCGGTAAGATGATTGAAACATTTTAAAATTCTTGTAATCAATTGAAGTTCAATGATTTTAGAAAACATTGGAGACCCTTACGAGGGTACTAGCAAGGCACGTATACAATTTGGATCTGACAGACTTGCCTCTTGAACGACTGAATGAACAAAAAACGAAAAGAGGTAGAAGACCCGTATGCAGACCTGAAAACAGCACTCCGTGCAGTACAGCCAACGGTGGCTATCCTGCCATTTGCAGGCAGGATTCGAGCTTACCTGATGGCCATGTTTCGTCGAAGATGGGAAGGTCGCCACTCACGAGGAGTTACAGTGAGACTAACATGGTGGTGAAACACAAATTCAGCAGAATCAAGCCGCACAATGTGAGCAAAAATACTTTCAAATTCTCAATTCATAGAATAGATCTTATGTTGAAATGATTGGGAGATTTAGTACTGTGATTGTGAGGTGGCCAATCTATATTTTGCAAGAATCTGACAACCGAAATGTTGTTGAAAAACCTTATTGAGAAGAAGATTTCAGTCAATGTTTAAATATTTTTAAAAGTCTATAGAAATATCCATCTCACTTATCAATTCAAAATTCAATGTTTCAAAAATCAAAAAAACAGTAGACGCACAAAAATATAGAAACAAAAAATCACCCCAGAATTAAATACTGATAATAATCACTTAGGATATATTCTATTAGTTCAATATACATGAAATCTATCGATAATTATATTGCTTATCATCTAAGCAAACCTTTAAGCAGAAACGAATCCAAACTAAACATTGTGTTGGTAAATAGTTTCTTACATAAAAGGGTTTGTTTATTCTTTTTTAAAATTGTTAATATACAACAAACCTAACTATTTTCCCACCATACTCGGAGAGATATTTTGGTGTCACCATATATAGCAAATAATGAAATAAAAAGTGTCGTATTTATATTGAAGCCATGAATATTTATAAACCAAAAACAGAAATCAAGAAATAGTAGCGTTATTGAATGTAAACAGTTTTCATATTTCAGTGGTTGTCATAATTGAAACATTTTGATATTATCCATATCATCGCTATCATCGCTGTTATTAAATCAGTGGTCCATCCAGCATTTGATGGATGAACATTTATTATATTTGTCAGAAGTAAATAGTGTCGGAAAGAATCTACTCCCGTTTTCAACATGAGAAATGTAAAATATTATCCTTTGAAAATTGTCTTCGTATAGTTTGACACTCAGTGACAGACTGATGTTAGTATATAAATGAGTTACAGGATGTTGTTTGATCTTGAATCTACCATTTTCATGTTCAGTTTTCATTAGTGGATACCATATTCTATCTATACCAACTGAACATTTCATTTCATAGTGATATTACTCAATTTATGATAGTAAACAACATTTACTTTACAACAAAACAAGATTGTGTGTAATTGAAATATACTCCAGAAATTTGATACCACATGTCATACTCCCCTAATATGATCTGTAAGAATCAACTAATTATGGTTTATTTATGTGCAACGAGCATCAGTAATATTTTGGTTATTTTTAAATCATTTCGTTACTGAAAACTATTTGGAAAAATGTTATCTTCAATGTATCTGAACTTCCATACACGTGAAGCAGAAAAAAGAAAATAGTGATTACAAAAGATGAATGATTTATTTTATTTTAAGAATGGAAGTATGCCAAACATGATTGTGGTAAAGTGACTGATCAAGGTGAACTTGCGGTACTTTTTGTCAATTCGGTCGGTTATCAAACGATAAAAAATGTTTTCTTCGAGAAAATATAGTTTAATCACACAGAAGATGAACCTGTTCAAAGTAAGTATAGATATGATGAAACAAAATCGAAATTGTTCAGATATTTATTTTCGTTATTATTTCTCAGCAGACAATTTATTACTCACTGAAATTATTGACCAATATTGCATTGCTAAAACTATTGAAAACTGAATATTCAATTTGTTTATTCATTACCATATTCATGTGTTCGGTCATTAACGAAGTGTATCCAAGATACCTTGAAAACATATGAACGTTTAGTTTTTCAGCCGATATTGTGGAGTTCCATTTGGTGTAATGGTACCTACTCTCTTTAGTTTCTTCTTAAAACATATTGAGTTTGCTGAAAACCAATACTTATTATTTTCATTTAAGGATTACCAATTTTATTGTTGATTGCCAAATTGCTCCCAACTTTTTCTGATGATTTTTGTCTTTCAGGTGAATCGAAGGAGATCGAAATCTCTAGACAACCTCGCCCCGGTTGATACAGAATCAACAGACCGTACCAGATCACCTAGTCCAGCTCCGTCCAGTGGTCTTGAAAGTAACTCCATCAAGGACTCGCCCATACAGCTCGACATGTTCTCAACTGACCACCAAATCCTAGAACTATCTGGTGAAACAAGAGGGGTTGTGTGTGGTGGTACTGTCAGGGGTTGGCTGCCGGATGTTGCAGTTATTCTTTGGAAAAGAATGCTAGGTAAAACAGAAAATGCAATGTAATGATCCCAGTGTTCTCATGTGCCACTATTTTTCTTTTGAAACCATTTACCCCTCGAAATAAAATATACTGAACATAACCTCAAAGCCTATGGGTCGCGTGTAAGGTCTGTCAGATGACCGACCCTGGAGGTGAAACAACACAAAATAACCTCACTTTTCGTATTTCTTTTCGAAGATTGAAATAGTTTTTCACTTAACGAATCATGACTCTTGGTCAGAACTTGATTTTTTAAATAATTGCACCTTTAAAAATTCTACGCCAATGGCAGAAAAGAGGTTTGAGTATGAAATTTGGATTGGGTACTCATTTACTACAAGAAAGTTACCTTGATAACACTCGATTTACTCTCATGGTTTTGACAAAGTTTGTATTTTAATAATTATTTTTTATGTTCTAAAATTACTAAAATGCAAATTTCGTCAAAACCATGAGAGCAATCGAGTCTTATCACGAGTACCTTTTTTAAAGTAAATGAGTTGCGCAATCTGAATTTCATACTCAAACTCCTTTTCTTCCATTGGCGTAGAATTTTTAAAGGTGCAAATATTTAAAAAATCAAGTTCTACGCTTATGTATTATTATCGGTCAAAATTTTGACACCATTTTTTTGCCACATAAAACTCTATCAATATACCAAATTTCAGCAGAATCGCATAAATGCCGTTTTAAATTTATATGGGAAAAACAGTGTAAAAATTTGTAACTTCAATGCCCTCTGGAGCCCAAACGATGCAACTTTGTACTCAGGTAATTTTACTTAAATCGACTTATTTTGGTCTAAGGAATATGTGGCATGTCTTTGTAATGACCTTTTACAGACACCCTGTATGTTTGTTTTAACTTGAGCAGCGGTGTAGTTATCGCAGGTAATTTCAACTAAATTATTGCAAGGAACCTTGTTTTTTTTTTGTTCAAATTCCTCTGAATGATGGATTAAAATTAGGTAAGTACCTGAGGTACTACGAATATTTGGTATTGGAATTGAAAGATTAGACCCAAACATTTTCTAATAGGAAAAATAGCGTTGTAATTGTGGTAAAATTGTCTTGTCTCTCGCTTAACCTACGCGAGAAAGAAACGTGTGAACTTTGGCGCACAGTTTACAGCGTTGCCATTTTTTAGAGCCATCTCCTTCTAACTCATTTGAAACTCTGGAAGTATGTATGATTGAAAACAAATAGTGTTTTATGAATGAAATGTTATGTTTCTCCTTAGGAAAAATGTTCGGACACATGTTGATATAAACATTGTTTATTATTTTTATCTGCAGGGTTACTTCCCGGAGTTATTCTGGGACACCACCAAACTCTCTTCGAAGTGTCGTCACAGAACGTGTAGCTTACAAAAATTTCCAATCTCAAATCTCAGCTTCTCCAATAAATAATTATACCTGGTGATCTTTATAGGTGCCCTGGGGGATGTGAACCAAATTTCTGACCCCAAACTTCATTCCCAAGTATTCGAATACCTGGTGAAACTGACAGACACCCTGATCAAGATCAACCACAACCAAAGCATTTCCACGGATAATATGAGTACTCCCCAAGCGCCAGAGCTGGTACCACCTTTAACTCTGATTCTGCCTTGGTGTTTCGGAGCGCTGGCATTGCCCAACAACTTTGAACCTGGAAAATTGAATGCTCTCAGATTGATTTGTACTGTGACAGTGAACTGTGATATGAAACACCGGACGTATTTACCCCAATTTTATCGATTCCTTCATTCAGGTAAACGCAAAAATTTTGGTGTTTCAATACATAACATATCTTTCAATTTGATTTTATTTTGCAGCTTTAACTAGTAACTCAAAACCAGTTTTGAACACATGCCTGAAATACCTTGGACCGAGGTTTTTCTCTCTTCAGTTGCCAGGCGCCTCTTTACTTTTGCTAGATTTAATACATGCGTGCAATATCGTCCTGAATAATACAGAAAAACTGGATTCCTCGCCTAGAACAGAGGCTGTTTCCATTTTGGCGAATTTGTTGAGTCAGCCAGACGATTTGAGTGGTCTTTCGGTCCTGCAACCAGAACAAGAGATGAGAGTTATGAAGTGTCCCGATATAAAGGTGAAGAAAATTAATAAATAAAGAAATTTACTCTAGAAAGTTCTTGGAAAGAACTCGAAGTATTAAAAGAAAACTGAACGATTTTCGTAAACCATCTGCGAGTATATAAATAGCCAATAAAATGAAAACAAACATTCATAAAATAACAACACATTTACCGAAGAAGATGAAATATATCTCGTAATTCTCCAGTCCATGAATTGCCAGGAAAACCGAAACATTCTTAAAATGTGAGAGTTCCCTCTAGTGAGCATAGTCGATGGCTCAAATTTCAGAAATATAGCTAGAAAACTAAAGAAGAAAAGGGGGGTACACCATGAGTCTGTGTCACCTGGTATATATATATATTAAATGGAATGCGCTGTATATTTTGATAAATTTGAATCATTTATATCATATATTTGAAATCAGGATGAATTGAGAAATTCAAATCTATCAAAATATACGGCGCATTACATTTCAAAAATATATATATTTTTGTATACCCTGTATACTTGAAGAGATGTTGCAGCATTGTCAATATGAGTGAAATCTGTATGAAAAATTGTATAAACTCATCTTTGAATTTGTTTGGCAAAATTAAAAAGTTAAATGGTGAACCCCCCATTAATAAGCTAGGCCTGTACAAGGTAATGTTTATACTTATTGATAGTTTTGACGTGTCATTGAATGTCAATTGGAATTAAAAACCACTGGATTATCCCCAGGTACATGTTTCTATAGGCCGAAAATTCGTTCATGCCAAGAAATTGTATTTAAACACGTAGATTTATTTTATTGTGTTGAATTTGTTAAATGGCTTTATTCTGGGAAGTGCCTCGATTTGATTTGATTCCTTAAAACTGTGCGAGTTTTTTTTATTATCAAATTTTTAGGAGCACGTCGTTAGTATTTTACTGAGAGCTGGTAGAAGAGAACCTAAAGGCAAGGCTAGATGTATAGCTTTGTCCGCTCTAGGAGTGTTTGTGTATAAAGAACTGAACAACAAAACTTTTCATCCAAAAGTTCCTGATGCTATCAACGTGCTACTCCTGGCACTAAAGGTAACGTAGACTACTAAGTGGTGTAACAGTACACTTTTCATTTTTTATTCCTACTTCGAAATGATTTTCTCAAAATTCAGAACATCAAATATACATTTCACGTTATCCTTCATCTCTAAATTATTCAACCATGCTGTATGCAAAAAAACATTGTGAAAAACTTGAACAAATTATGGAATAAACTGTATGTGCCGTGAATCTGGAGATAACCGCATGTAAAGAGCCCATATCAGTGGTATGGAGTTATCCCCACCATACTTCATTTTATTCATTTATCCATTTTTGGTGTTTAGGATTGTTGGCGTATACTTTTCAATGATTCATGAATGAATCGCGATGTCTATCTATGGTTATTTAGTCTGAGAGACATCCCCAAACATACAAATCATTTGTTTTCCGCAGTTCAACAACAAGATCATCGTCCAATGAGAGTTAGTATTCCCAGTCTCACCAGTTGGCGCTACTAAAACGTGAGATCAATGTCAAAGTCCGAAATCCCAAAACTTTGCCGGATAAGCCATAAATGCTGTGGCTTTTTTCATCACTCTAGTTATGGAAATATTTGACGTTCAATGTGGAACTTTACGACCAAATCTTACATTGACCTATGTTCTGTGTTAACTAAAGTGTGGAAATAATGAAGAAGAAACAAAAGTTAGTTGCTGCAATTCATGACAAGAACAAAAAACATTTTCTACAACTTTCTTGATTACATTGTCAATCAAGAACTATTTACATAACATAAAGCATTATATTTCTCTACATGTTCATCAATAAACCTTAATAGAAAAAAAAAATAATCGTCCAATTAGCCAGCAACATCTTCTTTCTCATTCCCTCGTCTGGGCAACCAAGTCGTCTCGACTTTTATCTAAATTCAGCAAATAATTTCCAGTTCTAGTGTCCATTCGAAGATAATTACTACAGTATTCCGTGTTACATACATCATCATCTATCAAGAGATCAAGTTGGTTTGGTTCATTATGGTGCAAGTACCATTTTTCTGACAAATACTTTGAAGAGCCCATATCAGTGGTATGGAGTTATCCCCACCATTCGTCATTTCCTTCATTTATCCATTTTTGGCGTTTAGGATTGGTGGCGTAAACTTTTCAATGATTCAAGAATGAATCGCGGTGTCTATCTTTGGTTATGATTGTAGTCTGAGAAACATACAAAGATACAAATCATTTGTTTTCCGCAGTTCAACAACAAGATCATCGTCCAATTGGCGAGCAACATCTTCTTCCTCCTGTGCGACCACGCGCCGCTGCTGTGGTCGCAGTACCCCCGCCTGGGCAACCAGGTGGTCTCTACCTTGTGCTCCGCCCTTCTCTCGCACGCCCCCTTGGGGCAGACGGCGGGCGAGAGCGACAAGGCGTTGGGCGGGGCGCTGGTGCCCTGCTTGGGCGAGTGGTGTATGCGGCTGGGGCCGCGAAGGTTGCTGGAGGTGTCGGAGTACGGGGAGAGCAGGGGGACTTGTCTGCTGCTGCAAGTTTTCACGGTGAGTCGGGTGTTCGGGTGTTTCGGAACGGCAATGTCATTATCAGAAAATATATATTTATTGTGTTCTTTTGGTTCGCTCTTGGCATTAGTTCATTTTAATCAACTACGTTCCCCTTCATCGCGCCATATAAAAACGTAATATAATGAAGGAAGTAAAAACGATCAAATTCTAAGAAAAAAGTTGAATGTTATACAAAGAAATAAAGTAGTAGATTTTATCTCTAGGTTGTGTTGTCAGCGGAGGGAGACAAAAAACCGTGAGCTAAAATCTATCGTTTTCCCGTGTATAATAAATTTTTTTTGTGACAGGAAAAAGGAAAAATCAATATTGAGAAGATATTACATTATATTGAAATCAGAAAATTATCGACGTGGAATTTGAAGTTTTTAACAGGAATCACACATGCGTTGCTGGTCTTTTTATCATTCTTTTGAAGTAATCAAATATCTGTCTGTCTAATTCTGTGATTTGATTTTTAAAAATTGCGAACTTAGTGGTTGTTTAGTAGTTTACGTAACCGCGAAGTGGAATGGAAGATAAAATGACTTGCAGTTCTTTCTCGGAACATGCACAACAAAAGCCATCAACAGTGTATATACAGGGTGTTTCAAGAGAAGACTCACATAGCCAAATGGTTAATAGGGGAAATCAAGACGAGTTGATGTATATATATGAAAACATTTTTTGACTCTCCATAACGAAGATACAGGGTATTATGTGAAATTGCTATATATCTTTGATGGTCGATATTACAGAAATGATTAGTCGTAATCTGCTGAAATTTGGCAGCGACGTATCTCTACTGAAACTATTCAAGATAACATATTATGAAAAAAATATCCAGGTCCGGACTTGGGAAAATTTTATGTTTCATTGTTATGTCAAAAAAGTTCACTTTGTGACCACTTTTCTCAAAAAATTTCATCAGATTCAGAAAGATCAGACAAAATGCTATAAGAACTACTCTCCAATTTACACGGCACATTTTGACCGGTTCAACAAAAAAATATGGAACAAAAACGTTCGAATAAATTTTCAATTTCGACCTGGCTGATAACTCTCAACTTTTAACTGGATATGTGTAAATTGATTTTTTGTACTTTTTTATTAGATAGAAATTGACAGAAGAGATAACTTCTGATTCTCTTATGATTTGACATGTTAGTTTTTGACCGAACTTCTAGAGAGATATGATTACTCGTGACTCTATTTTATAAATTTATTATAAAGAGGGCCCTGGTTTTTATTTTATGTAACGTGACGTTTGTTGATAGGTAAACACTGGTAAACGAAATATTCTTACACTCTAGGTGCCACTTCATATTCCAAATGCTGATCAAGACAAAAATCCAAATGCTATGCTATGTTTAATACCATAGAATATTCCCAGACCCAAGAATACGTTGCAGTAAAACCTTCACGATGATGAACATTAGGAATTTTGAATAAATAGCAAATGCATATCCTTATATCACTTGCAGAAGTGTATCAATAACAAAAAATGGAGCTGAGTTTATGCGGGATAGCATAACTAATTTGATGAATCACCATAATATGGGCACATGAATCCTCATGTCGTAATTTCATCAGTTGGTACCTACCTAGTACTAGCCTAGTACCTATCTATCAGTTCGGATTATCAACAAACGTCACGTCTCGTCACATGAATGAAAAACCGGACCTACTCGATATCTCACTTCAAGCGACACCCATAAAACAAAGTCAGGAATAATAATATCTATCTGGAATTTCGATAGAAAATATCGTGTTTTTTCTTCCCGTCTATCTTTCTGTCAATTAATATTCAACAAAAATGTAGAAAAAAATCAATTCACATGATACCAGTTGAAAGTTGACAGTTAGTTATCAGCCAGGTCAAAATTTAAAATTCATTCGAACGATTTTGTTCTATATTATTTCATTGAACCGGTCAAAGTGTGCCGTGTAAATTGAAGAGCAGTTCTCATAGAATTTTGTCTGATCATTCTGAATCTGATGGAATTTTTCGAGAAAAGTGGTCACAAAGTGAACTTTTTTGACATAACAATAAAACATAAAATTTTCCCAAGTCCGGACCTGGATATTTTTTTCCATAATATGTTATCTTGAATAGTTTCAGTAGTGATACGTCGCTGCCAAATTTCAGTAGATTACGACGAATCATTTCTGTACTATCGACGATCGAAGTTATATAGCAATTTCACATAATACCCTGTATATATCTTCGTTATGGAGGGTCAAAAAATGTTTTCATATATATACATTAACTCGTCTTGATTTCCCCTATCAACCATTTGGCTATGTGAGTCTTCTCATGAAACACCCTGTATATCCGGGAAAAAAGTGCTGACTTTTCCCGTGAAAAAAACATAATTTATGAAAAGTGACACTTGATAACCTGTCAAAAGAGAAGAAACGTTAAACTTTTTTCCCGCCACAGAAAAAACGTTATTTCCGAGTGTGAGACATTTTGTATTGTGAGGTTTTTCAACAATTATTTCACCTCTATGAACTTGTGAATTATCAATCATTTAAAATGAGGGATAACATTTTCAGTCTCACCAATCCAATCCTAAAATTTTGATGTGGCCTATTTGAACAAATAGAAAAACTTGAGTTATGGAAAGACTAAAGCAAACTTGTTTCATCTTGAAGCTGCAAATTCTAAACTTGGGCAAAAAAAGTTAACACATGAGGCGATTTCGAAATTCAATAAATTACCAGATGATATCAAAAACAGCCCAAATATTATGCAATTCAAAAATAAAGTTAAGAAATATATTTATCTGCGAAGGAATGATCAAAGCTGAAAGACTATGAATTTCCTTTTTTCTTTTTTTTTTCACTGTTTTTATTTCTCCCCTTCTTGTTCACTATAATATGACTGTATCTTAATGATATGTAAGTTTTGTTCACTATTTGTAATTTCAATTATACAACAGTCGATAATACTTCATGAATGATCTTATACCAGGAATTACTGTCTGATCATTCATGTCATTCCTACTAGAAAATTAATTATACTTTATATATTATTTGTATGAAATGTATCAATGAAGAAGATAATATAATGCAATAACTGAAATAAATAAATATTCATTATTTTCTAAAAAAAAAACTTGCATTATTCTTAATGTGGAACTTAACGACAAATTCTTACATTGACGGGGAATAAGATATCGTAGGAAGAGGCAGTTCAATCAACTCTAACCTCACCTCTCACTAGCGCGATATGGTGGACTATGAATTAGTGTTAGCTCTCATTGGAGCAAAAACAGCTTTTTAACGAATCAACGATGATTAACGAACGATAATACATTCGCCAAGTGACACTGAATATGACAGTACTGACAGTAGTTGCTACCAACACAAAAACACAAAATGTAAGACCCTTATCACCGCTCAATCCAAAACGTATATCCAGTTGTATCACCTGAATGAAAGTTTGCCTCAGGTTGACATCTGGCAACAACAAACTCGTGGAAGAAAAATTAATGTTGACTAGTAGAATACTCAAGTGTAATTTTTTGTCCGAAACACAACTAAAAATCTCAAAGGTACCAATGCCGGGATAAGCGTGTTTCTGCGTTCATTCCTAGCAGTTCATCTGAGCTATGCTCCCAATAACATTTATTTTAATTACTTATTTATTCCTCACATTCATCATAATAGTTTGTACATTATTAGTATTTCCTATCTAACAATTCAACGGTCACTATGGTACAAAACCTGTATTTGGTCACCCTGTTTGAAAAACAAACAAAAAAACTAGTGACATGTATCTTACTGAGAGAAATAACATTATCTTAGGGATCATGGTCGAAATTTGTCAGTTATTTTAACGAAATTCAACAGAACATTTAAAAAATTATAGATAATATCAATTGTATCAGTCGTTTGAGCAAGAAACTCTCTTCTATTACCTATATGATTAGGAATTTAAAATATTCTCATGACAGCCTACTTTGCTTACTTCCATTCGTATATGACATATGCACTTTTAATCTGAGTTCACTCATGCCACATATCTAAGGTCTTCGGAGTTCAAAGACGCTGTGTGAGAGTTATCTCAGGACTGTCTTACAGAGCCTACTGTGAGTCAAAATTCAAAGAATAGGGAATACTCACAGCTCCTTGTGTCTATACCTCGAAGGTGTAATCTATGTCAAAAAATGTGTATGCATATAGTACAGCTGGAGATTCCTGCGGCTACGACACACGAAAAGACCAGAGAGTGTACTAGTACAATGTACAATGTACTCCCAGATGAACTCAAAAATTTAGATTTTAATTGTTTTTCAAATTGTAATTGTATTTTAAATTATTTTAACATGTTGTACATGATTTTGATATTGTATATTTGTGTATAGTCCAGCTACATACATGAGTGCATTAACCTTTTCACGGACTTGTGTAAGTACTTATATGTATATTAACACCAATGTTTTTGGAGAGGGAAACGTAAAGAATCTGATTTAAAAAAATCAGATATCGAGTTATTTCCAAGGATTTTATTGGAGTTTGAAGTGGTTTACTGCTTATGCTTATCGTTGTTGGTATATGCGCATCGACACCTGTCAAATAGTATTTTCGGGAAGGAGTAGAGAGATAAGCATCTTGTCCAAATATATATATTTCATGAAAATAAAAAATCAACTTTCAGGAATTTTCTTGGAATATCATTACCTACTTAGTTTCTGTTATCGAATTCAATCTGTACTTTAGTTTTTTTTTACACAATCCAACATTTCAATGAGGAAATCTATTCACCATGATCCAAATTTTGCGTTCCAGTCAATATATTTCGCATTATCGTCTCCCTTGTTAGTGGATGTAATTTTCTCCAGGGCCTTTTCCACATCGGTGATGGTCAGCTTTCTAAGTCCCATTTCAGATTTGACAGCTGCTCTCGAATTTATCTCCTTTATTTTCTCCCTCACAACACTCATCGATGCCTCTTTACACAAGGCCCTTATATCCGATCCGGAAAAGTCATTAGTATCTTGAGCCACGACGTGTAACTCCTTTTCTTTGATGTCGTTGGGATGGTTCAAATAGTGTTTGAGTAGTTCATATCTAACGCTTTTATTCGGTAATGGCACGAATATCCTTTTCTCGAACCTTCTGAGCAGAGCTGGGTCGATGTTCCATGGGCTGTTGGTACTTCCCAGTATGAAAATGTTCGATTCGGTACTTTGAATACCGTCTATTTGCGTGAGTAACTCACTTTTGAAACGTCGTGACGCTTCGTGCTGTGATATCGTACCGGATAAGGCTAGTGCATCTACTTCATCGATGAATATGGTGGTCGGTGCAAATTTTCTGGCCAAGTCGAACATGACCTTGATCATTTTCTCTGATTCGCCCCGCCATTTGCTTATGAAAGTGCTGCTGGACACGTTTATGAACGTTGATCCCTCTGATGCTAGGGCTGTGGCGAGCAATGTTTTTCCGGTACCTGGGGGGCCGAATAATAGGACTCCTTTCCATGTTGGCAAGTCTTTGAAGAGGTCTGGGTAGAGTAACGGGTATATTGTAGCTTCTTTCAGTTTTTCGGCAGTATTGCTGAGGCCTAGGCAATCGTCCCAGGAAACGTCTGCTCTCTTCGGTATAAAATTTTTCATTATATCGTCGGCCATTTCCTTCCATTCGTTGGAATAGTTTTCAATGTCATGTAAACATTTGTCTTCCGTATTTTGTAATTTATTCGTTGTTGGTTTTTCATTTGAAAGAGATGTGATTTCAAAGGAGAAATCCTCAGTTTCCTCTTGACTCGTGAGTTTTTCTTTATTTATCTTGGGTTTACATTTAGCACTGCTTTTTGGTTTTTGAAAATTAGTAGGAATTGTAGTTTCGTCCATTTTTCTCACTATCTTCGGATACTTTTGAAACTTTGTGTGGTAATAATTGAGATATTCTTGTAGGATTATTTCCAAGTCGATATTTTCACAAACTTGATATTCCTTGATGAGTTGTGCCTCTTCTTCCAGCGCTTGGGCAGTATTGTTGAGTTTGTTTTCTCGTAGGAAATTGTGTATCAGATACATTATATTTCTCTTTCTTTCTCTGGATTCAGTTTTGATTTTTTCATATAAATTTGGTAGTATATTTTTTGTACTACTCTTTGGGGTTATAGAGAGTTCTGCCATTATTCTATGAAAGAAGACTAATTGCAGTATTTATCTTCGAATTACTGTCAAAAGGAAAACTACACGTGAAAGTGTTTGTTAGGTAACTATGGACTGGAGATCAATACTTTAGTGGAGTTGTCATGGTGACAATATAAAGAGAGGATTCACCCCCATAGAAATCATAATATTAAGGGTGTCTGGTATAAACGGGTCTATCCAATAACCAAATATTGAGCAAAAATAATGACCTAGGCCGATTGCATAAAGCTCTCTTAATGAGAAATCAATTCTTCCAACTAAGCTAAGGCATACGTTGCCATGGATATAAACAAATTATATATTTGATCGTGTCTCGAATACTTAATGCAATTTTTCATCGAAAATTGTGCCTCTACTCGAGATTAAACAAGAACAATTTTGTTAATCATAATTATTGCCCTTTCCATAGATTAAAGTAGATCTATGCCCTTTCGTATTTTCGTATAATATTGTGAAAATCACCATAGCAATTCTTTTGAGATAAAAACACATTGGCAATTCACATCAGCTGGTGCCCTCCAAAATCACCAATTTTTTTGTGCATTCAATTTTTCATTTTCGAGTACAAAATGTGAGAACAGATAGATTTCTGCGTATAATAGTTCTGTTGTATTTTTTCAATGCGTTACAACGCTTTCGAATTGATTCAGCCGCCACTGAATTACATTATGAAATAATCTTCATTCAATCTTATAGAGCGTAAAAAGTTTAGTATCTGTGGGATATTTTGTTGATTTATCTCAAACCGATTCGAACTTTTCATCAAAAAATAATATTCAGACTCGTATTTTCAACATCCAATAAGTATCATTGACCAGGCTTCATCTGATTATTCAGTAGGCTTCATCCCAATTCCACATTACGTGGGTTATAATCAAGACCTGGAATGCCAAACACTGTGCTGCTCGGACCTAAAACTAAGTATCAATTTGAAATTCGAATCGTGAGGCGAAAGAGTCTGCATATTGTTTTCAACATTCGTAACTGGGATACGATATATTTTTGTAATTCATTAATCAATCAACTATCTCAATGAATACGAGGCAGACAGATAAGCAACAATTTTCTCAGCGATGAAAAACACTGTATATACCTAACCCATCTAGCGCCTGCCTCCTTAGGTTCGGCTTGACTGGAAGATTTCCTCGGATTTTGTGTCAAGTATCAAACACTGTGCTTCTCGGATCTGCAACTCAACATCACATTCAAATATCGAATCATATGCATCAAAAATGATTATTATTGGATGCGGTTCATGGATGTTGAATTAGAAACTTACCTGAATATTTTTTGCAACGTTCGTAGTTGGATTGCAACAAATAAGTTTTGTCGTGTTTCCATAGAGACATAATGGTGAATATCTGTCTATCTGTTTGCTTGAGAATCTGGAAAAGAAATCAATATATCGCCTTCCGTACGAACATGGTGATCTGAATTTAGAGAAGAATACTCTGGTCATTTTTCTTTGTGGGTCGTTTCTTAGGTTCGGCTTGACTGAATGGTTTTCTCGGATTTTGTGTCAAGTATCAAACACTGTGCTTCAACTCAACATCACATATCAAATATCGAATCATATGAATCAAAAATGATTATTATTGGATGCGGTTCATGGATCTTGAATTAGAAACTTACCTGAATATTTTTTGCAACGCTTGCAGTTAGTTTTGTTTTCGAATAGAAGTTTCCTCAGTAGGCTTCATCCACATTTCCACTTCGTGTGAATAATAATAAAGACCTGGAATCCTAAACACTGTGCTGCTCGGACCTAAAACTAAGTATTAATTTGAAATTTGTATCGTGAGACGAACATGGAATGAAGAGTCTGGATATTGTTTTTAACATTCGTAACTGGAATGCGATATATTTTTGTAATTCATCAATTAATCAACTATCTCAATGAATACGAGACAGGCAGATAAGCAACAATTTTCTCTGCGATGAAAAACACTGTATATACCTAACCCATCTAGCGCCTACCTCCTTTGCAGAGAGGGTTTATGAACGCAAAGTTGGTACTCTCCCCTCGTAAGGGTACCTGTCGTGTTTCCATAGAGACATAAAGGTGAATATCTGTCTATCTGTTTGCTCGAGAATCTGGAAAAAAAATCAATATATCGCCTTCCGTACGAACATGGTGATCTGAATTTGAAGAAGTATACTCTGGTCATTTTCCTTCGTGGATCGTTCCTTCGGTTCGGCTTGACTGGATGGCTTTCTCGGATTTAGTTCCAAGTATCAAACACTGTGCTTCTTGGATCTGCAACTGCACATCACAGATCAAATATCGAATCATATGAATCAAAAATGATTATCATTGGATGCGGTACATGGATGTTGAATTAGAACATTACCTAAATATTTTTCTGCAACGTTCGTAGTTGGATTGCAACATCGAATCAATAGACAATTTTTCGCCGAGGTGTATGGTGTATATTACATTCTTTCGCCGACCTCAAACCCTTAGTTTTTCGTAAATAATCAATTTGACAACAGCAAATGACAGTTGTCAACTCATTCTCCGCGTGGACCAGGGTTGCCAGTTCGATTTTTATTTCATCAATAAATACCATGTAGAAAATTCAAATATATTTTATGCTATAATTCCAAGCAAGGATAATGAAATGAACCTATGACATGACGTCACAACATTATGTACATTTAGTATACATAAAAGAATCCTATTTCCAACAAAATAGAAACAAACTGATGAAACATTCTCATAAAAAATATTCTCTATTTAAAAATACTAACAAATATCACAAAATACAGTTACATTGGTACTCAAGATCAATATTTGAGTACCTATACAGGCTGATTTGAAAATGAGTGCATATATTCAAGACATATATATGAGAGAGTCTAACAAAAATTACTAAAATATTTGATTTTTCCTAAGTTTTCACATTAACGAGAAATTTCATTTTGAAAATTGAACATAAAATGCTTCGAAATTCGAGAACGCCACTGGGAAGCAAGTGAAATCTGCGGAATCCCAGGGAATCTCCAATTCATGGACGTATAAAGACAGTGATGCCAGATTGTTTCAGAGACGAATATCCTGATAAAAATTTGTCACAGAATGAATATGAATTGGAATAGGTTATGGAAACTAATAGAGGTGAATGTAATATGTACAGGAGCCTTATTTTTTAAAGTTTACTGAGAGAACTGTGGGGTGATTATCTCCATGGATCACGAGAGACAGAGAGAAACATGAGGGGAATGATAGAACGTCGCCCTTCCTTCAATTCGAAAATAAGGCCCCAGCGGGTAGATACAAAATTAGCAGACAATAAATAGGTACACAACATACACAAAGTTGAAAATCGACTCACCTAGTAGATTTTCTCATACCTGCTCGAACAGCAAAACTCCCGAGAACAAACAAATACTAATATCGAGTCCATTCCAGACTAATATCGTCCTGTGTTCTTGTTGGTTCATATTCGCACTTAAACCATCGAAAACGATTCGACGACGACATATCCTTCCTGGCAATCTCACATTTAAAAACCACGATCACGACCATATCACGATTATCACGACACAAGACACAACATCCAATTATTTTATTTTTTATTTTACGTTTACAACCAGCAACCACACAAACAAAACTATTATCATATGATCTGTCAACATCATTTCTCAGAACAGTAGTATCTGTGACCATAGATTTCCTCTTTGCTGTGACCTTTGACAGTACTAACTAGGATTGTTCGCGTTCTATTACTATTTCACGAAGATTGTTACGATATTACGATTTGTCATGAATCTATTACTATTTGCTATCAGCACCAAAATATGTTCCAATACTAAAAAATCTATTTCTGTGCTCAGCGGATAATTATGTTCCGTTCAATGTTCTATATTTATGTCAAAACTGTGATTAGTGCGATAGAGTTTGACAAGAATGACATTCCGAATGTCGAGTCTATTACCTTTTGATACAAATCTGATACCTTTTTCCAAGGAAATCTATTACGAAAAAATCAGACCCAGGAACAACACTGACTAGTAAATGTAAAGTTTTGTTTCTGACAATTTGCTTGGAATGTGGCAAATTGACGATGCATTATTCAAACATTGAGCTGAATGATATGGTTCTTATGTCGGGTCGTTATTGTGCGGGGCCCATGAGACTCCTCTAAGAACACGAAATTGTAGCGATGCAAGGAGGTGGAAGGAAGGGTCTAAAGGATTTTTCAGTAAAAGAACTTCCAACCGCGAGGTGTTAAGCTATACGCTATTCGAGCTTATGTGTACAAATCTTGGGTGAGTCCATTTTAAAGTTTTTGTATTATCTTTCTGAAATTCAAGACCAGGGTTAACTTCTTCCCCATGTACATTTTCTCGATTATACATTTTATTTAATATCTCCTAATATTCATGTAGAGTGGCAACGTCGCTTCGTTCATCACGGTCGACTGCGGATCGCAAACGATAGTTGTGACAGAAGTAGAAATCTGGGCGGAAAAAGGGTATTTTGCCCCAAATCTATTTTGATCCTAATAATATTTTTAATAGTGCTATTCGGTTGTATACCTCAAGCTTTCCTAGTGTTTAAAATATATGCACTTATTTTAAAATCAGCCTGTATAAAGAATAGGCACGTACAGTGAAAATGAAAAACAAGAATACAAAAAAAATAAAATAAATAAACCTAAGAAACTAACTATTATAACAAAGGTATATAAATAATCGAATTTGATCTGAATCAGATGAAATATTGTCCTTTTCTGATTTATACATATTTATTTTTAGTATCTATATGTACATTTATTACTTATTTTGTAAAATTAATTTCAACAGAGCATGCCGACATATCATACAATTCATAAGTATATGTGATTACTAAAAATTAATAATAATATAGGTAATTATAATAATTATAATATCAAGAGTGTCAAAATATTGTATCAGTAGGTTATGAAATGTTCCAGTAGATCAGTAGATCAATATGCAAATCAGGAAATTTACTGAAAATTCAGTAGAACTGCCAACCCTGCAGCGGACAAATAGTGTCTGCGGACGAAAAGTACTTGCCTTCTGAAAAAGTCGGTTTTTCGTTCGGAAATTAGAACGTAAAATGTGATTTTTTGCAGAGGTCGACGGAAAAAGAATTTATTGAATACTTTTGGAAACCAATGTATACTCATTTCTCAGTAAACAATCCGTTGGGAATGACAATTACGAGGATAATCAATTCCTTCCGTGTATTTTTCAATGCCTATCACAAAATTCGACCGTACGTGATGACATCTAATATGGGACTGTCTTGATTCACCACTGGTCCCGAATGAATGACTTATAGGTCGAATCATGCTGCTAACCGATTAATTTCCGAACAAACGATTCATCCATGACTAATGATCATGATGAAATACGAGGGAGAAATATATACAGGGTTTTTCACGATGAGGGTTAATCAGACGTTTCTGGCAAACCAAGCAGAATATCAATATGAAAATTTGATGGTATGTATACATTGGCATGTTCTAAACTACAATATTTTAATCGATGCTGCGTTGCTGCTTCTATTAGGAAGTAGCAGCAACTATGATTCATCAAATGGGACACCCTGTATTCCATTGCATTTTTAGATTATCCCTGAAGATCACATTTCATCAATGTATCGCACTTGGAGTCTAGCAGAGGTGATTACAAAGATATAGGGTGTTCAAAATAGAGATTTTTCAATTTTAGGATATTTTTGTGTCGAAACTATTCATTATCGGTCAAAACGGCTTTCGTGTTCCTTTTATAACTATTGATCCACTATCCACTGACATTTAATTGGAAAAACTACAGGGTGGTTTAAGATTCAGAATCTCGATCACCCTGTATCTGTTCCAATGAAATGCCAGTAAATAGTGAATCAAAAATTGAGACAGGGACATGGAAGCCGTTTTGACACAAAAGAATCCTAAAATTGGGGAATCTCGATTTTGAACACTCTCTATCTCTGTAATCATCCCCGCTAGACCCCAAGAGTGATGCATTGATGAAATAAGATCTTCATGGAGAATATAAAAATGCAATACAGGGGGTTCCATTTAAAAATTTGAAGTTGCTGCTACTGTCTAGTAGAAGCGGCAACGCCGCATCGTTAAAAATATATTAGACGTGTATATCATGTAAATTCATACATATTATCAAATTAGATCCGTCTAATTAACGCTTATCCTGAAAACAGGGAAACTGGACGATGAAAAAAAAATCCAAAAATGTGATAAGGTGCCGTCTAGTGAGCATATTCGATTTTTCAAATTTCAGGAATATAGCTAGAAAAAAAAAAGGAGAAATGTTGTTAAACCATGACTCTGTGTCAGTATATCACTCATAATAAAATGATAAAAATAACACTCACCAGTGTGAAAACAAAATGAATTTGTATAAAATAGTCCACTTTTGCTATTTCATTGTTTGAAATTTTTTATTTTCAGCAGGAAACACCAAAACAACACACGATCGTGATTATGTAATCACTGATTTGAATGAGAAACACAAAAATACGATACTATCACTCATTTTTTAGTGAACACGTATTTTTCAATGCCTGTCACAAAATTCTACCGTACGTAATGACATATGATATGAGACTGTCTTGATTAACCACTGATCCCGAATGAATGACTAATAAATTGAATCATGCTGCTTACCGATAAATTTCCGAACAAATGATTCATCTATATGACCAAGTCTATGACTAATGATGATAATGAAATTATACGGGGGAAAAATATATACAGGGTGTTTGGTTCACCGACGTATATCTGGGTGGTATGTGATGTGATTCTGAAAATATTTAAACATATTTTCTGTTATACAAAGTGTTTCATTTTCAAAGAAATCATAGCTGTAATAAATACAAAGTTTTATGTCACAGAAACTCGTTTTCAAAATTCTGACAAGCCAAAAAATTTTTATTACATGCGTATCCAATTACTTGTTCAATATCTATGAAAATCGTATCCAAATCTTGAAAAAGAAGAAATTCCAATCAGATGAAATGTTCGACCAAACGGAGATATCTCAAAGTTCGGAACACTTTGTATAGTATACGAAATACCAGATGAAGAATTGAACACGGAGAGTGGTGGATTTAAAAAAAAAAACTCCCAAGATATTATGAAAAAATTCACCACAGGCTGAAAATATATCTTTTACAAAAATCTCTCGTGATATGAAAGAATTCAACCGGACAGTATGTAGTGGAGAAATCGAACGCTTCTCACATACGAGTCGAGAAACAATTCACCATAGTGACATACAGGCAAACAATCTTTGTTTAAAACAATATCACATTTGAGAATATACAGGGTGGGGCAGTGGAAACGAAACAGCGGACAAAAACGCTGAAACACGTCAGCTATATTTTCGAGGAGGACATCGTTCTAAAATATTTTCAGCAACAACTGACACTGATTTACTATTTACTGACATTTAATTGGAACAGATGCAGATCAGAATTCTGAATCTTGAAATCGTTCGAAATAACCCAATCAAACCCGGTATCGTTAAATTCGTTATGATAATCCCCAACCAATTATGGAAAAATACAGGGTATTCCATTTGAAAATCAAAAGTTAATGTCATTCCCAGGAAAACTGGATGATGAAAAAAAACCTAAAATGTGAGAAAGGGCCCTCTAGTGAGCAGTAGCGTAGCAACGCGCACAGGGTACAGCTAGTGTTTAATAAAATTCTGATAACCGAGTCCCTATTTCCCTTTTAAAGATAATTCGTACAGCGACCTCTATTGGAATAAGAGGTAACAAGAACCTAATACTGCGATTTTCAACTGGGCATCAGCGCAAACACTATACATATAAACATCTCATAAGCCATTACCAATACAACCAATTGTTTCCAGGTTTTGCACAAGATCATTCTAGGCCAGGCATCGACAGACAATCCCGGCGGCCTGACGCAACCCAACCTCAACGAAGACTTCGACCCGAACATCATCTCCGACGATTTCGACCAGTCGGCCCCCTTCTCGCCCTCCAAGAACAACCACTGCCAAGCGGCCATCCTGCTCTGCGCCAAGACCGTGCTGGCCCATCTGGTCACGCACCTCGGCCATTTTCCGATGGCCATCGGGGCTGCGAGGTTGAGCTCTCTGGTGGTCGAACACGATGATGTACCCGATCTGCCGGCCGATGATCTGTCGTCGAGCATCTTTTCGGCGCCCAACATCCAGGTAGGGATGTGATGATTGGAATTTTTGTAGGGAAACGAAACGGCAATTCTCTATATCGTCCCACTTGGGGGGAACTAAAAGAAAAAGCCCAAAGATTTCGGCAAAATAAAATCATTTCTAAACTACAATAATAAACATTTTAGGAAGCTCGACAAACAAAATGAAGAAATCTAACTAATATTGGTCACAACGACTGCTTCCCACTAATATTCCCCCGAATATATCCTATAGAACAGTCACGAAAGCTTCCTTTTATTGGATACTATCAACTATGTTTAATATTTATGATACTTAGTTCTTATTTTATCGATTCCTCTTCATGTGTATGTTTCTATCGAGCATATTTTTAGATAAATACTTTCCATGCAATTATCATTATTGTAATTTCATGTAAGAATCTCGAATTTCTAGTCAAACAAGTGCAATGGCACTTATCGCTCTCCAGCTTTATTCTTAAGATGCTTTTATGTTCATATTCATATCATTCATATTTCGATTATTATTATTATTTGAATTCATATTATTCCAATCACGACTCTGCGGCCTCCGACGTCACGCAGAGTCGTGCTGGATAAAATCCAGTGACTACTCCCCACAGCCTGTGGGGAGAATAATTACTGGGACTAAGAACCGTGTGCCCTAGTAAACGCAATGATCCAAGTATGACGGCCTTCTGCATTCCACCAGCCAGGATGTGTGCCTTATCACTGCACGCTGGGATTTTCTGGATTTCAGAGAGAGCAGCGTATGTCGTGTGCCTCCTATGGAGCCGATTATCAAGATGACCAATTTCACAGAATGGCCTGGATAGAGCCTTCGGAGTTCGAATTATTATTATTATTATTATTATTATTATCAACTAGGAAAAGGCCAAATTCTCAAAGTGGAATGCAATGTTCACAAATAGAGAGAAACTCAAAGTAATTACCACAATAGTTCATAAAATGAACGAAAATGGTAGATAACGAGAGAAAAACAACTACTTTCCTGGCTATATGCCACGCAGAATATTGGATTACATCCTCCCGAGCGTTTAGGAAGGAAACATTTTATTCATCTATACGAATTATTGCATAGATTTCGGAAGGATGTATTCCAATGTTCTGCGTGGCATATAGCCAGGAAAGTAATTGTTTTTCTCTCGTTTTCTAGCATTTTCGTCCATTTTATGAACTATTGTGGTAATGACTTTGAGTTTCTCTCTATTTGTATTATTTTTTTTCTTGTTTCTTTAACGTCGGCCTTTTTCTGCTACTGAGGCTAATCACCGACGCCGGTGAGCACACTATACCCCCAACCGGAAATTTTGCCGAATCCTCTGGTGTTCCAACAAGAGGTAGGGATCTTTAACGAGTCCAGCATCCATGGCCTCGGGACCGCCGGCTTAACGTCCCCTCCGAAGGACGGCATATCCGTACCATATCTCGTGCTCATTGATATGGTAGCTGTAGCTATGATATGCTATTCCGCTACAGATGTACGGGCTTACGCGGCGTTTCCTCGAATGGTCACCCATCTAAGTACTAACCGCGCTCGACACTGCTTAACTTCAGATATCGAACGGCTAGAGCAGGGCCTACTCTATCTAACCGGGCCGGAGCATCGCTTTCGTGACGTCACACTAGTAGGGACAAAATCAACGCAGTGGAAATTATCTCTCCCGTTTCATTGATTTACCTCGGGAAAACGGTCACAGTTAGCGAAAAATATCAAGAGGTCAAATATGTACAGAAAAGAATTTTCCAGAAGATGAATCAAATTTCACTGATTTACGATCATTCATTTCAGAAATATGGCATATCAAACTTGATTGACGCCATTCAGAATTGTCCTTTTTCAAACAGCTACCAAAATTCCAATATTCAATTCACAGAAATGATTCAACCATGAAAAGATTTCGCATAGTATCTAGATTGACTGAGTATTTTTCTGAAATAATCAAGGGCCAACAACAAACCGATATTTCAATTCAAGTAGAACGATGATTCAGGTGATCATTACAGAATAGTTTAAAAAGTTTGGACGCCTCCCATGCTAATCCTATCAACTATGGATATATGCTGTCACTGACTTTTTTGTAGGAAATTTGATTGCCTACAAATCGGTACAATATACATCCACTTTATCTCGAAGGGCTTTAGCAGCGTTCATCTCTAAAGATGATCAAGACACACTTTGATGACGTTAGAAATCCTATCTTTCTAGTGTGTTATTACACAAAAACGCCTATTCGGTATCAATTATTTTCTGCTGAAGAGCATATATTCGAATGATAACGTTAAATTCATGAAACAAATTTGATTTGAATATATTTGCAAACTATCAAAATTAAAAAGAACAAAATATGTGGAGTTCATATGAACACAACCTAACAAAAATAATTGAGAAAATATGTATCTCAACAATGAGAGATATAAAAATGAATATAACGAACTGAATAACAAAATACCCTGAACAACGATATATGAATGAATGAGGAAAAAATAAAAAAAAAACGTTGAATCCTGAAACATAACAAAATAAAAAAAATTGATAGATATCACAAAATGAAATATACTAATAACAAAAAATATATATATACATCATCTCAATCACAAACTTAAAATTGAAATCTGAACTATATATCCTGAAAGTTTAGTGATTTTTCTTTTTAATTTTTTTTTTATTTTGTAATAATTGTTCAACAGAATATTTGAAATGGTTTTAGAGAATGTTCTGCTGATTAGATCCGAAGACCCACAACTGCAACATTGATTCTCGGAATAATTGAGAAGGAAATTGATTTCAATTTCTGCTAAATTCTCCAAAACTTTATGTTGTGACTTACATTGTAGAAAGATTGTTTCGAATTTTTCAGACACCAATATTAGTTGATCTGAACCATACGCCATTTAGAAATAAAATGAGCAATAAAAAGTATATCGCCCTTTACCATTCCAAGGAATTACCGCGAAATCGTAATACAGCGACATTAGGGTAGGTTGGTATAACGGCCCATTTTTTACGAGCTCTTTATATTTAATTTCTTTCGGACTCATTTTAGGTAACTCTACAATTTTTTCACTATTCGATTAATTCATTATCGTAGTTTGATATATTGAGATAGTTTCATCTTTCAATTCCAAATTTGCGAAAAGTAGTATTCTGTAGTACAACGTCCTGATTTTCAATAAAATGGAATTTCGTTACAACGCCATAACTCGGTATTGATTCATCCTATTGGATTCATTTTTTCACCAAAAGTTGAGGAATTTGTTGGGGATCATTTCGTCTCGATTGAGTGTGCTTTTGAAATTTATAATAAATGAGCTATAGCCTATCAATTACGAACGCATCAGTACGGACTGATGTGAAATCTCAACCTACTAGTGTGACGTCAGCGTCGAGAGAGAGGGGATAGACTACGGCCCGGTGAGATAGAGTAGGCCCTGGCTAGAGCCTTACCTGAGAAGCTAGGGCGACGCCCTTGTATTATTATTATAATTATTATTATTACCTCGGGTTATTTCAGCTGTTCATCCTGTCCCGAAGCGTGCTAGCGAGTCTAGTAGAGCTCCCGGCTCTAGATCTACCAGGCGGCGGAGTGACAGCCGGCCTATCCACGGCCGATAAACAAGTGAGGGTGCTCTTGAGAGACCTCTCCGGAAAATGTAGCTGGGACGCTTCGATTTTGTATCGGACACCCGAGACGGTGAAACAAGATCAACAGGACGTCCCGAAACAGACGGTCGAGAAGGAAAACGTGGAAAAATACGCGCAACTGGAAAGCCTCATGGTTGGGTCGGCGTTGCATGCGTTACCACAAATGGCCATGAGGCACCGTCCGCCGAATGTCCTACCAGAGATATCGAATGCAGCACCTGATTTGGACCAATTAGATGATGTAAGTTTATTGTTAAGAGTACCAAATCACAGGCTGGCAAAGTCAACGAGAAACTCACCAGATCTGAATTTATTCTATAAGGTCGTTGGGTGAAAATGCAAAATCATTCAAGTACACAATTAAGGAACATATTTCAACTCACTATTTCTATACAGTCTAAGAATATTTCCACACGCCATTTGTTGAGATTGATAACCTCAGTTAGTAAGAAAAACGCTGTGCCTTCATTGATCATTGACCGAAAATTCTGACATTTCAAACATGGTTCATACTGTTTTTGGTTTCAGGATTTCGATCCATTAATTTATCATTTTATTGAATTTACTGTAATGTGTATGTATTTTATGATCTGTTCTTCCACAATTGACTTGCCGAAAACAAATTTATTTTGTAACTTGGTTAAATATACATCTATCTAAGAGAGAAAAAAACTCAAAGTCGTTGATTGAGACATGTTTCGACCATTCAAATGGTCATCATCAGTCATAGTACCAACAAAGTCAATCTACAGAGAAAAGTTATTCTTACTTAACATCTAGCAAAAAAGTCACCCAGCTGAGTGGAAAATGACAATTATATAAAAAACTGATAATGTGAAGTAAAATATCGAAAACACAAGTGAAATGCAATTATTGTAAATATGGTTAAGCGTAATATTGATTGATAGATTAATTATAAAAGAATAGTAATAGATATTGAAGAAACAAACATCTTCAACTAATTATTTTACAGAACCATCGATCTAAAGGGTATTAGTTGCTTTTTTTAAATGGGACACTCTGTATCTAATTCCACAATCAGTTGGAGATTTCAAAAATGAATCCAACATTACAGGGTGTTATTTAAGTATATGCCCAAGGCGATTATTTGGGTGATTCTAAGTCGAAATATTTATATAAACTTAGATCCTGAAATGCTTCGCTTTCAAGATACAGGGTGTTGAAGTTGGAAGTATTGATAGTTGTTTTTCATGATTACCTTGTATAAGCTTTCATGATGGAAAAATTTAGTCTTGTTGGTGACTGAAAAAGCCGCAAAATTTCAGAATAATACTCTGAGGTTATTGGGTAATCCCAATGGGTGTTTTGAGGGCACTTACATTAAAATTAAACGAAACGATTTTTCATTATTTCCTCAGAAACTAAGTTATATACAAAAATTTAGTAGGGGATAAGAAAGTTGTATTTTCAATTGTTCAATCTGATAAAAATATCTAACTTGATGTATGATGTATGTACCTTATTTACCAAAAATATCGAAAAAGTAACCCACTGCGACGCCACTGATAATTGAGGATTCCTCGAATTTTGAAATCGGTTCAAAAATATAACTGAGCTACAGGAAGGGGAGGGAGGCATTTATGGCGAATCACCCTGTATTTTTATTGATTGTCAGAAAGGTCAAAAAATCTCTCATAATGTATCTGCATCCTTATTGTTCTGTCGATAGTTGCTTCAGTATTTGGGCCATACTAGCCCAGAATGTTTGGAAAATTTCAATCACAAACTGAACGAGCCTGCAGCCTCACCTATGTCCGTCGATCTGGAAAATGAGGCGATCGCGTCTGTCATCAGTCAACGGAATACTGAGGTAGAGGAGAGCAGGTTGTCACAGTATGCCGATGCGATGTTGGGACAATCGATTGATAGGCCAACCAGCAGGATAGATCGCCAAAGTTCCAATTCTGATCAACAAGGTAATAGAGTGATTCTCATACGAGCATGAAATCTGTCTGTGTGGTGTTTTTTAAGCTCTTTAAATAGGTGATGGTATTCTTCAAGATACCTACTTCCTTTCTATATAGGATGAGTCGAAAAATGGCGATTTGAAGAATGACTAATGATTCATCACCTTTTACTTGAAGACTTACAATCATTGCCATCACTACTGTTGCTCCTAGACATACGTTTATGGTTTAAAAATGCAAACTTTCCTAAAACGTTTCAGTCAGCTCAGAAACCGCAAAGAACATTGAAAGGAAGGCATCTTTGGTATGTTCTGCTCGCCATCGATGTAAACCTCGACCGCGACATTCACCGCGCATATCCATGTATCTTCAGCATGTCCGTACGCTTAACAAAATTAGAAAATTGAGAAATTATATCAAAGTGTCATTGGGGCTAAAGTTATTAATAATTCTTTGAAACTCAATTGAAATAAATATTGGTTTCTAGATAAACAGGTAGTCTTGGAAAATTCAAATGCACATTATGTATCATAATATATTGTATGATTATCTTTCATCGAACGAAGACCCATATAAAAAGTGGCATAAGCAGAGTCAAGGAATATATGGTGAACGGATTGACCTGTGTAAAACAATATTGGACAATAATTGAGAAATTATATCAAGTATTATTCGGGCTGAAGTTGTTGATAATTCACTGAAACTAGTTGATATAAATATTGGTTTCTGAATTGACATGTTGTAGCATTTGAAAATTCAGATACACATCATATATTGTACTGTTTATACTCTACACTCTACAGTCTATACAGTATTATTTCATTATGATTATTTGCCGTCGATTACATAATGTGAAAATAGTATATTCCTTTCTTCATCTGGTGAATGATAAAAAGTTGGATTTGCAAAAAGTTGGATTTGCGTATATTGTTCTGTTTTTTTTTTTGTTTTAGCGCAATATGGTGCAGTGGAACAAGATGCTTTCCAGCAATGCCGTCTGCTTTTCTCTCAACTTGGTCTAGCTGGTTGGGAGAGAAGACATCAGTTGCATTTACTTAACAAGACTGAACGTTTACTTAGGGAATTAAGGAATTTAGATAATCAGAGTTGCCGTGAAACGCACAAGGTAATTTTTTGTCTTGATATTGATAGAAAAAACTTCACATGAAACAAGATTTTCACAAAGTTTGCGACACTATTCGCATTTTACTATCTGCGAATTATTATTCTGTTACCTGGTCTCAGTGCTATACTTAAAGTCAGAAATGGATCAATTTTTGCCTTTGAAATAATTTAGAAATCGATACTCAAAGGTAGTTTCTACTAGGGCCACTCATTTCTGATCAAAATGATAAAATTATTGCCGGTATGAAAAGATCTGAAACACCGTGTAGTCGCGACACATATCATTATTCAGGAATGTAGAAGTTTGTGAATTTCTTCCTAATCACAACGGTGACATGTGAAATAGATATTTCCTAACGTGTTACCTACAATATTTCAAATAATGATCAGTTCTACATGAGTTCTACTCTACCGATTATGTACAAAAATAATACGGTCACAATTCAGCGACGAAATTCATGAAATAGAAACCTTTGATACTTTCACTAGTGGAAAATTGCTAATTCAGGTTCAGATTTCCCAAGTGATATCGAGAAAGCAGCATAAAGTGCACTATTCTGTCCGACGCTTATTCCGATAGGCTACTGCGGTACTTGAAAGATATTGGTTATAAGTTCATCAATCAGCAGAATTGAAATAGTACAAGGCTTTAATTATTATATTTGATCATACGATATACTTACCAGGTCTTCAACAATGATTGAACACCACGTGACCAAAATGTGTTTGCAACCAACACTGCACAGTTGGTAAATAAATAACTGGAAATTAACAGCTGCTATCAAAATAAAACACAGGCGTATGGGATATTTGCATTTGGAAATGCATCATGAAATTGTTCCCGGCAGCTTTGAAGTGAATAATATGTCCACCTTCCATCAGGATTACGAGTGACACTTCTGAAATGTGCCACAAGTAAGAAGGCATCCATTTCACCAGAAAAAAAACATGTTTCATCCTGAAAGGAAAATAAGGACATAAACAATAAAAACAAGAGGTTAATTATTGGTCTTACCTTTTCACAACAATGGATTAGAGATGTAGTTTTGATAAAAACTGTTTTTCGCAAAGAAATAATTGTGACTGAAATAATCAAATACAAGAACTATAAACTAAATCAAGAACCATATAAACTATCAACAAACCCAGGAGAAAAGACAACAATGCGCTACTGGGTGCTAATGAGCTACAGCTGTGCAGTATAAATTTCAAAAACACAAAATTGAAGAGACAGATTCACAATCCAACTTTTAATTTTTGTAAACAAGGTAAGCTATCGGCTGCTATGACAGTTGACAAGTTAACGGGCCAATGAAATTGCGAAGGACGTGAACCACAGAACGTAAACACTGGAAACTACAGCCATGAATGATTCGAGGTGCAAATATGACATATATTATCTGAGTAAACATGATAACAAAAATGTATTGTTGGTTGCATACGAATATGGACACGTGGTGTTTAATCATTGTTGAAGACCCGGTATAATAACTTGGTTGATTTGATGATGTAAAATAGGTGTAGTCTGATAATGTTAGCCACATTATTAGTTTTAAACAACTGAACATTACAGGATATTTCGTGGGAACCAGAACATAAAAAAAAAATAGTGTATCATTGTTATAAAATGAACAAATATTCAGTTCAAAGTTATTACCACAAAAATGAATTGGTAGACAACGCGAGTATAATTGTTATATAACATATAATTCTTGATCTCAGACGATAGCATGCTGCTATCAACCATAACAACGCATAAGGATTCTGGAGATGTAATATTCATATATTGTGATACTACAATATGAGATTTTTTATACAATGGATTTTTTCTCCATCGTCGAATCGACAGCGTCACGATTGTGCTAAGATGTGACATATCCATATTAATTACGGGATGGATGACAAACAAACATAATGAATATGCGTTCATCAAGCCGTAGCTACAGATTAGATTAGATTTAGATTTAGAGTGGAAGCCTTCGGGCTATCTGCCTCCACACCGCGACCTTTTCAGATCTATTGTGTCTTCCCTCAAATTAGAGTTCTTCGGCTAGCCCTGCCTTCTCTATGAGACTCCATAGGCTAGCTTTCAAATCTCCTGTGCAACCTTAGTCTGGACAAGTCCTCACAGTGGCAAAGTATGTGTACTGCTGTTTCCTCCTCTTTCTGACGGAACCTTCACAGCAGTTCTTCAGTGACTCCTATCGTACTCATGTGTTTGTTGAGCCGTCAATGCCCTGTGAGAAGTCCCACTAGTATTCTAAAAGCCGTCGCGATATCGGTTTGCCGCTGCGGACACATATCCGCTGTTGACAGCTGTGGCCCGACTAATTACTGAACATTTCATCACCAGTTATGTAATAATTTACTTCACACAACTTCACGTGAAGTAAGAGGTTTCAAAACTTCCGTCAGTTCTGAAAATATATATTTTTCATTTAGTTTGCTGTGATTTATGTTGCGCCTGGACAAGAAGACAAAAATTCGATATTATCGAATCAAGGTGGTAGTGTGGCTTATGAGCAGTTCTTGGCGGCGTTAGCCTGGGAAATAGAACTAGAGGGCCATACTGGATTCCTCGGTGGTTTGCAACGACAAGGAACGTCCGGACTTACGGCTCCTTACATAGCAACGAGTTTTCTCGAAGCCATCTTCCATGTAGCAACAAGAATGCCAGGAGATACGTCCGAGGCAGTACTTAATAAGGTAAGATTGTATGTCGATAATTTTTGGTACAAAAATGTTATTTGTATTGTTTATCTTCTACTTTGTCAACAAAACTAGATTTTATCGACAATAAAGTATATTTTGATTTGATATATTCTCATCGTATATGTTTTTGATGTGAGTAATATTTTGGTTGAGTTGGAGTTGGAGGTTTGAGAAATGTTTAACTGTCTTTTCTCTATAGTGAAATTGAGGCAAAATAATTTGGAAGAATATCGGGTAAGAGATTTTCCTCGAGCCATATAGGTATTATTTATTTTATAATAATGAATCGATATTCCGAAATGAAGAATATTTCTTGAAATATGAAAGTTGAGAATGAAAGCAGTAATTGGAGAAAGATTCTATCCCAACACTCTACCTATCTACTTTCAAACCGTAATGTTTTATCATGGGAGATTGGTTTGCAGTTCCTTCTTAAATTCAAATATCATCAATAAATCTAGTTATTTTATCATTGCATTAATAGTGTTTTTTCCTCTATGCATCCTTTCATTAAAATATGTGTAGATATAAACAATGTTCATACTCGTAATTTTTCAACGTGAGAAATGTTTCTTAACAAACTTGACGGAGAACGGTTAAGATAGCAATTGAATAATTTATTTCGAAATAGATGTAACTTGCTGACTGAACTTTCAGTCGATAATTGCCATTATTGCATATTGTTTCCAATGAACAGAGAATATTATACTTTGCCAACTAGGTTTTAGTTTAGAACGACAATGATTATTCATACAAGAAACGCGGTGCGCAATGGTTACGAGGATTTCCGAAGCTGTCAAATTGCATAGTAAGAAAAAGAAGTCTTAGATTGAACAGAATAGAATTGTTTCGATAAATATTCCATAGATCATTAGAAAATTCCGTGTTGTTGTATAGTTATAGAAATATTGTTAAAAAAATCAACATTGACACATTGTTGTCACTAATATAACAAAAAAATCCATGGGCGTGCCAACAACAATAATTATAAGACTTTGAAAAACTAGTTACAGTGGGCCAGAATTCGTCAATGTATGATTGTGTTTGAACGTAAACAAGTCTGTCTCCTTGGGTTAAGGATATGAACAATGAACCAAGAAAATTAAACGTTACCAAATAACCACAACACATTTTTTTCAGACAAGACATTTAGGTAACGATGAAGTACACATAGTATGGTCTGAACATAGTAGAGACTATAGACGTGATATCATTCCCACCGAGTTCTGTGATATTTTAATAATCATTTATCCAATAGGAGATAATTTGAATCGAGTAACAGTCGATTGTAAAGCTGATGTAAGTTTGCTGGTCTTAATTCATCTCACATTCGGAAAATTCAATGGAAATCCTTTTAGGTACCACATTTTGGAGTATTGTTCAATGAGACAATCGTCGAGAGTTCAGTTTTAGCAGGAGTAGTCAGAGCAACAGCAATATGTGCTAGTAGAGCTAAAAGGATAACTTATCAATTTTACCAACAGTAGTAAGTACAGAATGAGAGATGTTTATGAAGTGAAAAAATGTTGAGTGTATATTTTCTTTGCCACTATGGACATTTTTTATTAAGACAAAATCAATGAAAAATCCATAAGGCTGAAGAAATTCTCACCTACCCTTGATTTTTGTGCAATTTCCCAGCTAACAAAGCTTATAGGGCACAATAGCAACCATCATCGCATTATGTAATAGACTTGTAAGGCCACACCTTGAGTATGCATCTGTCATGGAGAAAGTCCAAAAACATTTTCTAAGATTCTATATGTCGGAGAAAATAATGCTTTCCCTTATCTAGTGGCATATAAATCAATATTAGCTAGCTTCATTCCAGTCATTAGGAAGTTAAAGCCAATACAAAAACTTGCAATTACGTATGGACGTGAATAGAAATTCGTACGTATTCAATGAAAAGTAGCGTTAAAGCTACCGTATGGTACGTACATGTTTTACTTACATACAAGATACAAGACCAGACTCATTTTAAGCCTATTTTTCTTTTCCATTCAAATGTTTTGATTTGTTAGTCTTCGCCACCTGCAAACCCTGTTGCAAAATCGAAGAGATTTTGATATCCGAAGCTACAAATGATAGCGATGCTAGTAGTGACGATGACCTAGATGATATGTTCATCCAAGATTAGCTAGAGCCCTAGAAATACCAGGAAGCTATAAGTTTTCCAGAAATTTACATTATATTCATTTGGATGAGGTTCCAACGGCCCGTGTCTTCGTAGGGATTATGGCGTACCCTTGCGAGATGCGAATCATCTTCCATGGAAAAGAGAATTGTTTTATTTGAATTGTCCATGATTTCTTCGAAGCACAACACAAGAACAAAGCGCAATAAAAACAAATGTAATGTCATGTGATAAAAGTGAGGTTAAAGTAAAAACCGAATAGTTATCGTTTGTATTCGCTTAGATAGGTAACGTCTTCGGTTCAATACGATTTGCGTTTAGCGCCAGCGTAGCAAGACGTAAACATACGTCAGACGTATCTCCTGGCGTAGGAAATTCGCATACTGCGCATGCTTAGATGTCAAATTCTACGTTTACGCTTCAACTCCCTATTGAGTGATGAAAGAAGCATTCTGTGATATTTATATATCATATTGCAAATAATACTAAATACAGAAATTGTCTCGTTGTTCTGGATCAATAATACTAATTAGTACTCGATAAAGATAAAGTTTTTGATGAGAATATAAATAACCCTCAAGTTTCAATAAAAATCATAGAGGGTGAAATAATTTCTGATTTGCAGTAAACCAAGGGTCAGTCCTGTACTGGTTGATTATTGATAAATATCTGTTATTCCAGTATATTCCTGAAGAAAAACTGTTTGTATGCACGAAACGAATCTCTGTCTGAAACTATCACATAAAATCCCTAATAATTTTCAGTTATGAAGAGCGTGCCAGATCACTGGATACGGTAGTGACGAAACACAAACAAGCCACCACCTATGAGGAATTCATTTCGAGAGTATATAGCCCCATAGTCACGTCCAGCCCTTTCTATCCGAGTAGTTCATCGTCCAGCGGAGTTGGAGACTCCTCATTGTTGGCTGCAGCCCTTTTGGACTCGCACGGTCATTCTTACAAGAGCACGTCGAGAAATGATCAAAAGCACAGAGGTAATCCTAATTCTCTAAAGCGTTAACAATACGAAACTATGTTTCAATGTTTTTGACGGTTTTTAGTCAAATGAAAAACATGTTGAAAAATATTGCCAAACAAAAAGATCTTTATAGTGCACGGGCTTGGATCACTAATAAAAGCTGTTAAATACAATTATTAAGAATAATGCTGGATGTTCTTGATAGTTTATAAAAGTGTTTATTACGTTTATTCTCTATTCATCACTTTGTAAGTAAATTTTTGCATTTTTGCCCACCCTGTACCAATTTGAAGCAACATAATTATATGTATATACATTTTTGGAATCAGCTCATCAAGGGCAATCCGGAAATTGAAAAAAAAAAGGGGTTCCCTTTGAAATAAATGGTGATGACGTCATTACACGAAAAAGTGGTTCACCCTGTATATTAGATTATGATTTGAAACAATAGTAAATTGAAATCAAAAATCGACCTGCTTGGGGAATTTCTAATTTGTTCATTTAGCCAAAAATGAATTTATGTGTTACTTTATGAAGGCACTGTATATATTTCATATTGTATCTTCTTTACATAGGATGGAATGATATCAGAGATTTCTGAGGAACATTTCCCGTGAAAGTATCTGTAGAAAAGTGAAATGTCGCTGACTTTGCTACGGTGTTCTAATGAAGTCAAAGTATTAGTGAGTGTGGCATCAACCACCAGGCAGATGTCTTTTCTCTGGATGAAATCTAAGAGCATCAGCGTATATATGGGTGCTGAACCGTTACCACCGATACAACAAGGCCTGCATGCTCCGTGGGTGACGTCACTTAGTGAGGCCTAACCAGCGGCTCGAAACGACAAGCGCTTATAGCGCTATAAGGCGACCGCGTATTTCGATTTTAGTTTTAGATCATCATTGAGCCGATTTTGCTGTTTTTTGAAGGGCTTCCGGTTAAAAAAGGATGCCAGTCGTCAACTGAGCCCTTCTTCGCACCCCATTCGATTTTATTATGGAAAAACGAAGTTTTAAAGCAAAAACCAGGATAAAACAAAAATTATCCACCTACAGCAACCCATTCGAATTAAATATATTGGCAAAAATTGTGGTGAAGGTAAACTTCACACCTACTTATACAGGGCCCGCAGAACATAAACTTATCATGAGATTGATCGAAAGAAAATTGTGGAAAATGCATTTTATTTTGATTGACATGCCGTTTGTTACAATTACCTATATTTATCTTGGAGAATTCCTATTACCTGAAAAAATAACCAGTGAGTGTTTTCAATTTTCTGTTGGATTTTTCGCTTGAAACCGTAATTTTTAAGGGTAAAACTGCATTTATCATGCGATGGTTTTTTTTTTGAAAATTTTTTCCGGTACTCACGTACTGTCTGACAAACCGAATTTTATAATAAAAATGTGAACAAACCACTATTTATTGAGATATTTCAAGAAAAAGTTCGAAATTTCGCCTTCTTTCTCCCCTTGTGTTGGGGGCATTTGAAGCTACTTGCTCTTATTTTGTCATTGGACACTTTAGATACTCATGATGTACTTCGATGGCACATTTTTATATAGAAAATTCAACAGGAAATATGATTTTTATGGCGAGTTTTTCATATTAAGTGAACAAGCATTCCAGATGACGACCATTTAATCAATAGTCAATCAAAATACGAGATGTCAAATGTCAATAGATTGCTTTCGAATGACATTACACACGCCATTATTTTGAATGATATTCTTCCTTCTTTTCACTAAATATGGATTAATCTCAAGAAAATCATATTTATAGTTGAATTATATATAAATTGTCCAATATGATGATAAATGCAGTTTTGCCTTTTAAAGTAGAGTGTTTGTAGTTCATGTTAATATGATAGTTGCAATTTGATCATTGGAATGAATTCTGCATTCATTGCCACGAGGCAAATGACCGTTTTCAGAAAGAAATTTGAGAATGAGAATTAAAAATGCCCATTTATTATGAACATTCAAGAAAATTTCCTCGAATTCAGAGATGATTTTGTTGACTATGATATACGAATACAAAACTAACTGCACAATCAAAGCTTTTCTATTTTTTCTCTACTTATAATCTTTATGAGAGAGTAATTGTCTTCTATTATTAATTCATTATTATAAATTAAGCTCTGTTTACTACTGAACTTAGATGGAGTAAAATCCTCGCAGTGAATTGCATATACCCACATTTTCGATAGCTCCTCGTCCAACGGGAAACTAAAAGCATGAACTTTTGAACCACCCACATAATTCCCCCGACAAAAGGGAACACAACACTTGAAAGGCATTGTTATTTCGCCGATCACAACACAAAATATTTCACAAAACAGTAATTTTTCCGCCAATTATTTTGATGAATAAACAACAAAAGAATTCGGGACCGTTTCAAAAACATACGTGAATCACCAAGATGACCGTTTATAAAAATACAACATCGAAAAGTGATTCGTTCTGATCCTACGATGCTGATGACTAAACCTGCTTCAATCTTCGATCACACGATGATTACAAATACCGATGAGTCGTCGAGGTCGCTTGTGATAAGACATTCCTTAGGCGTTCTCCTCAATTACGGGGTGATTTGAACATCGTCGCTAACAATGTAGTGTTCTTGGTGGGAATGGTGGTACCAGACATTGTTATATCAGACATACTGTGTTTCGCATTTCTAGAGAAAATACAGGCTGTAATTTCAGCAAAATCGGCCTTGACCTGTCTTAGTCGTAAGGTCTTAGTTTCCTGGGAAGAAATGGGATTTCTAGAAGAGAACGCAGCATGGAGAGTACTATCGTCTGCAAAGCCTTGGAAACGGCAAGTCGTTGCTCCCAACAGATCATTGAAATGAAGTAGGAAAATTGTAAGTGCCAAAATTGATTCTTGTGGAACGCCGCAATTGATGGCAATGGTATCAGACGATACTCCGTCCACCACCACACGGAGTGATCAGTCTGAAAGAAAACTCGATAAAAGTTGGCATAGCTGAGGTGGTAGGGTGCGCTGCTTCATGCCCACATTTCGTTACTCCCACATCGCGTTCTTCCACATTTAGATATGCCCAAATTTCGTTAGCCCGACATTTCGATACACCCACAGTCTTCGAACATACCCGTAGGAGGTACTGTTGCTAAATACTATCCTATATATCAGAATTCAATGAAACTGTGCGTTAGGCCCATAATGTCTAGTACACGCGTCTAGCTATAGCATTTCCCTCTATGGCTTCCTGAATTCCGAATACGTGATATGAGGAAGGAAAATATCCTTTCTGCATAAGGAAGGAGACTACTTTTTCTGTACATTCTAACCTTGCTCGGCCTAAATGAACCTCCTTCCTGGGAAATATATTTTTCTGAATATTACTTGAGAGCAAAAGAGACTATACTTTTTGAAAACAATCTAACCTAACTCGGACTAAATAAACCTTGCTAAAAAGTATATTTTTCGATAAATTTCTCGAGGGAACAAGATATACTACTTTTTCTAAACAATCTTAACTAATAGCCTAAATCAACCTTTTTCCTAAAAAGTATATTTTTCGGAAAATATCGCATCAAGCACAGTATATGGCAATAGTGCATCCTTCGGGTATGTGCGGACACTGTGGGAAAATGGAAATGTGGGGCTAACAAAATGTGGGCCTATCGAAACGTAGGTGTAACGCAATATGTCGATAGGCCCACAATGACAGTTTCATTGAATTCTGGTATATAGGCATATATATATTTGGCAACAGTGCCTCCTTCGGGTTCGTTTGGATACTGTGGGTGTATCGAAATGTGGGCATATCGAAATGTGGGAACAGCTCGATGTGGGAGTAACGAAATGTGGATGTAACAACACACTCTCGAGGTGGTGAGCCGTATCGTGGCAGTTTGTGAAGGAAACCTTGGTGCCAAACACGGTCGAATGCCTTCGATATATCCAACTTTAAATATATGGGTGACGTAGGCAAGTAATTCTCCAGTTGATCTTCGGTGGCAAAAGCCATATTGTCTATGATTTATGATTCCTGAGCTTCCCAGATATTTGTTGAGCTCAATATTGATGGTTTTCTTCATCATTTTGGAGATGACTGGTAACAGGGCAATGCTTGGTGAATAGTTGTTGGGCAGGCTTTTGTTTCCTTTCTTTGGGGATTGCTTGGACTCTACCTCGGATACTTGATACTTTTGATAAGTCATTCATTACACCAATATATTCCTTAATCCACAATAATACCTTGAAATTATTCCGTATCAATCAATATCCTGATTTCGGAGCTAACTTCCGTGGACTATACTGTTGATTTCAAAATTCACAAAATCAAACACAGAGATTTGAATGAACGCAATTTCATTGTGTTATTTCGAAGTCATTTTTCAATAAATGACCATTCATCATTTTCAGTTTCTGCTAATGATTCTTCACGAGGGGGTTGGTTCCAGAACTTAGAAACCCAGATGGCTGAGTCCAGCATCTCCCCGAGACCCATGAAAAGACTGTCCTCGAATATAAAGGCTTCGAAAAGGTCCATGAAAAAAGAACAGTCGGCCGATTCTCCGCCCGAGAGTCCCTTACAGATGACCAGAAAAAAGTAGATTCGTATTTTATGTAATTACTGAAAATAATTCCATTCTTATGTATAATCAAACGTGTGTAGATTCACAATCTGATTCGTTTTAGGAGATATTAGTTTGAAGTGAATAATATATCCATAACACCAACTAAAGTTTTAACGTTCGCTAAAAAAATAGATAGATATTTTTTAGGAATAACCGAATTTTATTCAACAGAAGTTGCATTATTGGTATATTAACATTTCCTTACTAAACGACTGTCATTTTTTTGTTGGAGTTTCTTCTCGAAAAAAATATTCATTGTAACATTAATGTGAGATATGTAAGATATATAGTTTATATTAGTATAAGTATATACCTATTTATTTATAATTTATTTATTCAGGTTTTCCATGAACTTTCTGCATTTAGAAATGTAGTTTTTTTTATCAATTATGGGGCAATTTAAATCTTCACACTTCAAAAACCTATTCAGGATGGCTTTCTACAGTTTCCAATTTTTCATTACATGCAATAATAGGCAAACTATTTCACCCTAAATAGCAATGACCTGCTGCAATTTTTTTGTCAAAAAAATGTGTTCAGCTGCTTAGAAGTTTTGAGTTGAGTAGAAAAAACCTTGAAAACAACATTAAACTTGCATCTAATGATGCAAAAATAATGCATTAAATACCAAAAATCTACTATTTTCTCACAAGAATTGCACCAGCAATACAAATTGCCGCAATAAAAATAGGTCCGCACCATAGTAGAAGGAGAAGATGGTGTGCTCAACAGAAAGCTCAAACTCGTCTTGTTCTGCGCATGACGTCAGCTGGGATATAACTGTCATTGTTATTATTTGTTTTCGTGATTGATGTCTCGAACTTCAGATATTATATAAGTAGGTACTAAAATTGAATGAAATAATTTCGAAATGCCTACTTGTTTCGTTTCTGGTTATGGAAATTCCAACTAACATACAAAAGGCACAGATATTGAATTTTTCTGCTTTTCCAAGAATGGGGACCTAATGAAACGATGGGAGCTTGCTGCCGACAGAATATAAACTCAAATTATGGTACCTACCTTTTATTCCTTATATCGTCATTCCAAAGTATTCACCTATCATATTATCATCACATTCATATTACTTACGTACGTAGTTCTTCAATACATTTCCATGCAAAATGTTCCCAAACAAGTGCAAAAGTACGGTTCTTGAATTACACACCTCTAAAAAATCACAAATATTTGAAACAAGATGCCATTCCTACAGAACATCTTCCGAATATCAAGTCAGAAATAATTGAAAATGAATTCAAAACTCTTAATTCCTCACAAAATATAAATTGCAGCAAAGATTTGAATAACAAAACGGCAAAAGTTGATACTCTTGTTGTCGATGTCGGAGCAGAAGCAACGTCAACGTCGTTAACTGCTGAATTTTAATCTGTCAGAATCGACACAGTAGTGGATCATTCAGATGAGATTGGCAATGCATGATAATTCTTACGTATTTGATATTTGCGATTGCGAATTATCTCAAGATCACAATTTCCATCAATGAAATAGTAAAATCAAAGGAATAAGTACCTGTTTATATAAATTGAATTATTTCTAAACAGATCGAGAAACTTATAGAAATTTCAATGAACATGATTGAATTCATTGCGCACGCCCATGGCAATGGTATCTGTCTGTGACTAGCAGCTGATATTGGTATCCCAGATGACGTCACATAATATGCGCGTAGGCACACCATCTTCTCCTTCCACTATGGTGCACCAATTTCCTGCAATGCAAGGAAAAATTGCGACAGCTGTCCAAAATGACAATAGTGCGTAGTTAGTTGCGCAATGCAAAAATTAGTGCATTTCTTTGGAAAATTGTGAACTGTAAAGGGTTTCATAAAACAGACTCAATTTGAAAGGATCTAGGTACCACTACCAACCTCATTGAATACGATCATTGGCAAATTTGATGCCAAGAAATTGTTCTCTAATGTTCGCTAAAATACAAAAATTCCCAAAATACTTTTGACACCGAATTCAGAAAGGGCAAGCGATCCAATTTTGAGAAAGTCTATTTCATTTTTGTGGGTTCTTTCATGATCAAGGGCATGATTATTTAATAACAAATTTTCAACCTACGAAATCGTTTAATAGTGAGTTCAATGGGTAAGACTCAAGGTTTTTGTAAATAATCTGAATCATATGTTGGAGGATAATCTTCACATTTCCATTACATTTTTCGAAAACTGTTGGAATGCATTTCTGGAACTTCAGTATTTAACTTTTTTCCACTTCTTAATATTAATATTTTTTCAATCATATTAGTTTGTAAAGTACTTATTAATAAAGGCTTTATAATATAGAAGATGAATATGTAGTTTTCATTTACCTGCATCCTATCATTCAGTGTCATGAATAAATATGAATTCTTCGAAGGCATCTACACCAGGTGACACAGGATATCAGACTACCACTGTAACTTCTGCATTCGTTAACGGATTTTTCTGGAAATATCATTAACTTTGTTTCCTCAAAAAAATAATGGAGGCTTGAATCAGTACGAGAATGAACATAATGGCCTGACCATCCTCGGCCTCTACAGATTTTTTGCAAAAATTCCCATCAAATAACATGAGTCGTCACTCTTTTCTTGCACACTCTTGCACAATATATCAGAATGGTATACATTCCTGTCTTTAAACTCCCATCAATGATGAATCTGAAAATAAATTACCAGAAGAAAAATACAGAAGCAAACTTTCTCCAAAACTGAATTGCTTCTGACAACTCTTGATATCAGTTTCATTATTTCAACCTCTAAGGCTAAAAGGATTTGAAAAAGATCGCATTATTATCATAATAATTACATATAATTATAAACCATACATTTCATTATATTATTTACAAAAATAATCAGTATTTAAATGAACAACAATGAATTAACGATTGCATGTATACAAGTAACACTTTAAAACAAGATTTCAAAAGACAAATAACACAAGAAATAATAAGAAATGGCAAAGTTTTAAAATCCAGTAAAATTATTTACATGGTGTATCTAAATAACACCGAAATAAGGGGTGATTCCTTGTGATATTTTTTGGAAAAAAAGTTCATATGAACATGTGTCCTAACTTGCTTCGTTCTCGAGATACAGAATATCAATATTTCCATGGAAAATCATTTTTCTATTCATTTCTCAATTGTCTTTTCACCAATTTCAATAAAATTTTGTTAATACTTATTTGGAGCTTCTTCTATATAGTGCAATTAGATTCGAAATAATATTTCCAGTGGCGTCACAGTGGGTAAATTCATCGATATTCATGGTGAATGTCATTGTACACCACTGGTTTTCTCAGATTGAACTATTGAAATAACAACTTTTTCATCCTCTGTGTGATTTTTGTATCTAGCTTAGTTTTTGAGGAAACAATAAGAATTCGATTTGACTCCAAATTTAAATGTAGGTGTTTTCAAGACCTCCATTGATATTACTCAATAACCCCAATTAGAATCATTATGAAATTTTGGGGCTTTCTCAGTCTTCATCCATACTGAATTTTCGCACCATGAAAGCTTGTACAGGGGGGTTATAAATAAAAACAATTGATACTTCCAACTTCAACATCCTGTATCTCAAAAACGGAGCAAGTTAGGACGCATGTTTATATGAACTCCATTTCCTAGAATGTCACAAGGAAACACCCCTCGAATTTTTTCGGTGTTATTTAGATACAACCTTGTATAAACAGTGTTTAAAAATATATCACACCCGAGATCATACCAAATATCTCGTAGAAATATCGATAACAAGCGGAGGCCGCAAGCATTCTGATACTTTTCAACGACACTACTAAAATATGTGATCAGCAGGCGAATAGAAAAACGGATTTGATATTGAATTTCACAGATAAATACAGGGTCTTGAAGCATTAAAAACGGTCACGTGGCACTCGATCATTGTTGAAGACACGTTACACGTTTTAATGTAGCAGGGCAGTATTCCACATAATAGTTATTATATCTCAATAATTAGTAAAAATATAGAAACTTTGACCTTATGACCATATTCAGTTTCACTACTTATATTTTAGTAAAATGTTTTTCAGAAACTACAAAATTGTTTGAAAAACTATGATAGGCAAGAAAATGCCCCCCTTCTTCCACAAATATCAACTACTGATAGTTAGAGGTTATCTTAGACAATATGAAATTGAGTCCCTCAACTATAGCTAGGAATATATTGTTGGCATTAATTTTCTCAAACTCGATGTGACACAATTTTAGTCCCTTTGTCAATTTCATTTTTCTAAGACCTTTCCAGCATTCCCTCAAAGATGAATGACTAAAAAAAAAGAAGATATAATCAGAGTTTCAAAAATCCACCAGCTAATAAAGAAATGTCCAATTTATGTGTGGAGGAAGAGTGATTCAAGAATAAATGGAACGAGAGCTCTCGTTCTCAAGAAGATTCTGGTATTATACAGGGTATGTCACGACGAGCTTACACTATCTTTATATCAAGAATCAGTCGGGAGAAATCCATGAAAATGTGCGTGCTTATATTTTAGAGTACGCTCTCAATACAAATATTTTCGACAATGCAGTGTTGCCGCTTCTACTAGAAAGAAGTAGCAACATTGATATTTCAAATAAAACACCCTGTATTTTATCGTATTTTTAGATTCTCCCTGAAGAGCTGATTCTACCGATATATCACACTTGGGGTCTACCGAAAATGATTACAGAGATATAGCGTGTTCAAAATCGAGATTTTTTTGTCTTGAAACTATTCATTATCGGTCAAAACGGCTCACATGTCCCTATCTCAACTTTTGATTCACTATTTACTGATATTTAATTATTTAATCGGAACAGATACAGGGTGGTTCAAGATTCAGAATTCTGATCAGATTTTAATTAGAATTGAAAAGAAGTCCTTTCATAGTGACATATAGGTCCACATATTTCAGTTTCATAGAACTATAATGATTGAAATATATTTCTAGCGGTGGAAAAAATCCAATATACACCTTGGCATTAAAGAATATTATTACCACGGGACCTTATACCCCTCGGCTGAAGCCTCGGAATATAATCTTGGTCCCTGGGTGATAATAGTGACTTGTGTTTCGTAAATAAATTCGTATGCCATTATGGATCACAACTAAAGTTGCAGTCACCAAGAATTCATAAACATTGTATAATAAGGAGGATATTATATTTTTTATCTCTTGTAGTGCACAAAAGGGAATCCCTATAATGTTAGAAGAACCTAGGGAGGATTAGAGTTCCTAAATGTACTTAACACTGCTGATTTTGACGTTTTTTGTATACCAGAGTACGGACACTATGACAAGCACTGACAATCAGACATAACCACAAATAAATTGATGGAAAAAGCGGGAACTGACAGTACACGGACGTACATGACAAATTGAGAGAATTAGGAGAAAGATGCAAGTTTGTGCAGTTTCCAACTGTGAGAACACGGGAAATCAATTCACTCTATTCGAATTTCCATCGGATAACGTAATTCTACAAAAATGGAACAGAATATGATGCAGCCGGCATGGAATATAGGTTCAGACCACAAAATTTGCGAGGTATTAAAATTTCTTGGTAGGAAGTTGAAGAATAGGATCGTATTGAGAGAAAGAGCCGAACCCACAATTCATAAACTGAGCGAGTATCGAAAAGAACCTTATTCCAATTTAGACTCTGGTTATTGCTTGTGATGGAATGATGGAGCAGAGATCACAATAGCCACTATGGAGATCATGGTCGATAATCTGATGATGAAATAGCAGCAACTTCCTGAATTGACTGATTCAAACTGATTTCACATCCCTGTTCAACCAAGAATTCTTTAGATCACCTTCGTATACGAACTCTTATAATAATTTTGTGAAAACATATAGTCACTTTGTGAAACCATAGATCTAAATGTGTGTATTTAGATCTATATGGTGGAACTCTGATGTATCAGATATTGCTGTATCTATATCAAATAGTTGAATACATTGTTCGTGTATCACTTCTTCAAAGTTGAAATCCCAAGTCTGAATGTGCATGTTCACGGTAGTTGAGAAGTGCTAGACGACTACATAGCTCCTAGTGGATTTTGAACCACTTCGTGGGTACCAAGATGATAGCAAGATATTATCAGAGCACAGAACAAGAACGCTCAACAAGTGCACCATTTATGTTAGGTATTGAAAATGATCTTCCGATGGCCGGGTTCAACCAACAATCCCCTTTAGCAATGTGAACGGCGATCTATAGTGAGTCGAGCGCTGAAGTCCATTTATACCTACTACCAATACTGACAAAACATATGATTTGCTTCAAAATTGATTGTGGTTATGTTTGATTGTCACTGCTTGTCTAGTGTCCGTACTCTAATATACAAAAAACGTCAAAACAGCAGTGTCAAGTACATTTAAGAACTCTAGGGAGGATAAGCAGAGAAGGTTTGGTATTGATTTTCTTTTTCAACTTCTGGGGTTTTTAAGTTCTTGGGAACACTTTCTTTGGCAAAGAATTCCCAAGCTTTGCCGTTCTATAGACAAACGAGTTTTGGCAAAGTGAGGGAAAAATCTGATAAGGCCGCAGAAAAAAATTAACTATAGCTCTTCATAAAATTGTTGAGTGGATGTTCAGAATTGATAAAAAACATTCAGATTCAAAAACAGATATCACATCAGATAATAAATATCTAGCTGTACGATAATCATCATCAAATATACTTATATAATTCATTTCAATATGGTTAATATGTGATACCAGAAAATATATACATTCCCTCGCAATATTGATCAAGTTAGATCAGTTATAACTTTTTGGCGCCCAATTTCATTGGTCCTCCTGTCGTTCTACTAGCCCTCCTAGCTTCCAGCTCCTTTTGTCTCATCAATTTCTTCTCTTCTCGCTTCTTTTTTGCTTCCTCCAATTTTTGATAATTTGAACCAGGATGTTCTTCCAAGGTCTCAATTTCATGGTCATCCCAAGACTGTTGATTTCTATGATTAAGACTAGACTGACAGTGATTCGCCCTGGATTCTGGTGGTATGATGGGGGTGATTTCAGAAGGGCTCCATGCCTCTGAGGGTGATGTTAATTCTGCCTCTGCCTCCTGAAAAATATATCCTGCTGATTAAAATAGTTATTTATGTACCAAGGACGAAACACTGTCTATTATAGTCGATTCTGCAAAATAGCCGAGGCTTGCAATCAGCCGAGACAATAAACAGTTTTTCACCGAGGTGCATTTATTCGTCGACCTCAAACATTTATATTCACATCACGGTCCTATTCACATGTGAAATTTATCGGAATTCGTGAATAATTGATATGACAACAGCAAACGGCAGTTGTTGTCAACTCCCTCTGCGCGCGGACCAGGGTTGCCAGTTCGATATTCATTCCATCAGTAAATACCTTGTCAAAAATTCAGTAGATTTCAATAGATCTGTTTAATATCTATTTTATGCTATACGAATTCCAAGAAAGGATAATGAAATAAACCTATGATGTCAAAACATTATGTATTTTTAGTAAACAGATAATTAGCCTATTTTCAACAAAATAGAAACAAAGAAAACAAACATTTTCATACAATAATAATCATATTCCTGATTCTCAATTTAAAAATGCAAAACAAATAAAAAAATTAAACAAGAAACAAACAGAAACGAACTGTTATAACAGAGGTATATAAAAAATTGAATTCGATCTGAATCAGATGAAGTATTGTCCTTTTTTGATTTTTACATATCATTAATATCTATATATGTACATGCATTACTCATTTTGTTAAATTAATTTAAACAGAGCGTGCCGGAATATCATGCTATTTATAAGTGTATGTGATTAACTAGAGATTAATCTGAACCAATATTATAAAGAGGAAAGATTCGATTGTTTATTTGTTCGTATGTATTGAATAGGCTCCGAAACTACTTTCTTTATGTTCTGGTTCCCACGAAAATGGATATCCTGTAATGTTCAGAGAACATCGTGAGAACCAAGAAAAATAAGGTAGGAATTGGTGTTCTTAAATTTCTGGAGGTTATATGCATCATGGATCGATTTCGCTGAAAATTGGTGGGGAGGTAGCTTAGGACCGGGAGTAGGTTATAGGATACTTTTATACCGGTACCATTAGCAAATTCAAGATGGCGGATCTAATATATCGGACGAGTTTTGTAATTATAATCCGATTCATTTCAAAATTGGTACTAGGGATTTTCGTGATCGGGGATTATGATTCCTCCGTCAAAATTAAGAAATTGAAGATGGCGGATCCAAAATGGCGGATTTTGTAATTAGGATCGGATTTTATTCAAATTTGGTATCTGGTGGTTCTCGGAGTCGGAGATTATGATTCTTTCGTCAAAATTAGGAAATTCAAGATGACATACCCAATATGGCGGACGAGAATTGTAATTATTATCCGACTCTCTTCAAAATTGTTATCTGGGTGTTTTCGGGGTCGGAGATTATGATTCTTTTGTAAATATTTGGAAGGGGCGGGATTTGGAAATTCAAGACGGTGGAACCAATTTACCCGACGAGTTTTGTAATTACATACCGATTTTAGTCAAAATTTGTAAGTGGGCATTTTCGGGATCGAAAATTATGATTCCTCCATCAAAATTGGGGAATTCAAGATGGTAGATCCAATATTGCGAACGAGTTTTGTGATGATGTTCCGATTCTATTCAAAATTTTCATCTGGGGTTACAGAAGTCGGATATTATGATTCTTTCGTCAAAATTGGGATATTCAAGTGAACCAAAAAGAAAAGTTGAAATAAATGGTAGTTGGAAAAACTAAAGAAACACGCTTTTATAGATAGCGAAACTAAAAAGAAGAAGAAAATGAAATAATAATAGTGTCTTGATGAATATTGAACTGAAAAAATATATTATAGAAATAATGTATATAGCAAAACAACGTTTGCGAGGTCGGCTAGTAATTAATAAAGGTAATTATAATAATTAATAAGTGTCAACATATTTTTCAATGGGTTATGAAATGTTTCATTCCCAAAATATGACAGGTATCTGGTAATCACCTCCCAAATTTTTTTGCACATATTCATCTACCCCATGCACTGAACAACCGGTCCTTAGTATGAAAAATATCCAGCCACAAAATAACGAAAGTCTCAAATAACTTACAGGTTCTTCATCTAAGCTGCCCCATTCCTCGTTTTCCCAACCATCTGTCACTTTCGTTGTTGGGCCCGAGCCCGATGGCGGACTTATTGGATCGCTGGTGCCAGTTTGACAACCGCTACCACTACTGCTGGCCATCTGACCACCAGTCTGAAAAATAATTAGTATTTGTAAGAGAGATATCTTCATTGATCCAATATTCATAAAACTAACAAACAAAATGTATTAAATAACCAAAACCAAATATGTAAACCTGACATCAGGTGGGCACTTCGAAGGCGCAAATTCATTAATGCATGGGAGTTACCATTCAGATTTTTAGCTATTCAGTGACTTTACGATGAGCAGCTAGCAGCTGATGGTTGGGTTAAACCATATATCTACTATTTCTATATATGGCCCATCGCCTGTACGATGTCTCAACAAGAATGGGACCAAAACAAGAGGTACTTTTTGAATCTATAAGGACGGAAAGTGAAAGATGGAAACAGCCATATTGGTTTGACAAGTTTCGTTACAGTCGTATTCAATAAAAAAGCGTACAAGTATCAAAAAAAGAGGATTTCGGAATCCTAGTTCAACTTGTGTAAAACTCGCTCAGCCATTGCTTTGTGTTTTCGAGAACCTATGACAACTTTACTGTCAACATTTGGTGAACAATCATTCCCCCAGTATTACTCTTTGTCTTAATCTCCACTGGTCGATCAAGATTCGGGAATATTTTATTCATTCATGTTCATTAATGAATATCACTCAAATCATTTTGTTGTCCAAATATCTATTAATAAGGCGAAAACAGTGAGAATAGATACACTACTACCGATGGCAAGAAATACGTATATGCCTTATATCAGTTCAACTGAATGAACATAGATGTCGCACCAGTTGTGAAAATAGATACTACCACTTATGGCAAGAAATACGTTATATACCTTATATCAGATCAACTGAATAAACATAGATGTCGCACCAGTTGTGCATTTCGCGAATTTCCCACAATATTATTCGTAGTGAAATGTGAATTCAGGATAATAACAAGTGGCTATGTCTTTATGAACCACTAGTTAATGAAATCGAAATACTATCTTGCTATTGTATTATGTATCGTATTGTATCAATTCACGACTTGAAAATGATCAAATAATGGTAGTAGGTTCTAGCCAGTGGTTGGAAAATTCATTTTTTCAATTTTCGTTTTAGATGTTAGTGCTCTAGACGTGCCTCATTACTAACGGTACCCCCTCTATATCTCAGCTATTTGTCGACCGATCTTTACCAAATTTGGACCGGTATGAATAACCATCAATATGGTCAGTGTTTCATAGACGAACATTATTTTAGACAGTGCCGTGCGTTATTGTCAAAATGAAAAGGGGGCAATTGTTCATGAAAACAGATTAGAATTTTTTTCACAGGAAAACTGACCTCATAATATTAATCTTGATGGTTCCAAACCACCCCATAAGTAAATTTTCATATGATTTCTATAAAAGGTTTTGAAACAACAGGCACATCTAATTTTTTCGAGAGTAATAATATCGGAAATGGTCAGTTCAACATTGAATAGAATTATCTTTTTTTTTAATCATGATTTTTTACCTACTGGAGCTATTGAACGTTCCCAAATGTGCAGTTAATTTGAATTCACTATTTTTTTCGGGGCTCAAAATGAAAAAAATTAAGCCAATCCTGATAATTTGGAATGAGGTGATTTTTTGCATATGGAAGTTCGAGAGCAAGAGGGACAATAATATGAATTTAGTTTTCTTGCAACAAAATTCCTAATATGATTACATTAAAAATCGACCACTTTTTATTTGAATAAAAAGGCACGGCATTGGCCAAAAGGATATTCCTCCCTGAAAAATTGATCATATAATAATATGCTGAGGTATAAAGTGAGACATGCTGTATAAAATTGTTTCTTGGTTACCTCCATATCCCCCCAATTATCATTATCGTCCCAATGGTTGTAATCATAATCGGAGACGGATTCGTTGCCTCGACTTCCATCTTCATGTTCTAAAGAGGTCATGGATGTGACACTAGATGTTGTAGTTGATATACTGCTGCTAGATGGTTGCTCTAAAAAATTATAATTTCATCATTATTGATCCAAATTTGGCTTGAACAGTATTTTCAACATTATTTGAACAAAAAAGTCATAGAGGATGTACCGGATATGAATAGAACGACACAACCTGACAAAATTGATTTGAACATAAATTACATTCCATAAATCATGCTTCTGATTCTATTCGCGGTAGCCAAGATTAGAGTCCATCGATGTAAATTGACGTATTTGTCATCTCAACAGGTTATGAACAGATCCTCGTCTCCTCTCACTCTAAAGTGTGTGAAACAGTTATATAGTTCCATCTTTATTCATTTCTGGGAATAAACACTAGATGTCTGACATTTTTTGTTTTTTAGGTTATGTTGAGGACATTGGTGTATCATACGTAATTTCCACATGTAATTTCTCATTCAACTCTACATATTATATCCAAATGATGATGATAATTTTCGAGTTCTCGAGGCAGTGAGCAAATTTTTCTGAAAATTTAATACGTTTTACCAAATGGGACTGTTCTTAGGCAGTACCTATCAATAAATGAATTTTGATTTCAGACTAAGCCTTATGGTCGAGAAATGGTGAAAAATGTTATGTAGGTATTTAAACTAATGTGCTCATATGTCATGTGTGCTGTATATATTCATGTTGGGAATCATTTTTGCAGTTTTTCACGAACACTCAATATTTCCTGAATGTAGGTATAATTTTTTTAAATGGTAGGGCATATGCCTCTTCTTTTAATCCTCCGTTTTAATCAAAACTGTTTCTACTTAAATGGATTCAAAAACTTGTGGAGTGGATAATTATAGACACAATGAGAAAGTATAATATGTGATTTCGTATTAGTTTTACCTCGAATATTTTGCTGATGTATTCAACAATTTTTCCCATTCGATCACTTTACTTTCCATGTTCTGATTGATACAGCCTAACGCAGCACATTTAACCATCCTTCCAAAACAATTGAATAATGTCGTATTAAGATCAAGTATGAAATTAAAATGTTGTAAGATCTCTTTTAACGCCTATGAATGTGACGTGACAGGAATGTCATGTCAGGGTCGCCAATACAGGAAACCAAAGTCACTAGATGATTTAAAGAGAAAGGAGCTATGATCTGTCCGTACCCTGTTAGATGACAAATACGTCAGTTTGCATCAAGGGACCCTAACCAAGATCATCTCACGTCCGTAGTTTTCATGCCATCACAACGTCACATGATGATCTTGGCTACCGCGAAGTCCAGAACAAAACACTACATAAAAAACTGTTAAAAAAATAACAAGTTAGGTTTTCCTCAAATTGATTTTCCATTTTATGTATGCTTTTTGGCATATTATTTCATTTCTATATAGATCAACGGGAGAATGGTACATCTGACCATGATGAAACAAGTGTACCTCTTCTTTGTGAAAAGGTTAATTAATACATAATCTGAAGCTATTAGTGATTCAAAACATAACATACAATAGTTATTCATTATACAAAGAAAAACATTATTAGATTTTAGCTCGAGGTTATGTTGTCTCCAGACGTGTATTTTATTCTGTGACAGGAAAAACGACGATTCAGTATTTAGAAGATATTACATTATAATAGAATCAAACAATTATCGATGAGAAATTTGAAGTTTTCTAATGCTAGTACACCTGTGTTTGCAGCCATCTTTTTGTAGGCATATTGTTGCTATGGAAACCTTTTGAAGTAATCAAGGATGTTAATTTGATTCTGTGTTTTGATTTTGGAAAATTACGAAGTTAGTGGTTGTTCAGTAAAATACGTAACCGCGAAGTGAAAAGGAAGATAACAGGACTTTCAGTCCTTTCTCGGAGACGGTTTATTGGCTTATTATTCGGAACTGGACCAACAAAAGCCATCAACTGTGCACCTATATATCCGGGAAAAAGTACTCACTTTTTTCCCGTGGAAAGAAGTAATTTATGAAAAGTAACAACATAAACAAGAGTTTTCACCATAAATGGAATTCTGAATATAGTTTTCCTTGACTGAATTCAGCCAGTGAACAAAATCTCATCAAATTAAAAGACTTTTTTTAAGCAGTTCACTTTGAAAAGTAAATATCTCGGTATATGCGTTCTTCGAAGTTTTTTATGATGAAATATCATTCTCTACCTCTTGTTCAAAAGAGCATAATCACGAGTACACAAGGTGATTTTAAAATAATAACATATGTATACTCAAAATTCCCAAAATAATAGAATTTCCTAACACACATTCCTACATTTTCTGTTGAAAATTCAGAAATCAATTAAGAATCGATTGAACTAAGAGTACGATTTGCTTAAACAATATTCATCATCATTTACCTAGAGAGCCAGGTTTACTCAGTATTTTACTAGCGATAGGATTTATTGATCTGACGGTATCAGACTGGCTCCTGTAAAATTTGGCAGTGACGGCTGTTACAGCCCATCCAGCCCATGTGGCGGCTGCGTTACTCAAACTTGGGGTTGCCGTATTCACGTCAGCCTCTAAAAAATAATCATAGGATTGTAGTCATTTAATGTGAAACTACCAGGATTATTATTTTTCAACAAATGTAAGACAATGAACAAAGAAGATTGACCAGGGACCTTACCCATACTCTCTCTCAAGCTCGGATCTTCAGATACTTTTTCTAATTTACCCAAGAAACCTTTGATTGTACGAAAAACGGAATCTCGTACGTTTTTTTCCGGGTCCATTGTTAATTGACACAATGCTGGTAGTATTCTAGATGAAACTTCCGATAAAAGATAATACTGCTGAGTTGCAGCCAAGGCCAGGATACCTAGAAGTTTATTGAATGAGAAATTCATCAAGTTACGTCGCCCCACCTGACGGTAATACTTCTGAGTGATTTGTTTTGATCAATAATGAATGTAAAAACCGAATGATCCAAATGTAAATGGATTAAATAATGAAGTAAACAAATCGCTTCAATAGCTTCGAACATCTACGCCAGGTGGCGTATTTCGAAAAGCTTACTCAATAGGTCTCCGCGCCAGTGCTGAAACCGAGACGTGTTTCCAGAGCTTGGATGTGCCTGAATACCGTATTCAGTTGGTCATCGCTGAGGGACGTATCAGAGACGCCTATTATGTTCAATTTGAGGATGAAATGCGAATAAACCCGTCCCTATTACGGCAAGGATTTGGTGTAATGTTCAAATCGTCCTTATTACTGAACGAAACAGATCGGCAAGAGCTAGCGCAGCTAGCACTAAGGAGTGGAATTTCTCCTACATTTTTCAAAGAAATGTCCGAGCCTGAACAGTATGAGGAATGCACATTGAATGAGAACCTATCTGAACCTATTCACAATTCCGTGAATAATTCTATTTTCCCTTCGTTTTTTACAATATTGATCCTGAAGCAAAAGTCGAGTATGTCAATAATATTAATAGAATAAATGATGAATTTGGTCGTATCACTCAAGTTCTTGAGAATGATATGTATATCAGTAATATGACTAAAATTTCGAGTTTTGTACTCCTACACAAATAATGACATTCATTTGTGATAAAATAAAACAACGACGATCTCTTCAGATCAAAGTACAACCTACTGCTATATCTCAAAGAATGAATAGGAACATTACTGGTGGAAGAATACAATCTGGTCGACCGAGTAATATAGAGAGGAAATCCAAAAAACGACAACATAATATATCATTGAATATTGAGTTGAATGTACCACCAGCAAAAAAACATTGATTGCATTTATTTATGAAGAATTTCATGATTGGATTAATGAATAATGAGTTGATGAAATGAATTTTCCTTTGTGAGTCATTATCACATAATAAATTTCATATGAATTGTGTTTTATTCTTTCGTGATTGGAAAATAAAAATATCTCCCTCCGAATAGACGAAATGGAGACGGGTTTATTTGTATATACGGCGTTAAAAGATAATGGAAAAGCGTCTCTGATACGTCCCTCAGCGATGACCAACTGAATATACGGTATTCCGGCACATCCAAGCTCTGGAAACACGTATCGGTTTCAGCACTGGCGCGGAGACCTATTGAGAACGCTTTTCGAAATACGGCGCCAGGTGTCATACCCATATTTTTTATGGCAAAAAACTTTTCCAGTTTAATGAGAGTTTAACCTACCTGCATTACGTGCTGGCGGAAATGGATCTCTCATTGCCCTAATGAAGGCAGATATGAGTACTTTTTGTCGAATCTGGGGATGCAAATGTTGAGCAATTTTGCCTAGGCACACAGTCGTATTAGTTCTTATACCTCCTTGGTCATCTTTTGATTGTAATCGTGCGAAGTGCCTCAAAACTTCTACATTTAGATTATTGTAACTTAACTTAGGCGCTAGGTGTATCACAGACTGGAAACAAATACACATTAGACGTTTTGGTGAATATTCAACAGTAATATCCCAAGACCATGATAATTAGCTGATTATTATTTTCTTCATAATTCTATCGAGAGTACGTTGTATTTTTATAAGGCATATTGGAGTAACTCTTCATATTTGGGTGTTTACTAGTTTCAGAGAACAACAATTTAATTCCAAAAAACGTTACTTATTCGTTACTGAGGAGTGAGCTGCAAGTGTTTCGGTGTCATCTAAATCAAGTACAAAAATCACTTACTTTCACAGTCTGTTCTCTGATTGTAGGATTAGTGTCCATGAAACCATGAGCAATTTGGGGAAATATTTGATCATTAACTGTACTAGCTTGTAAATGTCCAATGAAATGTTCCAACTGTTGTAGAAGTCTAGATCGTGTAGCTCTATCATTGCTTCCAAATAACTTGACTACACATGGTACAATTTTTCTCTGATACTCTGCTTCATCAAGTAGTCTTCCGAGCTGAATATCAATAAACAATGAATTACTTTGATCCAATGATCATACAGGGCGGTCCAGATTATTGTACACAACAAATCACCATAACTTGGATATTGGCTATCCGTTCAATAACCTAGGTACCTATTTGTTTATTAAGAAGAATTCCATATCTTGGGAATCCCTAGCACATCCCAAAATAGCGTTATAGCGTTCATTGAATTTCGTGAATGCGGTGGATAAACATTCTACCTGGCTGATTCATCAAATTTAGGAGTTTTAGTTCAATTATTTTTTATAGATTTTCCAAATATGTCATTTGTTCTACAGGGTTTCTATAAATGATCGTAGCATCGTATTAACGGTTGATATACATTGTTTGCTTGTGCATGAAGGTATAGTTCGATCTCCATAAGTGAGACCTCTACAAAATTCACATTTTACGTTCTTATTTCCGAACGAAAAACCGTTCTAGATCTCCTGATTTGCATATTGATTTACTGATCAACCGAAACATTTCATCACCTGCTGAAAAATATTTTGACACTTATATATTATTATATAATTACCTATATCATTATTGATCTTTAGTTACTCGCATTGCTTGATATTTCGGCAAGCTCTGTTTAAATTAATTTTACAAAATAAGTAATAGATTTATATACAGGGTGAGTCAATAGTGTGTTCTCCTTCTATATTAGCCAAACATCAGATATATAGAAGAAATTCGAATACAACAGTTATAGGGTTTATTGGGAACTATCACCTGAAATTATTTTCATATCTATAGGGTGTTCGAATTCCAAGATATCGGTTGATGATGGGTGTTTTTGAATGGGACATTACATATACAGTGTGATTCAGTTTTTAAGGCACAAACGCAAATGGGAGATAGATCTTATCATTTTAATCAAAAAAGTTCATATAAACATTAGTCCGATCTCGTTCAGTAGCGGAGCTACGGGGGGTCAAAGTTCAATTATTTTTTTCTATTAATTGAAATATCTTGCTTACTTCTTGAGATATCATTCTGAAATTTGGTGTGGTCAATACATCCTGGTAGATCATAATTTCAAGTCATTTGAAGATTCTCAAAATCTACATGGTGATACGTTTTTGGCGGTAGAGGCTTCTTTATCCCCCCCAAACTTTTTCGTAGTACGCCTCTGGCATCTTTCAGTGATAAAATTGTGTGGATCGATCAATTTAGAGACTTAATTTTTTTCGAGAAACGAACCGTTTCTATATATACGTTCTAAAACCCTGTTTCGCGTAAATTTTATTTATCTGCAAAAACAACCTTGACTTTCTACCCTCCGTATCCCCGTTACTGATCCAGATTGGACTCGTGATTGTAATTGTACTGAGTTCATTTCATTGCATTTCCAACGAATTTTGTGAAATAAAATTTAAGTGAAACATAGGCAAAACTAACATGTTTTAGAACGAATATGCTTATTTATCTCAAAAACGGTTCGTTTCTCGAAAAAAATTTAAGGGCAAGAAAGCCTCCAAATCGAACGATCCACACAATCTGATAACTGAAAGATGCCAGAGGCGTCCGAAAAAAATTGGGGGGGGGGATAAAGAATCTTCTACCCCCGAAAACGTATCACCCTGTAGATTTTGAAAATATTTAAATGACTTGAAATGATGTTCTTCTAGGAAGTATTGACCACACCAAATTTTAAAATGATATCTTGAAAAGTAAACGAGACATTTCAATTAATAAAAAAAATAATTGAAGTTTGACCCCCTGTAGCTCCGCTACTGAACGAGATCGGACCAATGTTTATATAAACTTTTTTTATTAAAATGATGAGATCTATCTCCCATCTCAGTTTGTACCTTAAAACCTGAATCACCCTGTATATTCATAGTTGAGGAATATCGGAGTGAATAGATAAACTTAGTTCTATTGCCTTCCATCGGTTAATGAAAAAGTTCTGATTTTTTCAAGGAGAATCTAAGAATGTTGAAGCATGTTGAACTCCATATCATTTTAGCAATACATTTTTTCGAGAGAACGATTTCTGAAATTAAATTGACTATTCTGAGATAAAATTGGCGCTTCCTGAAATTCAAATGACTATTCTGAAATACAATAAACGCTTTGACTATTCATAGTTATGATTACACATTAGAACATTAGAAATTAACAAACACAAACATTCCAGCAGTTTACTTAACAATCGACTAGACGACAGGCAAGTCAATATTTGGTTGATTTATTGTACAAATATTTCATTTGAAAAAGCTACTGTGGAAATCTTACGTTCTTGGAGTTTTTGAAATTTACCTACTATGCATTTTTATTTCAAGTAGGTAACAGCCGAGTCAATAAAAAATAATATCATTTGGGGGATCACTGAAAATTGGAATGAAAATAATATAATCTATAATATGGACTACCTATCTTCTCTAGAAATTAATCCCTATTTCCCATGGTAACGCCATCAGGCATGAAAGGCTGGACCGATTTCACTAATTATTTTTTCTTGTGTTTGTTATAGTCAGGAGGAGGTTGTTATGAAAGAAAAAAATTAAGAAATTCAAGATTGCGCATCCAATATGGCGGACGAGTTTTGTAATTATGATCTGATTCTATTCAAAATTAGTATCTAGGGGTTTTCGGGGTCGGAGATTGAGATTCTTTCGTCGAAATTGGAAAATTAAAGATGGCGGATCGGAAACGAGTTTTGAAATTATGTAATTATGTTCCGGTTCTATTCATAATTGGTATCGGGGGATTTTTTGGTAGATTATGATTTTTTTATCAAAATCTGAAAATTCTAGATGGCGGATCCAATATGGCGGACGACTTTTTACTTTTGTAATTATGATCTGATATTGTTCGAAATTGGTAAATGGGGGTTTTCGGGGTCGGATTGCTTCCTTCGTAAAATTTATAAAATCAAAGATGGCGGAAGCAATATGGCGCACGACCTCCGTATTTATGATCCGATTCTATTTAAAATTGGCATATACGGATTTTTGGGGTTAGAAATTATTATTCTTTCGTCAAAATTGAGAAAATCAAGATGGCGGATCAAATATGGCGGAAGAAGTTTGTAATTATTATCCGATTCTATTCAAAATTGGTAGGTATCTGGGGATTTTTGGGTTTAGAAATTATGATTCTTTGGTTAAAATTGAAAAATACAAGTAATTTGAACCTGGGAGTTTTTGCTGTGGGAGATTATGATTCCTCCATCATAATTAGAAAATTCAAGATGGCGGATTTAATATTATGTCAGGAGCTTTGTAATAGTGTATGATAAACTAATAAAACATGCTTTTATGATAGCCAAAGTAGAAAGACGAAGAAAATAAGTAGTAGTTTAGAAAACTAGAGATAGATTACCAAACTGAAAAGAAATAGAAAATAAAATAATAGAAATGTGTTTATAATGTTTCACTAAAAAAATATTTTGTATAACAAAACAATGTTCACTAGGTCAACTTGAATACAATATTCATCCATGATTTTTCAATTTCCTGAACAGTATTTACTATTCCAACCCCTATTTGAAAATTACCTTCTATGTCCATATCCCCATTACCTTGAACATTGGTGCTAATACAGCAGATCCAGCATCTCCATATTCAAAAGCTGTTATCAACTGTGGTAAAATTTTATGTTTGCAAACATTATCTGGAAAATTGTCAAGATGTGGAGTTAAATTTGAGAAAAATCGATTTTTCTCATTCTTATCTTTGATTTGAATTTCTTCCAAGAAAAGAAGTGTGTCAACTAGATCATTCTTAAAATAACCCCCCAATTTACGACATCTAGATATTATATCAGCTGGATTAGGCCTAGAATGTGGATTAGTGCTGACCAGTTCATAGTATAGTGGTCCTAGCTGTTTAGGAATCTGAAATAAAAATCATAATTCAAATTGAATTATAAATAAACATCTGAACAACTATACTTTTTCTATACTTTTTAAAGATGACTGATGATTAAGGGGTCCATTGAACACTTCCCATATAAGGCAACCTAAACCATACATGTCACTGGAACTATAAATTTCAAATTTTAATATGATATTAGAATTTTCATACATTTAAATACCATTTAGTGACTGACCGCTGTTTACTAGGATCAGTTTTTTCAGGTGGAGCATACACTTCTAGACTGGAAATGACTTTGAATAATTGAGTAGCATCCTGTGCCATAGAAACATATTCAACTCCTCCAAGTTTCCATTCTCCAGATGAATTAACATACACAGACCAAATGTTGACATTATTGTGACGGAGGTTGCCATCATTGTTCAAAAATGATAGAGCTCTCTGAAATTTTTATTTTCTATGTATTAGGTATACAAAGTATACCACCTCCATTAAAGAACCTACTGTGATTTGGAATATACCCCAAGCAATATACATTTCTTTCTGTGGACCTTCTAAACATAATTTTTCAATGTGTTCCTTGAGAGGGTCAACAAATTCAGTTGCCAAATATAGAACTTTCTCGGATTCCAAACTATCCAAATAAGTAAGGACACTGGGATGTCTGAGAGTTTTCAACCTTTTGACAGATGATTTAGCTACTTCCAACAGCACCTCTGCATTAGTTTTCAAGTCGAATACAAAAACAGAAACTTCTTCACCACTGCCCTATACAAACGATGATATGAATAAAAACAAAAACAAATAAGGATGAGTATACCTTCTTCTTGCCCTTATGAAGTGTCCAAATACTTTTATCTTCCAAACTTAGCACTAACTCACCAATTTCAAAGTTAAAATCTTTAGAGGGATCACGCGAGAAGAACGACCACATTATTAAATTTATTAATTTTTAAGAAATAGTGTACGAAATAAATTGAATTATTTAAAAAACCTAACCTAACTGACATCACTGACATCAGTGACATGTGTGAACTTGACAGCTTGTTGACAGCTAATGTCAACAAACAAAATTTTCGGAATGCTGACCATCCAGTGGCGTCGTGCGTCGTTGAAATTTTTTTCACAGGCCTGGTGATATAATGTCAGTTCAGGTAAGCTACGTTTGAGTTAAACCAAGGATTTAATCTTGATTATCGTCGTAGCCGTTTCTTCAACTCTTATTCATCTTTCCAAGGGCACGTTTAGCTAACCGTAATTAAAGCTTAGAATTAAGGCAACAGTGTAGAATGGCCATGAATGACTAGAAATTTTATGGATGGCATGGTTATGGTATGGTTATTATGGTTTTGACTAGTTTTGAGATTATGAGATTTCTTTCAATATAGGTATTTTAGATAATGGCAGCTCTATTTCGGTCATAAATGATGATCTTGCTTCCGAAGAATACGAAGATAATCAATAGGGGTATTCCCGGTCCTCGTATAATGCTTCGTATTTTCGTATCGTCGTATTCAGCAAACTAATCTGATTGGTCGATTAGGATACGCGGTCCTTTGTAACTTTACACTACCATTTTCTTGTGTAAGATTACAAAATTGCCGTTCTGACAAAACTGTTCTGACAGAATTTCGTCCCGTGTTCCGTGTTTCAAGTGGTGAGGTTAGGGTTATTGTTGTGGTTATTATTCAAAATTATGATTAACGAATTTTTATTGTTTGAGCTGCGTGGCCTGAGCATAAAGCACAATATAAATACCTCTGATTATAGCAACTAATCTCTGGTATTGAGAATTTTGATTTGGATAAAGGTATTTCAAAAATGGCAAGAATAAGAACAAAAACTATGTGTCAATCTTGGAGAAGGACTTGAATTATTGAAATTGTATTTTCAGTCATACAGTTCTAGCTCTGTTTCCAAGACAGATGATGAATTAGAATTTTTCAATTTCGCACTGGAAGCTTCGGAATAAGCTGACAGTTTACATTGTTATCCATGGGTCGTTCCCGTGTTTGAGGTTTCGTAAGAATACGTAGGCCATTTTCGTAAATATACGAACTCAGATACGAGGGCTCCGGAATACCACTAATTTTTCGTTGCGGTGTCCCCGTTGGATACGAGAGAGAGAGATTACTTATTCAGTTCGCTTGTTTTAATTTATCAATAATGTTGAATCGAGCTTCAACCATGTCCACGAAATGAGTTTTTTCAGCAATACTGAAATTGGTCTCTCTTTTTTCTCTCTCGTTTTTCTCAATCGGAATCTTTTTTATTAATTTGTTTTGTTCACTATAGTGAAAAAAACTCAACTTGAGAGGTTTTCAGAGCACACACAGAACGACAAATTTCTAGTCATTCATGAGAAAATCCACGGTCGTTCTGAATCCATAGACCTATGGTTATGGTTAATCTACCGCCTATGGCCGTGTTCCGTACACGTCTTGATTTGGCGGGAATTTTTGTCAGCTGATTGGATTTTCTCTCAACAGTAGCACAGTAGAGAGCTTACTGTGACAGTAGTCTCACCTCCTCAACAAGTAGTGAGATTATTGTATGGGATTAGGATATTATCAATTAGGAAGTTTTTTCCATGTGCAATTGAAATGAATCAAATTGAAAAACTTTCTAAAAGATTGCAAACTGCTCTGAAATTGAGCGGCTTCAGCATTAGACGGTAAGCTATATAAGATCATTATTTCTTAAAACTGAATATAAACTTGTCCAATCTTCTAGCGAATTTTGTTCTCTCCTGGTAGAAAAATTTTCAGAACAAAACATCGACTTGTGGGACAATACAGCTTTTGACACAGTTGTAAAGAATTTATGCAATAGTTTGGAAAAACAATGCCTATCAGAGAAGAGCATAGAAAGGGAACATATTGATAGGGCTATAGAAGTTTGCTTGCACTCTGGCTATGACAGACATGAATCTATTTTTTCAGTCATCAATGCCTTCGACTTTCCAAAACTTTCATTCAATCCGGATCGGAAATTATATTATGTGGATAAGAGTGGATCAATATTTTTATCAGATGCAGATTCAAAGGCCAAAGTATTCAGAGATCGTTACTTCACCATTCTTCAAAGAACAAAACGTAATTTTGAGCAAGCAGCCATGATCAGAGAGAAAGATCGACTCCAATTGCAAACCATAGATTATCTATTGACTCTTTCTTATGTCACATTGGAACACACTCTTATTTTGGGCTGTCTAACTCAGGTTTCTGAAGGAAAATGGCATCTGGAAGATCCTACTGGAATGGTTGAACTCGATTTAGTACATGCTAAGTAAGTTTGAAATATGTTCATTTTTAAAAACTTCATCACATCATTGAGTTTTTTTTGTAGGTATCACAGTGGATTTTTTGTTGAGAATAGTTTCATTTTAGTTAATGGTTATTATGAAGATCGTATTTTACATGTTTCTACAGTAGTTTTACCTCCAGGTGAAGAATACAAGAATTCAAGGTAAAAGCTAGGGTATAAGTAGATTATTATATAATTTTAATTCAATGTAGAAACCTACTCTACTTTTTCCAGGTTTTCATTTGGAAGTTTGAATTACTTTGGTGGACCATCAAGTGCACCTTTAAGAGATTCAGAAAAATTGAGAAATCATTTGATACAAAATAAAGATAACCCAATTTTATTCTTTTCTGATGTATGGTTAGATCATCCATTGGTGAGTATGGGTCTTAGTAATATATTTGTCAGTTATATTCCTGAATGCCTGAATCTCAATCCCTAATTGAATTTCTCTGAGAGATAAATAAAAATAAATAATTATAAATATCTTTATTTTCCTTTAGACTTTCTAAAAAAGTATAGGAATAGTCAGATTATTACAAAAATATAAATCTATAAACTAGATAAATGTCAGATTACATCTGGATTACATAATATAATAGAGGAACATTATAATCATTATATAAAAGAGAGAAACATTATATATACAATTTTTATTAGGTAGTTGGATGGTCAATAATTATGAAAATATTCCTTAAGTGAGTAGAAACACTTTTCTATCAGAAATGATTTCCAGCATTTTTTGAAAGAAGATACATTTTTCGCATTTTTCAAATATTCAGGTAAGTTATTGAATATTCTAGGACCTAGGAATTTGGTGTAATACTCAAAATATTTGTGCTGCTTAGATGAATATAGAACTTGTTCCTTGAGGGAGTATTCACATCATGTATATCACGGATTCCACTATAAGCTGTAGGTCCCGCTCTTCCTAACCCCGCACAAGTTTCGACTTCTGGGGAGTTGGTTCCCAACTTTGAAGTAGCGATATACAAATTTTACAAATTTCTTACTGTTGTGATCAAACAGTTGCTTGTTAACAATAAATACCTAGACACATAATTCAAGGAGGCAGAGATCTGGTGGTTACCTTTTATCAGAATATCAACTTCAAATTCATTTCCAGAGACTTGGTTTCTTTAGAGTCACTGGATGGTATTAGTTATCTAACTAGTTTTCTTGAAAGTGATGATCACTCAAACTATTAATTTTAATATTTCATTTCATGATTCAAACATGTATCAGCAAATTTATGGTGCCAAGATTGAAAAACCATATATGGTGTTCATTTGCATTTTCTTTGCACAATTCGCACATACCTACCATTAAACTAGCTTTTTAATGATATACTTTAGTCCGTTTTGGATTTCCTATTGTTCAGGAGTTTATAGGTATATTATACTGGGTGTTTTCGAAATAAGAGCAAGTTATGACAACAAAAATCCTCGCAAAAATCACAATAAAAAAATGTGAGCTTCCATCTTACCACATATCTCCTATCACATTACATTGGTAAGGATATAACATATCTGCTACCTATATTACTAAACGTCCGGCAACATTGCAAAAGTAATTTTGATACTCCAGCAGCTGTGCTTTCAAATTTTATTGTCAAATTTACCATTCAATTTACTTTCCTATCATCTGGTATTGCAAGAATAGTCTCAGATATTCAGGGTGAGTCAGTTTTCGTAGCAAAACTTTAACAGCATAAAGATGAATTTTTTTCAGGATGAAAATCTACATTATAAACAATATATGCTTCGTTTCCGATATACAGGGTTTCTGAGTTGCACGACCCCAAAAGTGTATCATCCTGTAGGTATACATGAACGATGGATAGCCTCAAATTTGCGTTTCGAAAGTGTTTCAGAAAACTTGAAAAACACAAGAAAAATCTCAAATTTTGAGACCCTGTATATCGGAAACGTATTTTTACGACCTTGTAGCATTTATCTTAAAACCCATAATTTTTGGAAAAAACAAAAGGGAGCAAAAAGTATCCAAATTGAAGGAAAAATCTAAATTGATGTTTCATAAAAAACAGAGGCGGTACGCGAAGAAGTTCGAGAGGCTTAACTGGGGTATCGTACGATCGACCCGTAAAAGTGTATCAACCTGTAGGTTTTCAAGATCACTCGTTAGCACCAAATATTGCGTTTCCAAAGTGTGATAGGTTTACCAAATTTCAATTCATCATTTTGGAAATTGTGGGAGAAAATTGGAAAAATGAAAAAAAAACTTGAACTTCCAAATCCTGTATATCGGAAACGATGATTTCACTCATATATGTTCATATAGAATTTTCATCTTGAAAAAATGTCTCTGCTGTTGATTTCTTACTACAAAACACTGACTCACCCTGTATATCATGAATTTATGAAAATGAAAAAAAATTCAACATTGAGCATTCGCATCTGAAACAAAATCTGGTATTTCCTTCTATGACTTTTAAATAATATATACCTACATGGTAGTCAATAAGATCATTGCCATAAGGTACCCATACCGATAACTTTATGTTAGTTCTTTCCCATTTTTTTATGTACTTATCACTTATCACCTCGCTTATCACCTCCGTCAGCCTCGGTATGCTGTCTTTGAGTTCTGTGGCTGTGGTACCAATCACAGGTATCAATGGTATCACCCCGTCGTAATCCCCTTCTGATCACATATGGGACATGGGCTGGCATTATGACGTCACGATAGTGTGACCTTGAATAGTGATGAAGCAACGGGATTAGTCCATGCGTCCGTTGTAGTCTGGTTCTGACAGTGTCACCAATACAACCAATAATACGTGTGCAGTGGCCACCTGGCTACTATGGAACGATATATTTTTTCAAAGTGTCAAATCCACCTTTTTCAAAGTTTGCTGACCAAATGATTGACCGAAAATGGCAGAGCCAGAGTGATAACACTGATTAACTTGTTAATGGTAATCTATGTATGTGATAATCAGTGTTTGACAGGTATGCCTGAATAATTCGGTTTTTATATGGAACGCAGGTGTGTTGTCACTTGTCAAAAACAAAATGTCACACATGAGAGGTTAAACATATATTCATTATTGACTTATTTAAATGGACATCCATATTTTTCTCCATTCCATGATTTCCAAACAATACAATACAACGACAAACTTCAACTCCAATTATTGTCAGTTGTCAAACTTACCGACCACGATGTTTACCGACGATTTTTATTAGATTAGACTGGTTCCTCTTGAATCGTGTTCCGATAAGGTGACCAATATATACGGTACGACAAAGGTGGATATTTCATCATGGGTACGACAAACCACAACCAACTTTGGAAACACATACCCTACTTCTCATAAGTCACTGAATCGCATAAACAAAACGCAACTACTATTCTATCCCCATTCCACCTTGAGTGACCTTGATCACATGATCACATGCATATAACATTGTTTACATGTTTGATTCACAATCATAACAAATTATAATTAACAATATTGCTCAGAAGAAATAAGAATATGGAAGTTAAAAAGAATAAAAAGCTGTCTATCAAAGATTTTGCTAAAGATAATTCTCCTGGGATGCGATTAAAATCTATTAGAATGCCCCGCGACCTAAGGTTGGGAGGCACTAAACATCACAAAAAGGTATACAAGCCGAATATTAATGTTATTAGACACAAGAACAAAGATAAAGATGTAACAAATTTGAAAATTATCAAGGATGCTGGAAAACCAGCTGTTATTCTTAAAGATAAGCTGAAAGAACGATTCATACAATCAACAGGAGTCTTTTCAGAGGGAATCAATTTTGATATGTTGAAAGTACAAAGAGCAGTAAAATCAACTACCATAGAACGAGATAAAAAAGATATTTCAGTATCATTAATCAACAAACATTTAATTAAAGATAGTACAGCAAGCCTAGAAAATGATACCATGAAAGAATTATTGGGATGTCATGATTCCTGTTCCAGCAGCAGTGATACAGATGATAAGGTTTTTTTTGAGCCTGTTACATGGAGTATGATTGGTGAATCTTTGAAGGATGAATTAATCGATGACAAGTTGAAAAGTACTTCAAATAAGATATTTGATTATTTTGATTCTGAAGCTAAATTCTCTTTGTGGCAACTTCCTTCATCATTTGCATCAAAAATAAATGTCAGTGACTCCAAAATCCGAAAAACTGTTGATATCAAGTTGAGTGATATGCTTGAAGGTGAGATAGGTAGAATCCGTGTGAGAAGATCTGGGAGAATTGAAGCTTTTATGGGTGACAAAAAATATGATCTTGAATCATCACTGTTGGATTCTTGTTCTGAAGATATTGTTGCAATAAACATTGGTCCAGAAAATTCAACCATGTCTGTTTTGGGTGAAATAGATTGTAAATTTATTCTCAGTCCAGACTGGTCTTATCTTCTGTGTTGAAGAGATATTAGTGTTTGTTATGAACTAGTGAAGTTTTGAGTAAGCAGTACAAATAGATTTTAGGTTGTGGAACTATTGAAAAAAGGATCCAATCCTTTCTGTATTTGAATTATCATACAAGTTGTTTTTTTTAATCCTTGTGAGTAGAAATGAAGTATTTATTTTATGAAAGTAGTCTAAAGTTGAGAATCACATAAGTAATTATTTATATTTATTTTTATATACTGAATAAAACATTAATAATCCATATGTTATTTCAAGTTTTCTTTCAGGTCAATTGTTATCAAATCACATCTATTTAACCCTATTGACTCAATGAGTTTACAACTTGTGGCCTGTGGGCATATCAGAATAGCTGCCACAGTTTTAATAGTACCTAGATTTCTTCACACATTCTTTCTTTTTGATCTTGAGCAGCTCAAATTTTTTAAAGAGCTAGGTATTTCCCGAGGTATTTTCCTTAGATTGTTGGGAGGTATTTTCATAATAATTCAAACTTTATTCATGAAGTTCCCCAGGATTTTGGTGAAGATAGTACAATGTTCCAGAAGCAAAATCAATTTTAGGTGTTTGAAAAACTAGAAATTCTTTTTGATGGATTTCAAGATTTACCACCTGTGGCCTTTGTATTCATGGGTAATTTTATGTCGAATTCCCATGGTAGTGAGATGATGGATGATCTGAAGAGCCTTTTCAAACGATTGGGAGAGTTGATAATGAAGTTTCCAAATCTATCTAATAATAGTCAGTTTGTATTTGTTCCTGGACTGTCTGATCCCTGCACCCCCCATATGGTACCAAGGTAATTCCACTTCTTTTTATTGGGGTTCTGACTCAAAACCATTGTTTTTTATTGATTATTTTTATTGCCACATCTATATTTATAGGTTCGGGTTACCAGACTATGTGACTAGTGATATGAAAAAGGTGTTTCCAAAAGCTATATTCCCAACTAACCCTTGCAAAATACAGTATTGTACCAGAGAAATAGTTTTATTCAGAGCAGATCTTACTCCAAAATTTTTGCAGGGGACATTGTTCAAACCTTCCAAGGAAGATATCGGAGATTGTGTGAGTTCCCATTGAATTTCATTTACAAAGAGATATAAAACTGAATATTTTCTTCATATGAATTTAAATCAATCATAATGTTCAATTGAGTTACAAGCTGCCTTGTATAATTTCGATAACTGCCAATCAGAAATTCAGAATTATTTCCCTAGTAACCAATTCATTTTGTTACATACAAACAAAGCGCGCCCTAAAATATTGACGTTCGTTCAGAACTACTAACTAATTTCAAATCGTTTCGTCGGATTATTTCAACTGTCAAACTAACACTCTTTGTAATTATGCAACAAGTTATTGATGTATATACCGAAAATTTTGAAGTATTCATAGTATTACTACTTACTTAGGCGAGTGGACAAATTTTTTTTTAATTTCTTAAATAGAATCATCACTTTCAATTTCATATTTTTAAAGAATTTTTGGTCGATTTTAGGTGCTAAAATCATCAATAATGCCATGGTAATTTTGAAACGGACAGAAATTTACCGCCAGTGAAAACTGACGCCACGATTTTTTAAGTAGGGGCAGACTATATAGCACAGTTGCCATGTGCTGAAATACGATTGGGAACTTCAGAAATATTAGTAGTCTTGTCAGTTCTCAGCATTCAGCACAATGGGGCCAAGTCTCCAACCTTCACATGATATTTTGTTATGCAGAATAAAAAATATTTGGACATGCTGGTTGCTCGAAAAAGACTCTATAATTGGTGGTTTGACAACCTTGCTTCATGAGTAGAAATGGAAGATTGTCTGACCAATAATGAAACAGCATAAAAACTGACGTCACCATTTATTCGACGTATCGCCAAATGGCGGCCATGAAGGTTCGTTTGAAATGAGCTCTGAGAATCAACAATTTCGAACAATTCGTAGACTCATTATTTACCTAAAAAACGTGAGAATGGTTGCAAAATTGATTTAGGTTCCTAGGGAGACAGTGGAGTAATTGAATGCCAATAATTCATTATCATTCCACTCGCCCAACTTCAAAATCTTCAAGGTTATAAATCGATAACTTATTGCATAATTACGAAGAGTGTCAGTTTAGTATGTTAGACTGACCCGAATATTTCGAAATCGGTACTACTGATTTTCTGCTGCGATCATTAGGAGAGAGTAGAAGAGATGTGTTTATGTAGATATTACTGATGTGATATCAATTTCAAAATGATTGTTTTCAGCTTAAAAAGACCATCATCAGTCAAGGACATTTGAGTCCATTATCATTGAATTCTCTGACTGTTCATTGGAATTTTGATCATTGTTTGAGGTTGTATCCTCTTCCCGATTTGGTAGTTATCGGAGATAAATTTGAGGCATATGGAGGAGAGTATAAAGACTGCCATGTTATTAACCCAGTAAGTATGTATTGAGGTATTATTAGCTCAAACTTCAGGTGGAGTAAAACAATCCTATGTACACTTCTCCAAGTAACTAACCCACCACCACGCCAAAAGTTTAAGGTAAATTTTCGTAAGAACTACTTTTCTTTTAGGCTGCCGACCGGTTGTTAGACTATACTCTTCGTTTAGGATGCCGACCGTAGACTAAAATTACTAAAATTATCAATTTAAAGGAAAAAAAAATCATGATTAAAACAAACTTATACAAGAATGAGACATACTTACACAACAACACTGACTTATTTGTGGAACAAAAACCTGATGAAAAAATCTTGTGAACTAACAATGGAGGAAGGCATCCCAAAAAAAAGTATAGACTGTCGACCAGTCGGTATACTATAATTTCTTTTTGGGTTATCGACCGATTTTATGCAGAAATAATGTATTCCAATGAATGGTCGGCAGTCTAGAGAAAAAGTATAGTTTGCCGACTGGTCGCGGTCGAATAACATGCTATATCTCCATCTGAACATTGGTGTGCAAAATAGTATGTCTTTTCTTCATGAAATTTGTTATCCCCTGTAGAGTGTAGTGGTTACACTGCCAAGTTAGAATTGAATTGATACTTTGGCCTTATCTTTCTTCAACATTACATTTTTGAATTTACTTCATTATCATTCCTGTTACTCTAGAAACACCATTTTATAGCGTAACATGATTTTATGGAAAATTAATATCAAAATTTATCAACGAAAAAACCGAACATAATACGAAGCAAGTATTTCTAGTTCGGGCACGAATAAATTCTTGGCAAAGACTTGAAATAAGAGACCTTATGTCATTTTGGTCCAGGTCTTTCCAAATTTGAATCAGTCTCTGTCGAACGTCTTCCAAAGTATTCAAGTTACGTTCCTCTTGTAATCTTCTCCCAAGAATGTTTTTCCTTCCTCTCGAGACCCCGAGGTTCTCGTTAATAATTTTAAGTTTTTCTACGAGCGAATGCGCATGCGTCCATGATGTATCACGTGGTGACCAATGACATAAAATCCACGAAAATTTTCCGTTTCAAGTTGCGACCATAATTCTTTTACAGAATATATTGTGCAAGAATTGGCATACAGTCTTTACAAAGAATAATATTACTTCCGATTTTGATATAAAATGTTCCTTCAGAATCGACGATTTAATGTTATTCTATTGGAAATGTTCTTTTATATCGTGCTTGTTGGTTCAAAATATCCTTTATTCAGTGTGTTTAGATATATGATTCAGTTCAACGGCATTTGTGATAGGCAAATTAATTCTTCACTTTTTCACTACTTGATTTAAGTGATGTTTCAAAAAAGTGTCACTTGGATTTGTCGAAATTAGAAAAAAAAATTCAAGTTGATGATACCACTGATGAGGATATTTTAAAACCACCCGAAAAACCTATCTATCATATAATTATCATTCAGATTATTCGACCTGGGATCCATAATCTTAAAATTTAGTACTTATTCACCAACAGAAAAAATAATTTGATGAATTGCATCTATAGGAATTTAATTGGTCAAAATCTAGAGAAATGATTAGGATATTTGTAGACTCCAAAATTTCCTTTATGCTTATATTATGTTTCTGGATGTTTCAGGGATCATTCTGTGAAAATGGTTTTGAGTTTAAAGCATACATACCTTCTGCCAATGCTATAGGTGACTGCGATCTAGATATCAACTCATAGTGAACTTGTTTTATATGCCGCAAAGTATTGTGATATGTATTTTCATATAAAAGTAAGTAATCGATTTCAGTAATTTCTTAATCTACCTATCCATGTTGAGGCATTATACTAGATAATAATTGACCGCCGTTCTGATTGGTCTAAAAATGCGTCAGTACTAAAAAATCATAGCTGTTTGCATTCTTGCCAAACTTGCAGCTTGCTTGCTTCTCACTACATGGAGTCAAAACCAAAAATGCTATTTCAAAAAATCGAAAGTTCATTATGAGAAATTTCTCTTGTCATATGATAACGGCAGATTATGATGTTTGGCATCATTGCAACAGTTACGAAATTCAAAGTTCACGTATAGACTATATGGGCGGGTTTTTCAATCCATCGAAAAAAGTGCGCACTGATAGATGCACTTTTTTGTCGTGACGTCACAAATTGTTCTTGCTGGAACGATGGAACAATGGAATATGCAGAATCAGAAGAGCCTGATACGATTTTATATAGATTTTATTGATTAGCAATAACTAAATCTTCTAAAATCTCTCAAGAATCTCAAAAATCCTCAATATTTTTTGTTTTCTCTCAAATCGAAACGAAGAACAATACTTACAATGTGTCAATTGTCATGTCAGGCTCCTCACAACCGCTTGATTCTCGCAAAGCGATTTGATATGTGCATTTTATTACAACAGTTTGATGCATCAACATTCAAGCGGAATTTCACAACAGTTTCATGGTTTCTTCGATTCATGCGCATAACAAAATGTTGAAATGAAAAACGCACCCTATAGACTGAGAGCAGACTTTTACAGTATGTTAGCAAACTCTATATTGTTGCTAGGTATACTCATGTTGGAATTATCATGGGTATATGCTATTTCACCTGCCGTAGGTGAAATGGGGATTCACTATCTTTGTCGACGGTTCCTTTGGGCGTGCCCAGGAGTCAAAAAACGTTGAAAATTACTTCAAAAACGTGATCGCAGCAAGTCTGCCGATTTAATATCTCAAAGTATATAGATTTTTTTTATTAAAAAATTCAATGGCACACTTATTCCGGTTCTAAATATGCTTCATAGATTTTCAAAACTTCAAATGTGAACAATCAGAATTTTTCTTATTTTTTACAGTTTAACACGTTGACGGACACCGGCTGACATGCCTATCGTTGACTGTGCCCTTGGCTGACCTATGCCGTCCTTGTATTATTTGCATTTGTAATGGACCAACAGGGTCGTCCGTCGATTTTACACGTAGATTGGTGTGAAGTGTCCTTGTAAACAAAAAAGGCATCTATTCAGTGTCCCTCCTGACAGATTGTGAAGGTCACATAAAATTCCTACTCAATCGGAACGAAACATATTTTTTTCATTCAAAAAAGGTTCAAAATGTATAGTGTATGTTCAATAAACGATCATTTTTACAGGATAACATGAATTGCGAGATTGTTCTACTACATTAGTACGACAGAGAAAACATATATCGTCTGCACTCTGCCCGCATGTTGGAATAGACCTATGTGTCTGCTTCTACAAATATATATGAATAATAATAATGTAAATAACATATATTTGAATTTCAGCTATGTTGAAATAATATGTATAATGATAATGTACTACTACTGGTACTGGTGGGGGACGTTTCCACGTCAGCAACTAGTCCCTAATGGGACCTTTTTGCAAACCCCAAGTGTTTTCAATGACTGATGTGGTTCGCTCAAGAGAGCTGGCTAACATCCTTTTCAGGCACCGCCCATCAGCTCTCTTTCAGAGTTTTTCGGCTGTGTTTTGTAGGCTAGTAATGTACTCACTACCATATGCGCAGTGGCAGGCCTGCTAGCTATCCTCGTTAACCCCCGTTAGAGACTGAGGTCTACTAAGCAGCTGGTCCGCTCTCACGCTCAGCTGGTAGTTTTCCACACCCACCTACATACACCGTCCTACTTCTTCTCTGATGCTCACAACTACATCATCATCTCTTTCTGCGTGTTCTGTGTAGGCTTTGTTACTAACTCCATGCGCCACTTTAGGAGCAGCACTGTTAATTGGAACGCAACAGCGAATCGTGAAGGACTATCCCCAGCCGATGCTCCGAAACTTTACAATATTTAATTCGTAAATGGAATATTGAAAAAAGTTCCTTGCTCGTTCTGGGAATCGAACCCACGACCTTGCGGTCGTGAAAAATTATAATGTAAATAACATATTTGAATTTCAGCTGTGTTGAAATAACGCATTTTTTTATAAAATTTTCCAAGTTTTGAAATTCTATAAAATATACTGGAACCGGCATATAAGTGTCTGTCGACGGAGATAGAATCCCCATTTCACTTACGGCAGGCGAAATAGTATACCTAGCTTCAATATGGAGTTTGCTAACATTGGTTTGTCTGCCGATCGGATCGTTGGCTTTTAGAATTGGTAGCACTGTCACAAAATACACTTACTCGTTGATACTTTCCATTCACGTGACGTCAAACGCATCAAAATATGGTTTTTCTGTTGTTTTGAACAATTTTTCCATGTCTTGATTTTGTTATTTTTAATGAGTGTGCAGTTTGTGAGTAGTCCCAAAAATGTATTAGAGTGAATCGAGAAGAACAGTTGGCAACCCTGTTGAAGAACGAATAATATATGAAAATATGTCCTATCAATGGATCATGAATACTTAAATTAGGTTATGAATTGAAAATGAACCAATATATTTTAATAAGTATATATTTATTATTAGTCTTATGATTAACTCATAGAAATTTCAAACAAGTCAATACTCCAATAACTAGAATAATAGTTTACATTTCTTCAAGTTATGTACACATCATATTAAAAAATATTCTGTTTTCATACAATCTAGCACATCTAAACGTCATGAAATTGTTTCAATGAAGATGTACAGAATTATGGTGGAACTAATTCTCTAAAATACAGGGTGTTTGCAAAACTGGAACAATATTAATGAAATGAGGTGTTCTATGAGACATAAAGACAATAATTTTAATTATTTTTTGTATTAAAAAGAAAATCCGTTCTCCTAATATATCTTTCAAATATAATTGAACTTTCAGCAACGTAGCCAAAAGTACTTGATACTTCCGGTGCTTCTGACCAAGATGAAAGCAAACGCTAGGGTTTGGTTATTAATCTCTGATCAATCATTTACTTTATTTAGTTCGTTTTTCATAACACATTTCATTTATAGCTCCGATTTCGGAAACACCTTATATATAGGCATTTCAGTTTCTTTTTCACTCAAAACAGCCTATATACTAAATTTATAGAACAGCCTTGATAATGATTTGAAATCAATTGACTGACTGCAGTTAAGACAGCAATAATAAATTATTCAGTTGACAGCACTATGCTGTCAATAGTTTTGGATGAAGAAAAAACACTTTATTCACCATATTAGATGCATCTTGGTTTCAACTAATGACAATCAATACAAGGTTGAAAACAAAAATAAGCACAGTGGGTGTAGGTTATTACTAAGAATGAATAATTTCAAATATCACATGTTTCTTATCTTAACAGTTAAGAGTTCCTCAAAATATTCAGAAATATTTACAGGGGACGTATCAAAATCAGAAGTTTTGTTCAAATTATTTGCACTTTTTTGTTCAAATCCATTCATTCTCACAGCTGTTAATACATGTCATTTTGATTGTTGTTGTAGACCATTTCCTGAAATAAAAAATATGCATGGAATGTGAAATGATTGTAGCTTTTTACAGCTCTTAAAAATACTAGGGGAGTGCTATAGTTATTTGTATGAGTAATAGCCAATGTGCGCTAGTGAAATACTTTTTCAACTATACTACTACTACTACTACTATTATTAGTTCAATTTTTCAATTCGTTTTTTATTTTCAAAACCTGATTGAAGTAGACAGTTTTTATTTAGGCTTAAATTTCTGCAATGGCAACTGTTGAACATTCAGTACATTACATTTCTGTTCGTTTACTGAAGTTCATAGACATTAGTTCTACAAAGTTGCAAATTGCTAATTAAATAGAACTACCAAGCTAAGCACAATCAAGTATAGTGACGATTCTAATGCAATTCTCTATTCAACTATGTATCACAATTTGATATTCGTTCATTAATTGGCTGTTAAATTGCATTTCATTGAAATACATGAAGTTGGCTGTGGCCGGAATGCAATGACATTTCGATGCTTGATAGGCTTAAAAATCCATAGATCATTACTTAGACGATATTATCAGAATATTTTCCATACCCTAATCGGTCCCAGAAGATAGCCAATAATTTCATTGAGTTTTAAAAAAATCATCCGAAAATAACTCACGATATTGAGAAAACTAAGATAGAAACGCAGTTTTTTCTATTTGGCTACTTGTGAAGAAACTATTTGTCTTTCATTTTTGCCATGTAGCCATAATATGATCATCCATTTGGATACATGAAACTGAAATTGTTGTAATTGATGTATCGTTCTAATATCGTGAGTTATTTTCGGATGATTTTTTTAAACTCAATGAAATTATTGGCAATCTTCTGGGACCGATTAGATTAGGGTATGGAAAATATTCTGATAATATCGTCTAATCTAAGTGATGATCTTTGGATTTCTAAGCCTATCAAGCATCGAAATGTCATTGTATTCGGCCAACTTCATGTATTTCAATAAAATGCAATTTAACAGCCAATTAATGAACGAATATCAAATTGTTATACATAGTTGAATAGAAAATTTCAAGGCGAATAAGATAGACTACAGAAATATGAGGTGCCATTTATGAAAAAAAAGTTGGGTCTTCTTCCAATCAAACAGGTGGTTGAAAAACATTGTCATTGATTTCAAAGGGAGCGCCATCATCTTGGCTCTGGAATACCTTAAAATAATTGTTTGAGATTTTTTTCCATCAATTCATCATATAAAAGATTATTGAAAACGCCAAAATGTACTAGCGAATTCAAACGATCCGACATGGCCATGGTTTATAGCCATCTGATTTTCCAATAGTATTGCTCATTTATTTAAAGAGCTGTCATTGCTTGACATTTCATGGGAGATGAGATTTCCTGAAATATTAACACAATGAAACCATTGTGATATCAGATACGGAAATAAAATCGATGACATAAAAAGTACCTCTTTGATTTGTCAAACACTGTAAAACAAGAGCAATTTTCTGTTATAACCGCAGAAAAAAAACTTACTTTCTCTCTCATATCGCCTCAACGCTTCTTCCCTTTCAGTCGCGTCAAAATACCATAACGTAATGGCGTAACGGGTATTGAAGGCAGGTTGAACTTCATGGGGGTTTCTTCTGTCCGACCAGAAGAATAGCAGTCGGTCAAAAAGGGGCTCAATGTCTGCTACCTGAAAAACAATTGATGCTTTTGTTTTCCTTCAAACTGATATTGCATTTTCATTTTTCTTATTATTGAAAAATGTTGTGCTATTTGTTGGCAGCAGCTACTGTCAAATTAACTTTCATTAATTGAATGTTTCTTGTCGATATCAATTAAGATTAGTTTGAAAAACAAAGAATTCAAGAAATTGATCTTGCCGAGGATCTTGCTCTTGTAATAATTTCAACAGTAGCGCCGATTTTATTCACATTTGACACCTTTGTAGCCAACCTCACAATAGGTCGCGTGCACGATGACTGACCCTGGAGGCAAAATATTGAAACACAACCTCATTCTTCTGTGAATTATTGAAACACAACCTCACTTTTTTACTTGGTTACAAAGGATTGAAATAGTTTTTCACAATATTTTGGCATAAGAATCGTGTTTTTTGCGCTATTCATTAATTCGAGCATGCCTTCGCATTGTGCTGTTGTACAATGCACAAAAAATGCAGCAGGAGACTAAAGAATATGATTTTTCAGGTAAATAGTAATCTCACATAGTTATCATTATGAAATGTTGTCATTCCGTATTAAAATTCCTTCTGCCTTCTGTCACTTCTGCAATACAAGCTAATACTGCTAATAGATTGAAAATGTCTACAACACACATGATCGTCAGCATGTCAGACCAGTCCTCCCGATTGATTGCATGAATCCAATTTTCTTGCATTATTCTAGAAATTTCAGATGTATTTCTATTAGCTCCTATCGCAGGAGGAATTCCGATGAGAAATCAGAGAAATTACCAAATTTCAAAAATGAAAACTATATGTGAGTGACTATAGTAGGTACTTACTTTTGAATCATATTGTACCAACCGGATTACTTCGTCTTCCGCTGCAGTTTTTGTGCATTTCACAACAGCATAATGTGATGGCATGAGCGAATTGATGAATAGCGGAAAAATACGATTCATATGCCAAAATAATTGTGAAAAACTATTTCGATCACTTGTAAACAAAAAAGAAAGGTGACGTTGTGTTTCAATGTTTTGCCTCCAGCGTCGGTCATCTGACAGTTCTTGCACGCAACCCATACAAAATGTCTAACCCATGAAAATATTGTCAATTTCCATGAAATTAAGTTGTGTTTACTGGTTGTGAAGACAAACTGAATGGTGAGGGAATTCAAACATCATTTTGAAGAATAAATACAAATATCTAACTGATAACTACATGACAGAATAATAGAAAAATGCAGCTATGAATATAAAATCAAAGACTGATTTATACAAATTTTCATTCACAAATATCAATATATTCCGGATCTTCATATATCTCGTCGAATATCAACGAACATTGCATTTCCCATGTAGATCATACCATTGAGAGATTGCAAATCAAAATGTTCATAGGTATTAAAAGTGTCATAGGAGGCATCGGCAATACCACTAATTATTTCTAGGGTTATGTACTGGAATGCGTCAACAAAACTTACTTTATCTTCTCTCCAGCCTTCAGGAAATATTCTCAGTAAACCCCCACTCCTTTGTACATCCCAATTGAGATTGAGGTAGTATATTCCTGTTATGCATCTGCCGTCCCTATTTGGATTGTCAACGTGTTTGACATAGTGAGACCCTGATCCTGGGTAACATGCAACCATTGCCTGAAAAGTAAAATGAAGGATTTTGAATAAAACCTGAATAATATCGTATATCAATTCAATTTCAGAAAGCGTCGAAATTGTATTTTAGAATTGTCCCTTGTATTTCGGAAAGCATCAATTGTATTTCAGAATAGTCCCCTGTATTTCGGAGTCATTAGGAACCTAAATTAATATTCACTTCTCACGTTTCTTTTATGTAAATATTATTTACACAAATTTATTATAAGCAGTAAACCACAAATCATAAGGGAACATTTTGAGACAATTGAATTTTTATCGCTAATTAGGAATATTACCAAAACTTGATTGCTAATTTATAAATTATTGAATAACTAATATTCCTGAAGTTTCCAATCGTATTTTAACACAATTGTATTTCATAATGTGTCATTTGAATTTCAATTGATATTTTCTGAAATACAATTGACACTAACTTTCTGAAATTGAATTGACTATTCTGAAATACAAACGGAAAAGGTCGAGGGGTAAATCACGGCGAAAAAAATTGTACACCAAACTTCCCATGGGTCAAAACTTCCCAAACATCCTCGAACTTCCTCAAACTTCCTCGAACTTCCTCAAACTTCCTCGAACTTCCTCAAACTTCCCCGAACTTCCTCAAACTTCCCCGAACTTCCTCAAACTTCCCAAACTTCCTCGAACTTCCCAAACTTCCTCGAACTTCCTCAAACTTCCCCGAACTTCCCAAACTTCCTCGAACTTCTTAAACTTCCCGAAACGTTTCATCAAACGTCACAAACCAAGTACTTATAAGCAATTTAGTATTGATAGAATCAAAATTTGTTCCTTTTCTTATTGTAGGTAGATATATAGGGTGGTTCGGTTTGTTATACAAAAATTCAACAGTGTGGTCACATTCATTATACATAATCTTCATTTCATCTTATAGAGCTTAAAAAGTTTAGTATCTTGGGTAAGTTTGTGGATTTATCTCAAACCGTTTCGAACTTTTCATCAAAAAAGAATATTCAGACTCGTGTTTTAAACACCCTATATCTCGAAAACGAAGCGTTTGAAAGTATATGTTTATATGATTGAATATTTTGTATTACAAACCAGATCACATTGTATAGGTAGGTATTACCTACGTATATGTATAGGTGGGTACCTAAACTTGAAAGTACTTTACTGGAAGGAATTTGAAACTGAATGTCATGAATGCACTGTATTTCAATACAAAATGGAATTCCACTTTATTACAATTTTGATTAATCCACCGACAGAAATCAACTATCAAACTAATTACATAATATGCAATGCAGGTTTTCTGTACCACGAATTTTTAGGTAGGTAGGTACTATTGACTTATCCGAGGACTTATCTAACAGCATCTGTTGAAAGTTCCGAAATAATAATGAACTCTTTGAAATAATGTGAAATATTATTTCTATACAGGGTGTTTCAGAGTTGTGTCGACAAAAGCCTTGACAGAAGCCTCTAGCAATAATAAAAAACCCATAATTCTTTTAACTTGGACACCCTGTATCTCGGAAACGAAGCATTTTCGGACCCATTTTCATATGAACTTGATTTCATAATTTGTTGAGAGGAATCTCCCCTAGGCTTTTGTCACCACAGCTCTGTATATCCTGAGATATTAAATTTCTTGGATTATATAGCCAAAGATTTTTCCCGACCGGCTCCGCCCAAACGTTCACAGACATCCTACAGCTTGCTTGGTCTTTCGGAAACTTCCCAAACATCCTCGAACCTCCAAAACTACCTGAACTTCACGAAATGTTTCAGACTCCGCCGAACTTCCCAAACTTCCTCGAACTTCCCCAAACTTCCTCGAACTTCCCAAACTTCCCAAAACTTCCTCGAACTTCCCCAAACTTCCTCGAACTTCCCAAACTTCCTCGAACTTCCCCAAACTTCCTCGAACTTCCCCAAACTTCCTTGAACTTCCCAAAACTTCCCAAACTTCCTTGAACTTCCCCAAACTTCCTCGAACTTCCCAAACTTCCTCGAACTTCCCAAACTTCCTCGAACTACCCAAACTTCCTCGAACTTCCCAAACTTCCTCGAACTACCTAAACTTCCCGAAACTTTTCAAACTTCACAAACCAGGTGAGCAATTTAGTATTGATTGATTCAACTTTTTTTCCTTTCCCTATGGTAGGTAGGTATAGGTAGGTTCAGTTAGATGCAAAGAAAATATCGCGGTTGGATGGTGTTAGCGCTCTTATTGCAGAGGTGACTAGATAGGTGCCATCACCGCCCTAGTGCGACATGTTCATTGCATCTGACTGTACGAATATGTATAGGCAGGTATAGGTGAGTTGAATATCTGCATTGTAATTCAATACAAAATGAAATTAGACTTACAACTTTGAATAATCCACCAACAGAAATCAACCTTCTATCTAATTACTGATCTAATTACCTATGCAATGCAATTTTTCAGTATTCAGTACCATGAATTTTCAGGTAGGTAGGTATTATTGAGTTATCTAACAGCATTTCTATTATTTGCTGAAATGAAAAAATCGAGAAATGAATATCCGACTAATCATTGCTTTCTGTACTCAAAACTACCTAAACATCACGATATGATTCAAACTCTACCAAACTACCTCGAATATCCCAAATTTCCTCGAAATTCCCCAAATTTCTCCGAACATCCCAAACTTCCTCGAACTTCCTCAAACTTCCTCGAACTTCCCAAACTTCCTCGAACTTCCCCAAACTTCCTCGAACTTCCTCAAACTTCCTCGAACTTCCCAAACTTCCTCGAACTTCCCCAAACTTCCTCGAACTTCCCAAACTTCCTCGAACTTCCTCGAACTTCCGCGAACTTCCCCAAACTTCCTCGAACTTCCTTGTGTCTGTACACTAAACTTCCCACGTGATTTACCCCTCAGAAAAGGTGTAGTTCAACTAGGCTGTCTAGAATAATGAGAATAAAATGTCTACTTAGGGTTTCAGATCCAAAAATGAAATTGAACAGTGGATACCAATCTTGTAAAGTACTATTCTATGCAATCAAATCAATAAAGTTTATGGAAAGGCATTCAGTCTATGTAGGAATTGACTAAGGATACTTTGAGAGATTAATCCATTTTCAAGAAATTACTGAATTAACTTCAGATAATTTTATGGCTACTACATAGTTCGGACACTGGTCAGTTATAACATTGATTTTAGTAATATTTTGGTGGTTTATAATTGACATTTTTTCATAGAATGTATCCATTGTCATTATTCAATTCATCAAGTGTTTTTCTCACACATTCCTTAGTTCATATCATGACAGATTAGATATCGATATATTTTATACATTCAGAGGGATAACCATGATGAACATCTTGATTCAATCGGAGATATAATTAGACAAAAAATAAGTAGCATCAGAATATAGTCATCAGATACGTAATATACGTGAGGTACAGACAAAAAACAACAATAATCGTTTCATCTCATTCTAAAACGCTTGAGAATAAGACTGACTTGAAGCTTAAAGCTCTTTATCAAATTATACAATCTATAATTATATTAATCACAGAAGAGGGGAAAAAGTTTTATTTCAAAGTAGTTATTAGGAATGAGAATCTCTCTGGTATCCAGGCGCCCTAGTTAGATGAACCATGAGCATTGTATTCCGGGTGATTCTCTAAGGTGGATCACTCCTATAACTTTTTTATCAAATTGGAAGCTGTACATTAGAGTTCAATTAACATTTTTTTATGAATTCACTTATCATTAACCATACTTCCGGTTTGACCGGAAATGACCCCAACCATAATATTGAAATGGAACATCCTAAACAGGGTCTCCCGAAATTACATAGAAAGATTTCAACTACAGTTTTCTAGAAATAAAAATAGTAAACAAAGTTTATATAAACAAGACATGATCCCAGAAATGACCCCCTCGCGAGTTATAGCCAACTGAAAGAGAGCCCTAGATGATGTTTTTTTTTTTAGAAATATTTTCGAAACCCTCTGTGATGAGATAACGAAATTTTGCACATGTATATTACTTTTCAGGGCCGATTTGGGAATGTTGAGAATTTTCCGAAATGTTGATCAGGAGCGTGAGAAATGGGTGGATCTAGGGGCATTTCTTCCCTAACTTTTCTAAGCATTTTCGAGATATATTGATTTTAAAATTCTTCTGCGTAATAAAAATATTACTTTTTCAATAGGATACCTACCATCATATTTTTCAATTTACTCTTCCCATTGTTCCTCCCATATTATGAATCAAACATCACGAATAGATGTTTAAAAATGGGTCTCTTTCCGAGAGTAACATTATTATTATTGACATAGATTTGTTGTTTCACAATAGTATATTATGAAACAAGTGTTATAAACGTCCTTTTAGTAACGAGTAGTGCAAGCACGAGCGGAGCAGAGCGGAGCGAGTGTTTAATAGACGAGTGTCTAGAAGAGTTTATAAACGCGTTACATACTATGCTTTTTCTACGAACTCCGAAAATTAAAATTACTTTAATATACCTGCTATTCCTGCTAACCTACGAAATAATTCGAAAGGAATGGGAATTGAGAACATAATACATGCAACTGCATGCAACCAGCGAGACACGTATAAGTGATATTGGTTGTAGATGTGTCCAGTCCATTGCTTACTAACCTTTGTTTCACCTTTATTGTCATGCTTAGCGCAGAATAAATAAATTGTTCTCAAAAATGGATGCTTAATTTTTATACTTCTTGGAGATATACGAGTACCAGAACATTCTCTTCGATTTTACTTTCGTCTACATTCCGCATATTATATTTCTAATGGAGAACTCTGATACAAACGAATATTGTTTGAATAATTCTGATACAAAATTTGAAAGTAACAGTTGACAGTTAATACAATTGACAGGCCAGACATGTCTCAAATTACTGAAGCTGTGTTTAATGAACTGTGTTGCCATGGTAATGTGTTTAATAAATCGTGTTGCCATGGTAACGTGTTTAATATTTTGAATAAATCACAGATCGTCAATCCGTGATTAATCGATC